CAGAGACCAGCAGGGCGGGTGTGCCCCAACCTGTCCTTGATCTTGTTGGTCCTCGTGACATCGTCGATGTCCATGCGGATCTTGTAGCGGACATGGGGGGGCAGTGTGGGGGCTGTGGCGTTGATGGGAGGTTGGAAAACCACAGCTGCCCAAAACTGCTGCTCCTCCAGCAGCTCCAGGGCCCGGGCGACCAGCTGCTCCTCGGTGGCCACCGCTTCGATCTTGTCCAGGCAGACGCACTGCGGGAGGGCAGGCAGGGCTCAGCAGGCACGGGGGCACAGGCAGGGCAGGCAGGGCTCAGCCATGCAGGGGGCCAGCCTGCCCACAGGGCAGGGACACTCACCTCCATGAACTGCGACAGGGTGCTCAGGACCGTGTCCACATCAGCGTACACCTGGTGCCAGGTGAGCCCCGGCCCGGCCGCCGGCCCCGCCAGGAACGTGGCCAGCTCCGACACCTTCCAGGAGGTGCCGTTGAGGAACCCGTCCAGGAGCTGGGCTGTGCCCGGGGCCAGCAGCAGGTCCTGCAAAGCACCAGGGTACCAGGGACCATGCAGCCCACCCTGCTCCAGTTGCCACCTCACTCCTGCCCAGAAGCCCCAGCTGCCCCCCACCACACCCCATCCTGCACCCCACAGCAGCCTGGTCTCCAATGGGAGGGATCTGGGGTCACACACCTGGAGCACCTGCATCTCCAGGCTGCTGTTGAGGATGGTGTAGATCCGGGGTCCCAGCTCCTGCCAGGCGCTCCCCACCTCTCCCAGTACTGCCAGCTCCCGGAAGGTCCGATTCACCTGGGTGAGAGGGATGAGGCAGGTCCTGGTTGGGACCCCCTCAATTCCTCCCCCAGGCCCCTCACAGCCCCCACTCACCTCGGCCATGACGCTGTCGGGGCCGGGCCCGGGTGGCGAGTACAGGATCTTGCCCACAAAGAGGGGCTTGATGCCCCTCCAGAAGATCTGTGAGAAGGGGTTGGACTCCAGGCTGCGGAGCAGCTCCCGGCAGAAGGGACCTGGGGGGTGCAAAGCTGAGCCCTCATCACCAGCCCCCCATCCCTGTCCCCAACGCCTCCCCCAGCCCCTGGTCGAGCCCTCACAGCCCCCTGCAGCCCCTGCTCACTGCTGCTGCCCGAGGCCACGGATCTCCGCTCCGAGCTGTTGCGGTCCAGGAAGGCTTTGACGTCGTTGTCCTCGTACCAGTTGAGGGAGGGGATCCTGAGCCCCCCACCCTCGGGGTGACCGCAGGCGATGCGTGACAGGGCTGTGAATGCACCCACACCGGGGGTGCTGGTGTTGGGGGCCCTCAATTCCTCGAGCTCCCGCTGCAGCTCAGCCAGGCTGGTCATGGAGGAGATCTGGGGAGAGCGGGATGGGGAGTGGAGTGGGGCAGCAGGGATAGGGGCACCCAGGGACAGTGTGGGGGTGCATAGGGGGCATAGGAAGTGGGGGGTACCTCCTCCATCAGGGATGTTGCATCCCGCAGGAAGGTGCCCAAGGCTTCCACAGTGCCAGCAATTCCACCCACGTCTGGGCTCAGCTGTTCCTACAGGGGGACATGGAAAGGAGTGACAGCCACTCCGGATGGGCCAGGAGTCTCTGCCCCAATGCCCCCCAGAACCCAGCACCTGGCCAAGCTGGGAGCTCACCGCCACGAGCCGTGGGAAGTCCAACTGGGAGAGGAAGGAGCCCTCCATGGCTCGGAGCTGGGCGCTGGGCAGGGCACAGAGCCCTCGCTGCAGGCGCTGAGTGGAAGCAGCGTCGTCCCCCGCCAGGAATCCCCCCAGCTCCGAGGCGTTGCAGACCAGGGCCTTCAGTGGGAGGCGAATGCTCGCCAGGGAGAACTGGAGGGAGAGGGAGGTCACGATGCAGCCACTGGCACTGCGGGCACTGGGAGAGGGCACTGGGAGAGGGTACCATGCTGACACTCACGATGCGGGGGCTGAGCCGAGCCCCCATCAGCTCATCCACCAGCGCCGGGGCCAGAGATGTGTTGGTCCGCAGGAACCGCGAGAAAGTCTCGTTCTCCCTCAGGTACTCCCTCACCGGCAGGGCTGGGGGGGCAGGGGTCAGCCAAGGGGTCTCGCTTCCCCGGCACCCCCCCCTCCCGGTGCTCACCCCTCCGCTGGTTCCCGCTGTCCCGGAGCCGGCGCAGGCTGGGCAGGAGCCGGGCGAAGCTGCGCAGGAGCCGCTGCCCATCGGAGCGGAGCAGGGCCTGCCGGGCTTCGGCCAGGAGGCGGGAGAGGCTGTGGGACACGGGGTGGACGGTGAGACCCTGGCCCAGCCCCACTCTGTTCCTCAGTCCCCCGGCCCCTCCGCTCACATGGAGCCGTCAAAGTTGCCCACCACGCCGGGGGCCTCTCCCGCCGTGGGGTGCCGGAAGCAGGGGTTGTTCATGTTGCAGATGATGCCCTGGAGCCAGGACAGGGTCCCCGCCGAGGGCAATGCCTTGTTGGGGAAGTGGCCTGCAGGAGAAAGAGGCAGGTCCAGGGGGGCATCATGGGATCCCCAGGACTCCCCACACACACCAGAGCAGGGAGATGCCAGCGGGTCCCCACGCTGCGATCACCTCCTCTGTTTGTCTCCCCTGGTGCCACCTCACAGGGCTCCCATACAGGGGCACACAGGGTGGTCCCAGGCAGGCACAGGGGGCTCATTACCAACCCAGAGGGTGGTCCAGCAGGGGACACTCACACTCATGCTGCTTGAAGGGTGGGTGAGATCGTCGCACCGAGATCAAGATGAGGAAGAGGAAGAGCGGCCACAGGATCTCGATGGCCAGCTGGATCTGGGGGAGACCCGCAGTTGGGGGAAACTCTGTCACCATCATTGCCCAGAGCTCTGCCTGCCCCTGTGCTAGGACCCAGCGGCTCAGAGTGCCCCACACCCCAGTCCCCCACTCACCCGCTGCCGCCGGCGGTAGGTGAAGTTCTTCCAGAGCAGCAGCCCCAGCTGGGTGCCCCAGCTGGCCATGGCGGGCCCTGCTCGGCTCCGGCTGCGGGGAGAGCAGGGGGTTCAGCCCCAAGCTGGGGGCGACTGCGGGGCTCTCACTTCCCTCTGGGTCATGGCTTATCCCACCCCGGGCACAGTGCCGGGCACAGGGCTGAGCTCAGGGGCTGGCAGGAGCTGGACGGCATTCCTGCAGAAAAGCTCCTTTCCGGAGCTAATGCCTCAAATTCCGTTCTTTCCTAAACCAAAAGCAGCAGAATTGGGCACGAGCTTTGTCCAGGAGCCATGAGCAGGATTCGCAGCCCAGCACAGGGTGCGGCTCCAAACCCTGGGCAGCCCGGGGGAGGCGGGGAGCTGCCCGTGCCCCAGTTTTCCCATGGGAGGGGTGTGGGTGGGTGTTTCTGTGAGACCCTCAAGCACCCCAGGGGAGGAATTGTGCTGGTGCAGCGGGCTCGAGGCGCGAGTTCCCACACCCGGGCCCAGTGGGTACCTCCCGAGCTGCGCTGGGACCCCAGAGCTTCAGCTCCATCCCTTCCCAGCGCCAACCCGGTTTCTGCCAGCGCCTAGGAATTCACTCACCCCTGGAGAGGGGCCAGCAGCTCCCGGGCAGGGCAGCAAAGCGCTGCCAAGGCGCTTCCGTGCCCAGCCCGGTGGCGGCACGACCCAACCCGCAGCATTCCGCCCGGTGAACCCACCCACGCCCCGAGAGATCCGAGCTCCGGGGCGGCTCCCCGGTCCCCGCGAGCCGGGGACACGCCGGGCCCCCCTTGCTGCGGGTTTGCCCTCGGAGCCGGGGAAGCCGCGGACTCACCCGCTGCCCCGCGCCCGCCGCCGCCCGTCCGCCTGCGGAGCTAAGCCGGGTCCCGGGCACAGCCGGGATAAGCGGGCACCGGGCAGCGGGATTAGGATCCCGGCTGGAAAATCCGCCTAATCGGCCTGCGGGGCCGGACGTGAGCGGGGGTCGGGGCCAGGATTCCTCCGGGGGTGCACCGGGGCAGATGGGGTGACACGAGGGAACAGGGACGGCTGCCGGGGTGAGGGTGTCCAGGGAACCGGGGGTGCTGAGGCACTTTTCGGGACAAAACAGCCACAGAACCCGGGATCCTCCCAGGGGGATTCGCCTGGGAATCTGCTCACTCATCCCACGAGGACAAACATGCCGCGTCGCTGCAACTGAGAGGACCGGCGGATCCCACGCCCCCGGCATCCCGCCACCCGGCATCCCCCGGCCCCGGCGCCCCCCGACCCGGTTCCGCCCCACGGAGCCCCGCTCTGGAAGGGGTGCGGAGTCACCGGGAGGCGGACGGGCCGTGGGAACGTGGGCGCAGCCCGGGGAACACACGGACAGCCCAGGGTGGGTCATGGGAACAGCTCGAGGGGACGACGAGGACAGCCCAGGGGGGAGATGGGGACAGCTCGGGGGTACAGTGGGGACACGGGGACAGCCACGGGGGGGGATGGGGAGGTGCGGACAGCCCCGGAAAGATGCTGCGAGGCCGAGAGCAGCAGCCAGGACACAGCCCCTCCTTTCCCCCCCGCAGCCCCCGGCCCGGGACCCCCGTTACCTTCTGCCGCCGCGCGGCCCCTTTAAGAGACCCCCGCGGCTCCGCCGGGCGCGCGCAGGCCCCGCCCCTCCCAAAAAGTATCCGCGGGCGTGACGTCATGGGAACGGCTCTTAAAGGGGCCGCTCGGGGCGGGGCTCCGGGCGGTGGGAGGAGCGAGAGCCCCGCCCGGGCCCTTCCCCCGCCCCGCCCCGCCCGTGGGAGTCCCACGGGGCAGCGAGGCTCTCCCGAACACAGCATTTCCCTCCCCCGAAACGCGGGTCCCTGCCCGGACAGGCACGGCACCGGTAATTCCACATCTGTCAGCCGTTTATAAGCCAGCAGCCGGTTCCTGGCTCCCGCTCGGCCCCGGGACACGCAGCCTCTCTCCCCACCATCCCGGCACTCCGGGGGTCTCACCCTGGTCTGCAGCAGCTCCCACAAGAGGCACCAGAGACCGGCTCCTGCTTATGTTGAAAGGGTTTATTTTTAAAAATAAAACGTTTCAGTCTGAGAGCATCTCCATTAAAAACCACAAGGGAGGGGAAAGTCAAGGGGCACCGGCTGCGCTCGGGCACTGCGGCGGTGCAGGATGCGGCGTCGGAGTCAGCCCTGGCTCCAGCCTGGGCGATTGGATTGTGGAGAGGTGCAGCAGTGCCAGGTGTGCCAGGTGTGCCAGCTCCTGGCCCTGCCCTGCAGCCAACACCGTGGTCTCAGAATCTTGGTCCCTCTGACTTCTGCAAAAAAGGCATTTCCAGCATCTAGAGATCACATGAGGCTGCAAACACGAGTGCACACGTTCACTGACTCACACTCTCACAATCCCAAGGCCCTGCAGTGCCCTGGGCTCCCCCCACACCATGTCTTGCTGAGCCCAGCCCTCTCCTCCATGGGGCTGAGCCAGGTCCTGCCAGCACAGCGATGAGCAGCAGCACTGGGTGCAGCACAGGCAGCTGCCCCCCACTCCTTGCTGAGGGATCCAGGGGTGTTGCAGGGGCACATGGTGGGAGCTGGGTGTGTGAGAGGTGACAGTGTCCACTCCCCGGTGCTGGAGCATCCGCCACCTTCCCTCTGCCCTGTGGCCTCGGGGCTCCCATGGGAACTGGCCAGGCTCCTCTCTAGAAACAGGGTCTTTATTTCCTTGCTCAGAAAAATAGATTAATTTCCAAAGTTAAAAAAGAGTTTAAAAAGAAGGAATGATGAAAGTGGAGGCTGGAATGTGTCTGGCAGTGTGGCTGTACATGAGATGGTGCGGACAGGGCCGTCAGTAGCTCTCCTCCTCCTCCCGGTAGTAGTGGTACCCAGGGGGGTCCCCGCCCAGGTCACCAGCAGCGTTGGCCACCTCGCCCTGGCTGCCCTGTGGGCAGTACTTGGGGTCATAGATCTGGCGGCCGAGGCCAAAGACCTGCCCGCTCTGGTTGGCGCCCTGGTTGGAGCCCATCTGCAGGGACATGGAGGAGTTGTCGCACTTCTCCGTCCCCATCTTGGCATCGTAGATGTGTCTCCTGGTGCCGGGAGCTGTCATGCCCACCTGGAAGGGAGAACAGGATGGAGCAGGGCTCAGCTGTGGTCCCCCCCACAGCCTCCCAGCCCGGCACAGGGGCTCACCTGGCTGGCACACTTGTTGGTGCCCATCTGCAGGCTGATGGTGGAGTGGTCCATGGGCGGCAGGATCTGGTTCTTGGGGTCGTAGAGGTGCCTCCGGGTGCCATAGGCTGTCATGCCGGACTGGCTGGCACACTTGTTCGTGCCCATCTGACAAAGGGGTCTGTGAGGAGCATGTGCTGCCCAAAACACGTGCCCCTTCTCCCCCTCCCCGTCACCCCCAGCCCAGGGGGCACAGCCAGAATTCCCCAACCCACCCCAGGCTCACGGCCACTGAGTGCCGGACACGGAGCCAGGATGGTCTCAGATCCCAAGAACACCTGAGGCACCTGGAGCCTCAGGTCCTTCCAGCTATGCTTGGAGCCATGACAGTGCTGAGGATTTGACAGATCTGGGCACCCCTCTCCCAGCCCCCCACCCCTGGGACTCCACAGGGCAACCCACCTGCAGCCCAATCACACACTGCCCAGCCTTCATCTTGGCCTCGTCAAAATTCCTCTGCTGCTTCTCCGAGTACTTCACGCCGATGTCCACTCCGCTCTGCAGCCCCTTTGTCTTGGCCTGCCAGGAGTGGTGGTGAGGAAGGACAAAGGCCCCAGTCCCCCTACCCTCTTCCTGGGCAGGGGGAGCCAAAGGGTCCCACGGGCACCACCCCAGGCTGGGGATCCCTGCAGGACTGTGCCCCTTCCCAAGCTGCTCATTCCCTGTGCTCACCATTCCCGCCAGTGCCAGCAGCGACACCTGCACCTGGGTCAGGTTCCCGCTCTCAAAAAGGTCGTTGGCTTCAAAGAGGTCCACGGGGTTCATGCCATAGCTGGCCATGGCCTTGATGAAGTTGGAGAGGTTCTCGAGCTACAGGGAGGGGGAGAGGGGTGAGCCACGGTGGGTGATGGTAGAGGGACAGCAGGTGGGTGCCAGTAGGCCTGCACTTACCTGGTGCCAGTTCTGAGCTGAGCGGTTGATCTTCCTCACCGAGTTGGGCTGCAGCTTGTTCATGAGCCTGGAGGAGGCAGGGGGATGTGGGGCTGCAGCAGGCAGAGCCCTGAGGGGCTGCAGAGCAAGGGTCCCTTTCAGGAAGATCCAGCCCAGGCCTCCCCCATGTGGAGCAATTCCTTGCCCAGGTCCCTCTTGGTCCTCAGGGCTCTCTCCAGACAGAGATCCTTTGGCGGTGACCTGGCAGGTCCCACTGGCGCCGATCCAGCCCACTCTTTCCACCCCAAAGGCTAGTGGGGGACCCCTGGAGGGCTGGTATTCCCCATCCCCACCCAATCCGGGACTCACTCGCAGAGGATCACCCCGTCCTTCAGCCCCTTCTGGAAATCAGGCCCGATCTGCTGCCCCGTGATGCTCTCGATCCATGTCCGCAGCTCGACCTCCTTCTGTGGGTCATACTTTTGGGCAAGCTGGAGGGGGTGGATGAGGGCAGCTCAGGCACAGCCCTGTGTGCACCCCAAATCCCCCATGAACAGTTCCCCCCTCCCCGGGATGGGGATGGGGACAGGAGCATGAGGATGATGCTGCCATCAGACACAGTAGCTTCTGAACCATTCCAAAAGGATGAGGAGGAACTGCCTGTGGGGGCCACGGGGAAGCTCCCCCTCCATGGGTCCATCCCTCCCTGTCTCCTGGAGCCTGCGGGAGCCCAGTTCCCATCCCCGGGGTCCGGGCCACGAGATACTCTCCCTTCCGGCAAAGCCCGACAGCCGCCGCAGATTCCTCGGTCACCGCGGCTATGCCAGGAATGTGGACGCCTCCTCCCAAATGGAGACCAGCTGCCAGGGCCGGCAGCATCTCCGCCAGCGTTGCCTCAGCCCTGGCCCATGAGGCAAGAGAAAGGCATCCCGACCTGGGGTGGGAAAAGCCTGGAAGCCCCAAGTGCTGTCCTGCCCCAGCCCCTCCCTCCAACGCTCAGCCAGCACCCAGAGGTGGCCTCAGGGCACCCACTGACCTCTTGCCCATCCCATCCCCTCCTGGTGCTGTCATGTGGTGGGGCCATGAGTCCCCAGGGATCCTGGACAAAGGGAGACACTGGGGTGGGCACAGTCCAGCCCCGCTGTGTGGTGGGGAGATGCTCTGGCCTCAAAGGAGAACTTGACCAGTCAGGACCTTGGGTCACACACCACGTGTGTCCTGGCCAGGGGATTCCACAGTCCCCCAGATGATTTTCTGGGGCATGGGCAGCTGGAGACAGTTCCTCTTCCCTTCTCATGGCCACTGTGAGCATTTCCCAGGGCACAGGAGCAGGCAGAGTGGACCAGCCCCAGAGAGATCCCACAACAGCCCACTTTGTAAGGGATTACGCAGACTGGGAGCGTGCCACTGGTTTTACTGGTTCCCAGTTGGTGATGTCACCTCCAGCAGACACACTGGGGCAGTCAGACTGGCTCATGTCTTGCTGAATCAACCCAAAGCACCAAGAGCACACGGCAGGGAGGCTCCGGCGCGTGTCACCCGCTCAGCGCCAGGGCAGCCCAGCCCCAGGCAGGCCAGGGCCCGTCCACTCCTTACAAAACATAAATCCTCTGCAAAGCTGGGTAAGCAGCCATAGCCACCACATCCCTGCAGCCACAACCTCGACCTCAGCAGCCACATGCCCACCACCACCTGGCTCTTCTTCTGCCTGCCCTGGCCCCATGGAGGCAGCTCCCATGTCCCCGGGCAGGACACAGCCACACAGGACACAGGCAACAAGCCCTGGGGTGACCACGGCTCAATCTCTGCTCACCCGGGGCCAGGCACAGCCCAGCACCTGGGCCACTGCCGGTGCCACCAACAGCCTGGGGCAGCTGTGTCCCCTGGCCCAGCAGGACTGCTGTGAGCTCTCGAGGAAGCAGGAGGGTGCTGGCAGCTGCCTGCACCCCGTGGCTCCCTCCTCGGGGTGCAAACAGACTGCTCAGAGGCTCCCGTTCCCCTTTCCCCTTCCGGCCCCAGGCAGAGTCACCGGGGTCATAGCCCCATTCCCAGCAAAGGCCGCGGAGCATCCCGCGGGGGATGAGCAGTTTCGGGGGAGCAGAAAGTGAAGCTCCGTAGAGCTGGTCCGGAGCCGCGGGGTTTGCCGGGAGCGGCGGGGCAACAGCGGCCACTGCACGGGAGAGGCGGCCGGTGCCGGGACCCCTCCCAGCCCCGGTCTCCCCAAGACACCTCCCGGGACCCTGCAGGCAGGCTCAGGGCACGCCGAGACCGGGAGCCCAGCCCGGGCATCCCCAGCGCTCAGGAGACCCCGGTACATCGGGACCCTCAGTTCCGCATTCTCTCGGGAATCCCCGGCTCTCCATCCTCCCGGGAGCCCCCAGCTTCTCCACTCTCCGTGCCCGGTGGCACTGGGCCCCCTCCGGCTCCGCATGCCGGGGGCGCACCAGGACCCAGTTCTCCAGAGCCCCGGGATAAAACCGGGACCCCCAGCGGCACCGGGATGCCCGGCTCTCCCAGAGCTCCGGGAGCACCGGCAGCCGCAGCGCCTGGTGGCCCCGGTACTCCCCGCCCCCGACTTGCCCCCATCTGGTTGTCCCGGTACCCCCCGGTCCCCGCCGCGGCTCACCCGGTTCTTGACTTCGGCGGAGAGGCCGTAGGACGGGCCCTTGTTGAACTGGGAGCTGCTCATGGCGGGGCGCGGAGCCGGTACCGGAGCGGGGCGCGGGCAGCGGGGCCGGTACCGGAGCGGGGCCGGGCGGGGCGGGGGCGGGGCCGGGCCCGGCCCTCCCGCGCTGATTGGACGGGGCCGAAATGCCCAAATAAGGGCAGGAGCGGCCGGATCGTGGTGTGGCCCCGAACCCCGACACTGGGACCCGGGGGGACCCCGGGAGAGCCGGGGGGCGCCGGGAGGCACCGGGAGGCCGGGGAAGCCCGGGGCCGGGGCTGGAACCGTCCCGGGCACACGGGCACACCCACGCACCCACCCATGGGCACACCCACGCACCCACGGGCACATCCACGCACCCGCGGGCACGCGCGTGTGCATCGCCGCACACACTCGCGTGCACCGGTGCGCGCACCCTGGCCCAGGACACGCGTTGTGCACACATACGCACCCCCGACCCACGGGTGCTCCCCTGCACACGCACAGTCAGTCACTCACGCACCTGCGTGCCCGCACCCACGGTCACGGGCACACGCGGGGCACACGTACGCGTTCCTCCGCCCCCGCATGCCCCGCGCCTCCAGCCACCCCACCCCACCCCTCCGCCACTCCCACTCCCCGATCTCCGACCCCTGCCCGTGTCCCCGCCGCGGTCGGCAGATGGCCCACGCGAGACGGACTGGACCGGCCCCGCGGGGGGTCCTGGGAAAAAGCGGAGTGTCTTCCCCACTCCGCGGGGCCGGCAGGCGGCCCGGGCAGCCCGTGGGCAGCACCCGGAGGGGGCCCGTCCCCTCCTGTCCCTCTCCGGGGTTTATTGGCCGCCTCTCCTGTTTTCCCGTTGTGGGGTCCCATTGCCCCGCGGGCGGGGGTGTCACGGGGGCGAGAGGCAGGGCAGTAACTCCAGGGGTCGGTCCCGGCACCGCCACCGAGCCCACGGAGGGGCAGAGTTGGGAGCATCCCAGAGCCCAGAGCACCCCACCCCATTCACCCCCACACCCGGGGCCGCCAGTGGGATGGGGCTTGTCCTCCCCGGACAGATGGACGCCCCCAAACAGGGTAAACCTCCCAGAGGGCGGGGGTCCCACAGGGGCCAGCACCTGTCCCGCAGAGTGGGACTCAGGCCCCCATCCCTCTGTAAGTCCTGGGCAGCAGCACTGAAAGCCCCCAAAGTCCCCAACGAGCCCACCACCCCCAGGAGTGCCAGGGTCCTCCTGCCCCTCCATGACCCTGCAGGGCAGCCAGGGTGCCCCTGCCCCCGACCTCGCGCCTGGGTGCGCGTTTGGCTTTTCCTGTTTCAGATCGGGCTGCGAAGCCGATGAGGAAACGAGGCGGCGTCACACGCGCCCTCCTGACACTGCGCCCCGCGAATGTGGCCGGCGCCCTGAGCAGCCGGCACGGCCGCCGGGCCAAACGAGGGGCTGAGGGCAGCGGCTCGGCCCCCGGGAACCATGTTCTCCCGGAAGAAACGGGAGCTGATTAAAACCCCCTCCATCTCCAAGAAGAGCCGGGCGGGAAGCCCCGTCCCGCAGACCCTGCCGGTGAGTGTCCCCTGCTATCTCTGGCAGGGCAGGGGCCATGGGACCGTGGGGGTTGTGGGGGCAACTGCACCCACAGAGCTGCTGGGAAGAGCCACAGGGTGGCAATGGGGACCTGGATACGTCCAGGAGGTCTGCGAGGAGGAGAAAGGAGACGAGGAAGGACCCAGCTCACTGGGCTGGGGGGACGTTTTGCCCCAGATGAAGGGGACAGAGCAGCCGCCGAGGGAGGCGGGAGGGTAGGAAGGGACAGGAAGGAAATATGGGGCTGTGTCCGAGGATTTGGGGAGGGCAGAGAAACTCCCAAACCTCCCTGGGGACTGAGGCGGCAGCGGGGGGAACACCGGGCTCAGGCAGCTCAGCTCGGCCATGTATTTATTTATTTATTGACGTGCGGACCCCTCCGGTGCCGGAGGAGCCGGGAGGAAGCGCCTCACCCCCGTGGGGCCGGACGGCGGCCGGGGCTCCCCGTGGCACCCCACACCGCCCGCCCCGCGCCTGCGCCCCACCCCGGTGCGTGGGGCCACACAGGGCTGGCACGATGCGGCCGTCGGGGCTCCGGAGCCCACCCGCGGCTCCTTAGCAGGGGGCACCCACCCCCATCCCCGTCCCGACCCCCCCGGAGAGGGTCCTATGGGTGGCGGCCGGCGGGATGCTCGGCCGGGCCGCGGGCAGGAACAGCTACAGCCCCTGGGCGGCGGCGGGCAGAGCCCACCCGCCCCAGCGCTCCCTGGACTCGCTGCCCTGCGCGCCCGCCGTGCGACTGACGGTACGGCCGGGGGGCACCCCGGGGCGCCGGGGGGAGGGCCGGGGGGTACCGGGGCCGCTGCACCCCGGGGGGAACGGGGACAGGGCGGGGCTGGCCCCAGGCGTTTTGGGTGGGGCCCTTTGGGTGCTCTTGCAGCCCCGTGGTGGTCTGGCCCCTGCGCGGGGCTGAGCTCCCCGTCTGAGCTCCCTCGCCCACAGAAGCCTCGTGCTCTCGGCGCTCCGTGTCTGCCAAGGACGCTTCCGGCAGCGCCCGGCCGGGGATGCTGAGACCCCACACACTCGTGTCACACCTGGGTGCCTGGGGGTCACTGATGGGAGCTGCTGAGTGGGCTGGGGGGTCTGCAGGGTCCCCTCCCCATGCTCACAGACACACCTTGCTGGGTGTGTGATCCCCAAGCCATGCAGGGCCCTGGACAGTGCTGGTACCAGCCCCTCCCTCGGGGCAATATTGCCCCTAGAAACTGGGGGCTTCCTCCATCTGTAAAATCCTTGCCAAACCCCCAGCAATGGCCTGGGAGGTGTCCCCGTCCCTTCCCCCTCCCCCAGCATGGGACCAGCTGAAAAAGAGGAAGGGACGTGTGGGCTGGCTCCTGCTGCTGTTTGGCTGTGCTGGGGTCCCCAGCCCCCTGGGATGGGCAGTCCCAGCACGGTGGTTGCTGGGGTTGACAAGCAGTGTCACCCACACGGTCACTGTGTGCCCCCATGATGAACACAGAGCCACAGGGACTGGTGGGGGCTGGCCAGGCAAGTGCCCAGCCCCTGCCTGCTCTGTCTTTGCCCTGTGGGATCCCAAGACAGTCTCTAAGGTCTCCAAAGGGGATACCTAACTGGGGAAACTGAGGCACGGTGCAGCTACAGGGTCTGACACCAACCCCTCAAGACACCGCCCCCCCCCATGCTGCTGGCATGGCCAGTCCTGGGTGCTGCCCTCTCCCTGACCAAGCCGGGGTCTCCACCCTGCTGGCTGTGCCCTCACACTCATCCCTGCCCCCAGGACCTGTCCCGCAGGGATTGCCTGGAGGCACCGGGCTCCAGCCTGGGGGACCTGCCCGCTCAGCACCCTGCCAAGCTCAGCACCAGCCCCAGCACCGTGGGCACCCTGAAGCGCCCCACCAGCCTCAGCCGCCATGCCAGCGCCGCCAGCTTCCCCCTGCCCGCGGCCCCCCGCGCCATGGCCAAGGGCCACAAGACCCCCACATCCTACAGCCCCATGGAGGGCGGGGAGAGTCCCTTCATCGACCCCGAGGACATCTCCCAGCTGCTGGCGGACGTCGCCCGCTTCGCCGACGCCCTGGAGAAGCTGCGGGACGTGGTGCTGCGCGATGGTGAGTCTGGCACTGCTGCCACCTTGGGGTGCCCACCCGGTGCCAAACACCCGTGTCACAGCGCTGCAGGGCACTCCAGGGACAGACACCCCCGTGGGTGGAGGTTCTCTGCTTGGGCTCGAGGCCACCAGGACCCGCAGGGGGCCGTGAAGCCACGGGCAGAGGTGGTGGGTGGGTGGTGGGTGAGTGGCTGCTGGAGCTCGGGGCCAGGATAACGCGGCTTCCTGCCGCGAGCTATTTTCATCCGCCCGTTTTCCTGTTTACAGTGCAGCGGTGCCAGCCGCCTGCCAGGGCCCCCCGAGCCCTGCAGGGTGCTGGGCATGGCCCCCCAGGCCCCCAGCCCACCAGGGTGGCTGTCAGGATGGGGCTGGGTGGTCTGCAGGCCCACAAGTGCCTGTCGCTGCCCGAGGGGCCACAGGAGATGCATCGATCTCATGGACTAGGGGGCACATGACACCCTGTTCTCAGCCCTGGTTTTGCAGAAACTCCTTCCCGACCCCAAGCTGTGGGCTGGGTTGGGCAGGGAGCTTCGCCTGGCTGGGCAGTGAGTGCCAGTCCCCCATCCCAGCACCTCTGTGCACAAGGCTCCTCACCTCCTAACCAGGCTGCCAGTGCCCAGCCCTGCCCCGTGCTGACCAGGTCAGACCCCCAGGCTGGCAGCTGGAGGGCATGGAGGGGACAGTCCTGGGGAAGGACTGCGGGGTGCAGCAAGCCCGGCTGGCACGATGGCAGCACAGACCTGCTGCGTCCCTGCCTGGCTGGGAGCGTCCATCCGGGAGGAGGGAGGGAAGGAAACGCGGAGGAAATTCCCAAACTGCTTTCAAGGGAAAAAGTTACTACTGTGGAAAAAATGCCTCAAAGGTTGGGCTTCCCCCCCGGCCACCACGGGGCTGGGCAGGAGACACACGGCCACACGGCTCCTTGGGCTGTGGGGAGGTGCTGGACGGGCCATGCCAGGCTCGGGAATCCCCAAGGCCAAGGGGATGGGCTGCGTGGTCTGGGAGATGGCAGGACCCTGCCTGGCATGTGGCTGGGAGGTAAACGGGACAGGCACATGGGACAGGAACACAGAACAGGGATGCAGGGTAGGGACATGGGGCAGGGACATGGAACAGGGACACAGGGCTCAGCCCCCACTCTCTTGCAGACCCCAAGGAGCCCCAGCGGCCTCTGGCCCACGAGTGCTTGGGCGAAACCCTGCGCATCCTGCGCCAGGTCATCAACAAGTACCCACTGCTCAACACCCTGGAGACCCTGACAGCTGCTGGGACCCTCATCTCCAAAGTCAAGGGTGAGACAGTGGGGCTGGAAGCTCTATCCCACTCCCCTCCTGTCTTGTGTCTGGGTGCAGGGCTGGGGAGCTCATGGAGGGTTTACCAGGAGTGGAGCTGCCCCATGGGCTGGCAGAGAGAGCAAAAGCATCAGCTGCCTCTTGCCGTGGTTCAGCTTTAAGGACGATGTAGTGTCAGAAATGACAGATCCTGCCTGGGGGTTTCCAGGCACGGCCACAGGAAAAACACTGAAATAATTAGATCCTGCTCCTGGCAGCCCCTCATGTTTACAGAGCGGGGTCTGGGAGGCCGGGTCCTGGCTGGGCACCACCTCCCTCTGCTGTCATCCACGGGGAGGGGGTGACTGCACCCACCACAGGCACAGCACAACCTTCTGCGTCAGCTTCCTGGACACCAACAGCGACCGTGGGGGACAGGAAGCCTCTCGGGGTGGCGAGAGCGCTGCCAGGGGCTGGGCCCACGTGGGGACGGGAGGGAGTGCACTGGAGGCAGACCCCAGCCCCTCACTACAACAGGGGGCTGGGTTCCCCCGAGGAGCAGACCCGGGGTCTGCCCAGGAGCCCTGGCTGCTGCTCACCCGTGCCGTGGGCGTCTGCCGAGCTCTGTCTGCGCCGGTTCCCTCTCCCACCGGCGGTTCCTCTTTTGGCCATGGGCAAGAGCCCTCCCGGAGTCCATCCTGCTCAGAGCAGGGTCTGGAGGAGCCACGAGGCAGGGAAGGCAGTGGAACAGGTCCAGCAGTGCTTTTCCAGCAGCCCTGAGTAATGGGAATAAACAGAAACATGAGCCAAGAGATGCTGGCAGGGAAGTCAGTCCTGGGAGAAAGCGGGGGGACACTGTACTGTGCTGGAGAAATCCATCATCCATAGGGGTGATCCTCCCCACTGCTCCCCCAACTCACACCAGCCCCCACCCCAGCCCCACAGCTCCCCTGATACCGCCATGAGCCAGCAGGTCCTTCTCCTGCTGAGACCAGGGCAGGTGCTCAGTGACAGGGCTCCCACATTTCCCCTTCTCCAGGGTTCCACTATGAATCCAACAACGAGGCGGACAAGCGGGAGTTCGAGAAGGCTGTGGAGACCATCGCTGTGTCCTTCAGCAGCACGTAAGGGATTTTGGGCAGCTGCCTCCGCAGACGGTCCGTGGGTGCTGCTGAGTGGCAGCCCGTGCCATGGCCCTGTGCTGAGCCCGGCTGTGCTCCTCTCCCCACAGGGTGTCCGAGTTCCTCATGGGGGAGGTGGACAGCAGCACCCTCCTCTCCATCCCACCCAGTGACCAGAACCAGGTGAGCCGTGGGGCTCTGGCTGCTCCCCTCAGCTCTCGTGTGAGCCCAGAGCAGGGCGTTTCTCCAGAGACATTCCCGGAGCTCCCGGGCACAGCCTGGGCACAGCCAACTTCCAGCAACAGCTGAAGGGCTCCGGCAGCTCCAGGTTCCAACCTCCCCTCCATCTGCTTGGCTGACCAGTCCCTTTTCTTTCCAAATCCTCAAAGAGTATGGAGAGCCTCTACGGGGGGATCCCTGGGCCTGGAGGAGACGCCGTGCCTGTGGGCGTGGAGAGCTACCACACGGGTAAGCAGGACGAGGGTGGGTGCAGGGTTTGGGGTGGGGGTGCCTGGCTGAGCAGGTGCCTTCCCCGTCATCGCTGTGATCCTGAGCCACACGTGGCTCCTGGGCTGGGAAAAGGCGGCAGAGCTGTGGCACCGGGGTCAGCAGGACTGGCACAGCACGGGGCCGGCTCGGAGATGGGAAGGTTTGTGCTGGAAGCTCACGGAGTCTCCCATTTCAGCCCGTCCTCCGGCCGAGGAAGTGGATGTGATGCTGCAGCGCTGTGAGGGGGGGGTGGATGCTGCACTCCAGTACGCCAAAACCATCTCCAAGTACATGAAGGACCTGATCGGATACCTGGAGAAAAGGACCACGCTGGGTGAGCAGGAGGATGGTGGGTGGGTCCCTCCGGAGCAGGGCGGAGCCCTGGGACAGGTCAAGAGTCTGGGGGGAGACCAACACTGCCAGGGAAGTGGGAACCTCACTCTTCAAGTTCCTGATTTATTTTTCAAAAGAAGATCGGGTTTCACCAGGGAAATCCCAGTGTCTTGTGTGTCTTTTCACTTCCAACCTTTTTCTTCCAGAGATGGAGTTTGCTAAAGGGCTCCAGAAAATGGCAAACAGCTGCAAGCAAACCATGAGCCAGGAGGTAAGTCCCCATGTCCCTTAAAGCCCCCAGCACCAGGCTGGATTGAGAGTCATCAGCCCTGGAGAGCCCGTCCCACATGCCCCAGCTCCAGAGCCCAGGAGAACATGCAGGCAGCTCTCCAGAGCTCTGCCTGGAAAAATTCAGGATGGGGCTTTTACCAGCAGCCACCAGCCTCACCACCCCTCTGGCTCTTCCTCCCCTGAGGATGTGACTCCTTGGGCTTGCACCAGGTGCTGGGGCTCAGGGCGACGTTTTCCCATTTCCCAGACCAACATGCCTTTCCTGTCCATCTACCTGCTGGCCCTGGAGCAGGACATGGAGCATGGGACATCAGTTCTTCAGGCAGCCAACACCCTGCAGCACCAAACCTTCCTCCAGGTGAGGGGACAAAGGGTCCTCCCCGGGGCTGGTGGCCCTGGCGTCGCAGAGGTGGCTCTTCCTTAGCTCAGTCCAGAGGGAACCTGCATCTGGCACTTCCCAGGCTGCAGATTTTCATCCCTGGCACAAACCAGTGACCTGGCCACGCTGGGAGCAATAGTGACCAGCACAGGGCACTTCTCCTTGCAAAGCCTTAGCAAGGGCAGAGCAGAGCACTCAGCTCAGGGCGTCACGGGGCTGTTCCTCCCTCCCCATCCAGCCGCTGATGGTGAGACGCCTCGAGCACGAGAAGCGGAGGAAGGAGATCAAAGAGCAGTGGCACCGGGCACAGAGGAAACTGGTGAGCGACTGGGTTTGTGTCCCCAGTCCCAGTCTGGAGCACCCCACAACACGTCCCCCTCTAGGGATGCTGGGCCCCCTGCCCCTCTCTGGGTGCTTGGGTGCCTCTGCTGTGCTGGGGGACCCCGGGGAGCCCGTGGGGGCTGGTGACTCCCTGGCTGGGTTCCATCCTCACCTGGGCCACGGCTCTCCCTGGCAGCAAGAGGCCGAGGGGAACCTGCGCAAGGCCAAGCAGACGTACATGCAGCGCAGCGAGGAGCACGACAAGGCCAAGTACGTGGCAGTGAAGGCGGAGGAGGAGCAGCAGAACACGAGCAGCAGCATCACCACCAAAACCCTGGACAAGAAGAGGCGGCTGGAAGAGGAAGCCAAGAACAAGGTAAGGTGACAGCTCTGGAGGCACCTCCTTGCTGTCCTGCTGTCCCTGCACAGGAGCAGCCCTGAGCCACGTGGAGTGAACTGAGCTCCCCCGGGTCCTTGAGTGTGGCGTGGGAATGCCTGGAGGAATGGGGTCCAAGGGGCTGCTCTCCGTGTTCTCCTCACCTCTGAGCTGTCCTTGTCTCTCGCTCTCCCCACTCCCAGGCAGAAGAGGCCATGGCCACGTATCGCACCTGCGTGGCCGACGCCAACACGCAGAAGCAGGAGCTGGAGGACACCAAGGTGAACTCCCTGCGGCAGATCCACGAGGTGATCAAACAGAGCGACCAGGTCATCAAGTCGGTGAGTGGGGCTGGACTGGGGTGTCCCCAGGGCAGGAGGTGAACGTGCTCTGCTCTGGAGGGTTCGGAGTGGCCTCCCAGCAGAGCCATCGGGGGCCCAGGTGGGTGCAGAGCTCTGCTCTCCCTCATGCTCAGAAAAACCAAGGCCCAAGGCTGCAGAACAAGCGCTGCTCCATGCTTCCGATTTCCCACCTAACCTGGAGCCCTGGTTCCTCTGCTCCCGATTTCCCACCTAACCTGGAGCCCTGGTTCCTCTGCTCCCGATTTCCCACCTAACCTGGAGCCCTGGTTCCTCTGCTCCAAATTGCCCACCTAACTGGGAGCGCCTTTCCCCTCTCCTCCTGTGCCTCAGCCCACAGGGCTCACGCCAGTCTCTGTCCACGTCGCTTTTAGGCCACCATCTCCTTCTACCAGACCATGCACATGCAGACGGCGCCGCTGCCCGTGAACTTCCAGACGCTGTGCGAGAGCAGCAAGCTGTACGACCCGGGCCAGCAGTACGCGTCCCACGTGCGGCAGCTGCAGCGCGGGGACGAGCCCGACGTCCAGTACGACTTCGAGCCCTACGTGTCCCACAACGCCTGGTGAGGGGGGACAGGGCACCCGTTCCCTTCAGAGGTCACCTCCTGCTCCTGTGGCTGCCCATGCGCTCCTGCAGGAGCCAGGGTGCTTTCAGCATTCCTGCCGGGAGTGCTGGAGTTGGACCCGCTTGGAATTCCCCTCCCGTGCTTCGGTAGATGAGGCGGGCTGTCGAGTATTTAAGAGAGAGCTCTGCATCCCAAGACCGGTGGATAGCAGCCGTGGATGAGGTTTCCAAGTGTCCTTCCTTCCTTCCTTCCTTCCTTCCCATCCATGTTCCCTCTTCCCCTCCAGGTCCCCCTTTTCTCGGACACGGAAGGGCAGCTTTGGCACCAGCGAGTTCTCCACGAGTGCCGAGGGGCCCTTGGCCTGCTCTGAGGGGGGGGCAGGAGCCAAGGAGCCCCCGAGTGGGGCAGAAGCGGCCGAGCGGAGAGGTGAGCCTGGGAGCAGTGGGACGGGCTGGGAGCCTCCCAGCCTGAATCCCCTGAAGGACACTGAATCAGATCTATGGTGCTTTGCTCCCTGACAGACCATTATCCATCTTCCCCATCCCCTTTTCCTTGCTGGGTGTCACTGGAGGCACCAAACCCCACCAGCCCCTTCATCAGCAGCTTCCCCCAGTCATCCCAGTTTCTCCCAGCATCCACGCTGTTGTCCCACTGTTCCCTCCCCAACACAGACAGCAATCCCAATGGACCGTGTGTTCTCTCTGCAGGTGGGAGGGGACACCAGGTCCATAAATCCTGGCCAACCTCCGTTGCTGAAGCTGAAAGCAGCCTGGATTCCAATGCAGGTAGATACAAGAACAGCTCAGGAGCCCCTCCCAGTACAGCCAGTCTAAACCCAGAGCACCCCAGTTAGGCTGGACCAACCCTTGTTTACCTGCCCTGTGAGAACACTGTTGGTAAATGGCTGTGCTGATCCCAGTCTCTGATGGGATGGGATGAGTTTTCAGAAGAGAAACAGCTTTGCCAGTAATTCACCAGTCTGTGGGTTCTCCTTGGCAGGTGAATTCAGCCACAAGCTGCAGCGGCTCTCGTCCAACGGCACCGTGTCCTCCAGTGAGGAGCTGGAGGAGAAGGACGAGACCACCACCCCCTTTGAGCAGAGTAGGTGACAGTGTGGGAGGTGACAGTGCTGCTGCCACACCACTCCCCCCTGCAGGACTCCCTGAGGGCCACTTTTCCCAAATCCAGTAATTCTGGAGGCAAACCCAGCAATTGCTGGGGATTCCTGACAGTGTTCCTGGTAATGTGCTGCCTTTCCCAAGGGTGAGCCCTGCTCAGACCAGGGGCAGTGACCGTCCTGCTCAGGCTGTGCCTGACCTCACATTTCCTTTTGCTCTGCCCTCAGGCATCAATGGGATCACCCCGGAGCTGGCGGCTCCCACGGGGCCCTTCCGGAATGTTGGCTTGTCCAAGGCTGCCCAGACCCACCGGCTGAGGAAGCTCCGTGCCCCTTCCAAGTGTCGGGAGTGCAACAGCTACGTGTACTTCCAGGGAGCTGAGTGTGAGGAGGTGAGCTGGGAGAAGTGGGAAGAGAGCTGGGGGTGTTCAGGAGGCCATTCCTCCGTGGGGAGGGTTCCAGGTGCTTTCCATTGGTCCTGCAGTGTCTCCAGAGCATTTTTCCTGTCTCCTGGCATGCTCTGAGTGATGCCTAGCTGTTTCTCTGTAGCTGCCCTCCCATTTCCACCTCTTCCCCTCTCTCTTCTAGTGCTACCTGGCCTGCCACAAGAAGTGCCTGGAGACCTTGGCCATCCAGTGTGGGCACAAGAAGCTCCAAGGGAAGCTGCAGCTCTTCGGGCAGGACTTCACAAAGGCGTCCCAGGGCAGCCCGGACGGGATCCCCTTCATCGTCAAGAAGTGCATTTCCGAGATCGAGAAGCGGGCTCTGAAAACCAAGGTGAGTCGCACTCTCCTCTCTCCTCCTCTTCCTCAGCTGGCTCAGCCCTTGGAAGGATCATCTGGAAAACCAACAAGCTCAGTTTCAGATTCCTGCAGGGCAGGGAGCCAGGGAGTTCATTCCAGGGATGAACTTGTCCCAGATACCCCAAACTCTGCTCATGGGAGCTCAGCTCTCCTGCCTCCTGCTCTCCTGTGAAGCAGGAGATGACTGAGCTGGAAAAGAGATATCCCAGAATGACTTCCTGGAGGGATTTCCCACCCTGAAAGGAGAGGGTGGGAGCACACAGCTCAGTGTCCCATGCAAACATGAAGAGGAACATCTCCCCTCCCCTCAGCTCCACTTTTCTCTCTTTCACAGGGCATTTATCGAGTTAATGGTGTCAAGACCCGCGTGGAGAAGCTCTGCCAGGCCTTTGAGAATGGGAAGGAGCTGGTGGAGCTGTCCCAGGCCTCCCCCCACGACATCAGCAATGTCCTAAAGCTCTACCTGAGACAGGTAAGGTGCTGGTGGTACCCCCTGTGGTGGGAGGGAGGGGAGGTGGCCAGAGGAACCAACCTGGCAGGAGGAATTCTGCACAAGGCAGGCTCCATAGGCAGGTGGGTGGGTGCAGAGGGGCCCCTCCCAGCAGGGTGAGGTTGGCTGTGGAGATGGGGCCACAGTGACCCCCCCGCTCAGCCCTCAGTGCGTCACAGCGGTCACAGCCGCGACTGCAGCACCGAGCCCTCCGCCCCTCCCAAATGGGGAACTGGGTACCCACAAAGGGGAAGGGACCCAGCAAAGGTCACCCTGCACAGGCTGAGTCACATCCCCTTGGGGTGGGCTCTGCCCCTCGGGTCACCCTGGGCTGGGCTCAGTGGGGTCTCTGCCCCTGGGGTCCCCCACGGCACTGCTGCCCCAGGCACCCCCTCCCTGCACCCCAACTGTCAGTGCAAACAGCATCACCCACATCCTCCAGCACTCACCACAAGGCAGGAGGAGCGGAAGCTGCTTCTCCCTCACAGGCAGCCGGGGATTAACTCTTTTCGTGCTGCCTTTCTCAGCTGTGACCTCTCTGTGTTACATCACGGGGGAGGGGGTCGTGTCTCTGGGCTCCTCCACACCAGGAGCGAAGGTTCTGAGATGCTTCTGTGGTTTCTCCAAAGAAAAGTGGAGTGGAACAAGAGGGGGAACTCAGCCCCGAGCCCCGAGCCGACCCCTCACTGCAGATAAATGGGTTAAAGTCCCTCTGTAAAGGGCTGGCTGGAGGGAACCTCCTCTGCTTCGAGGCAGCCTGTCCCCAAAACATCCGTTTAAACCACTCTGAAAACATCACCAGCCATGTGGAACACCCAGCAGTCAACACCAGCTCTGGCTGCTTCACACGAACTTCAAAGCAGAGTTTCCCCTGCCACAGCCACAGCCCCACCTTCACCCTGGGCTGTGCCCTTCGCATCCTGTGCCCTTCACATCCTGCCTTTCCCACCCAGAACAACCCATCCCTGTCCTCTTCCCACCCACATTCTGTCCGCTGGGGGACCTGCTGCTGAGCCCACCTCACCCAGAGCTTATCCAAGTAAAAAAAGGGAATCACTGCACCTCAACCCAGCAAGGAGCACCCACAGGTGGATCAAAGGCTGGGTTTGGCTTGAACTTCACAAGTGCTGCTTGGCCAGGACTAGCGAGGCTGGATTGACAGCTCCAGGAGATGGATAAATAAACATCACCTGTGGGTAGAGGGTTTGCAGCACTGGGAGTCACAGGCTCATGGAATCCTGGAATGGAAGGGATGTTAAAGCTCCTCTCGTTCCACCCCCTGCCCGTGGGGGCACTTCCAGGGGTGTTTCCTCACTGAAAGGCCCCAGGTGTCCCCAGCTCAGGACAGCTCCAGGTCTGGTGGAGGTGGGAGCTCCTCCCAGCACTGGGACCGTGTCCCCTCTTGTCTCTGCAGCTGCCGGAGCCCCTGATGCCGTTCCGGCTGTACAACCAGCTGATGGGGCTGGCCAAGGAGAGCCTGCAGGGGGACGCCAAGGGCCGGGGCGGGAAGGGCGGCCCCGAGCTGGTGGACAGAGGAGCCGACACTGACCGGGTGGTGCTGAGCCTGGTGCTGAAGCTGAGGGAGCTGCTGAAGGAGCTTCCCTGCGAGAACATGGCCACGCTCCAGTACCTCCTGCAGCACCTGAGGAGGTGAGAGGGGCAGGGCCAGAGCCCCTGTGGGTGCTGGGAACCTTCCCTTTCTTCCCTGGGGCAGGGAGGTGAGTGCAGCCTCCCGGAGCAGGGAGGAAGGTTCACAGCTGCAGCTGCTTCTCTCCCTCTGATGAGGCTCGTGCTCCAGCCCAGCACTTCCCCCAGCCCTTCCCAGCCACCCTTCTCACTCGTGCTATCACAAGTTCCTCCTCCTCTGCAGGATCATGGAAGTGGAACAGGACAACAAGATGACCTCAGGCAACCTGGGCATCGTCTTTGGGCCAACACTGATGCGCCCCAGGCCCACGGACGCCACGATTTCCTTGTCCTCACTGGTGGATTATCCCCACCAAGCTCGTATCATCGAGGCCCTCATCATCTTCTACCCCACCATCTTTGAGCACAAGGAGGTGGCGGCGCTGGCCGAGCCCGGCAGGCGCGGCTCAGGCACCGCAGAGGAGGTGGGAATGTCCAGGGAGGGGACATTCCATGATGTTCCCTGGAGCCAAGTCCCAGGGAATGAGAACTCCTCTCCTCCGTGCCCTCACCACCATCCCTCTCCCTCCCAGGCCCACGCAGGCTCCCAGCCCACGGCTGCCCCCAGCACTGCCCCCTACCCGGCCCTGCCTTCGGAGAAGGGGAATTTGGCTTTCAGTGCCGACTCGCTCGCAGGTCAGTGAAGGGCACTGGGGGCTCCTGGTGGGTGCAGGTCCCCTGGGAGGCACAGGGGGCACACAGACCCTTCCCCTGCCCCGGGGACCCCGGCTTTGCTGCACGAAGCTCCTGCCAGTGCCGGTGCTGGGCGGGAGCGTGGACGGGGCTCCTCCATCCCACAGAGTCCGGCGACCGCTCCGTGGACTCCGACTCGGAGCTGGAGGACGGGGGGGAGCCACAGGCACAGCTGAGCAAGCAGGGCAGCGAGACCAGCACGGACGACGCTCCGTTCTGCGACGAGGGGAGCGAGGGGCCGCGGAGCCGGAGCTGCAGTGCGGGCCAGTCGGACACGGAGGGCTCCGGGCCCCGCTGCTGCAGCCCCGGGGACGAGCAGAGCGACGCGGAGGAGCCCCCCGAGAGCCGCGGCCCCGCTGCCCCAGGGGACACCGCGAACCAGCCCGGCACCCCCGTGGGTGCCAGGGGCCACCGGCTCATCTGAGCCACCAGACTGAACCACGGCTGGGATGGGCAAAGGGAAAACCCCAGAGACTGCCCAGACACAGAAACCTGGGGTGTGGAGGGGTGGGAGGGATGCTCAGAGCTGCAGTGGCCAGGGGGTTTTGGTGTGTCAGCTGCAGGCGAGTCCTGGCTGGTTCCTGGCTGGAGCTCTCACACAAAACCCCCGAGCCCCCCAGCTCCTGGCAGGGCCATGGGGGCACAGCCTGCCAGGACCTGGCTCAGCCCGGCAGCCGTGAGGCACCTGCTCTGGCAGACAAGGGCAGACCCTCCTTGTGTGCTTGTTCAGGACTGGGAAGGAACCCAGGGCTGTGGCTGTGCCAGGTGTTTTATTTTTGCTGTGCTCTGGAGTCCCTGAATGCTGCACCTGTGCTGCAGAGATGGAGGTCAGATGAGTCAAAGGACCGGCTCGTCCTTGATGGCTGAGGCTGGAAGGGAGCCTGGAGCCCAGGATGGATTTCCTGCCCCAAAGCCACCAGGGCTCCCCTGTTACAGCTGACGGCATCTGCATCGCTGCTTGGACCGACGGGCATTTGGATCAATGGGCATTTGGATCAATGGGCATTTGGATCAATGGGCATTTCTCTCCTTGGCAGGAGCCCTGCCAAGAGCAGCCCCAGGCTGTGGTCGGGCTCAGTGGCAGGTTGGCCTGGCTGCAGGGTCCTGAGCACTGCTGAGCTCTCAGGGCTTGGTTTGACAGTCATTTGGTCTCCAAAGAGCTGCGCTGCACATCCAGGACTAACCCTCTGCTCTTGGAGCTGGGCATGGAGCAGTCCCTGTGGACAGATGATGCTCCCTCCTCAGGGCCACAACATCCCAAATCCATCCCCAGCCCTGGCCAGTATAACCTTGAGCTTACTTTTCTGTAAAGAGATGAATCAACCCTTCAACACGACTCCACTACCTCTGCTGGCAAAGGGACTAAAGCCAAAGTGGGTATTTTTTTGAAGCTACGAGACTTTTCTGCACTGAGGCACAGAGAGACAAGTCGATTTTTAGCTTGGAATGAGCTGAGAGCCATTTCCTCCCGTGGCCCTGCCTGGGGGACACAGGCTGGGTGGTGCTGGGGCGTCTCAGCACCTCAGTACTGCGGGGTGATGGACGGGAGGCCTGAGCCCCTCAGGGCCGATGGAGACGAGCTCGGCAAAGGTACAGAACCCCAGGGGAGCTCACAGGGTTTGGAACTGAGCCAGGGAAGAGCTGGAGACCCCTCGAGAGCTGTGGCTGCCCTGCAGCTTTCCCACAGGAGGGCTGGGATTCTCCAGCAGGCCATCCCAGGGCAGCAGGGGGGCTGGCGGTACCGTGTGTGTGTGCGAGGGTGGGTGAGGATGAGTGTGAGTGAGGGAAGGGCGAAGGCTGTGCTTGAGCTCCCCCCTGGCTGTGTCCCTCCGGTGTTTGTCCTGCTGCTGCTCGGCGCTGCGTCCCGTCCTCGCTGCCTTCACACGGACAGGCTTCCCAAAAACGAATAAAATCCGTGTGTTCAACCCGTGTCTGTCCTGGACAGCAGAGTTGCAGGCTCTGCCGGCTGTGGGAGGCCAAGCACTGCAAACACAAATGTTCTGGCAGGAAAAGTGATGTTTAAAACCCCTCAGAGACCTGGGATGGATTGGAATGAGCGTGACTGGGGGTGGTGAGCGACTCTCCATCACGGGATCCAAACACCAGGGCCCCAGACCAGGGCCAGAGGGCAGGAGATCAGGGAAGGAACAAGCCAAGTCTGAACTGCAGCACCCAAAGGGCCCAGGGCAGCAGGGCAGAGCTCTGCAGGGCTCAGCCACGATGCAGAGTGCAGCAGAGTCCCAGCAGGAACAGATTCCAAACACAGTGAAAAATATGGGCTTGAGGCCTCGCCCCAGGGAGATGCTGAGCAACACCACAGCACTGAGGGTACAAACCTTTATTGCAAACAAGAGCCCATAAAACAGGGAATCAAAGGCCTTTCCCACTTTCAGGACTCCATGGCTGAGTCCTGGATGGGACTGAGGAGTTACAGCAAAGTCCAAGCTGGAAAACAGGGAGTGAGGCCCAGTGACAGGACTGCAGAGGCAACGTGGGAGGAGGATTTCCTCAGCCACCTCTGGAAGGGCAGGAAGGTCCAAGTGCCTGTGAAACTGCTGCTGGGAGGGGAGACTGGCAGGTGTCACACAACTCCTCACACCCTGAAGAGAGAGAACTGGGGATGTGAATGACCTCCCCCACTCTGCAGAGCCCACCAAACCCTCGAGGGCACAGCACCCTGAGATGGGCTCAGCTGGGCAGAGCACGGTGCTGACAATGCCCAGCCTGTGGGTCTGATCCCTGTACAGCCCATTCATTTCAGAGCTGGACTCCAGGACCCTCGTGGGTCCCTTCCAGCTCAGAACCTTGTGGTTCTGTGAGCAGCTGGCAGGGGAAGCCTCGCTCTGCTCTGCCCCAGCAGCTCCCTCCACAAGCCCTTCAAAGCTCTGAGACACTTCCCTGGAAGCAGCCGCCTCACACTGACCCTGGAATACCCCCTCCAGCCCCCAGCCCTGCCCAGAGCCCCCAGCCCTGCCCAGAGCCCCCACCCTTACCCCGGGGTCACTGCACCAGCCTGTAGGTGATGTACCACCCTGCCCAGAGCCCCCCAGCCCTGCCCAGAGCCCCCACCCTTACCCCTGGGGTCACTGCACCAGCCTGTAGGTGATGTACCGCCCCGCCGTCTCGCTCGGCCTGATGATCTTCACCACCTGCAGGGCCCGCACCGAGCTCAGGACAGGGACACTCCCCTCCTGCTCCCAGAGCTCCCAGACACCACCAGGGCCCACCCCCTCCCTGCCCTGGCACAGGGAGCTGCTGCCCCAGCCCGCTCCTCTCACCTGGCCGCGCTTTATCCCGAAGTACCGGGCCACGGGGTCCCCGGCCTGGATCCGGGGCAGCTGGTTCTCCCTCAGCTTGCTGAGCTGGGAGTCAAGGAGGAGCTCTGGACACGCTCATGGAACAGAGAACTGTGGCAGGACAGGGGGGGTTCAGCCCAAAGTTGAACCAGAGCTGAGCAGGAGGGAGGGGCAGGCCCAGGGAACCAAAGGGCCACCAAAGGATACTATCGGGCCAGCAGCTCTGTCACCTCCTCCTTGGTCATGACAACGTGCTCTGGGACCAGCTGCAAACACAGGAGAGGCCCAGATGAGCCAGGGACAGGGACCAGCCCCTCACACGGCTGGACACAACCCCCCACCCCGCTCACCTCGTGCTCAGTGATGTTGATCAGAAGCTCCTGCTGCAGGAACTGCTCCAGGATGTATTTGGGAGCCATGTCCACCAGGGACTGGAAGGGAAAGGCCTGTCAGAGGCAGCTGGGGCAGCCCTGGCAGTGCCCAGAGCCACATCCGGGGTCAGCCTGTGCTCACATGGACACAGCCAGGCTGGGAATGAGCACATGGAAATCCTGGACCCTGGGAAATGTCCCCTTTTCCTTCCCCCACTTTCCAGCTGCTCAGGGGCCCTCGGCTGTGCTGCTGCCACCAGGACCAGCTGCTCTGGGAAAAGACACTTTGAGGCTGAGGAAAAGGCTTTGCCAAGGCACAAGAGGCTTTAGTGAAAGCCTTTTTCTGTAAGGGAATGCCGGGCTTTCATTTACCTAAAACAGGGCTGAGAAAAGACAGGGAAAGCCTCCAGTGCCCCAGGGAAAGCCTCCAGTGTGCCCCGAGCGGGACACGGCCCCGTCCCCACGCACCTGCTTGGCCGAGGGGGTCATTCCCTGCTGCACCACGATCAGGGCCCGGGTGATGTTCTCCTCCTGCATGCGCTGGCAGTACATCTTGATCGTTTTGATCCCCACCTTGGGCTCCTCTGGGGAAGGAGCCGCACGCGGGGTCACCGAGAGCCCCCCAAACCCCTCTGCCCCCGAGGGGCTCTGCCCGCGCCCCGCCCGGGCCGCTCACCGGGGAAGAAGACGAACATCTGGTCGGTGGGGTCGTCGTTGTGAGCCACCAGCACGGTCAGGTCGGTGCGGCGGGGGCGGCCCTCGCTGGGCTTGTCCCCGAACTGGGCCTTGAACTCCTCCAGCGTCTGGTCCAGCTCGTCCTGGGTCACCAGGTACCCGCGGTCGTGGCAGAGCTGCGGGGGCAGCGCCGGGCTCAGGGCTCTGCCGCGGGTGCCGGCCCGCCCCGCCGGTGCCATCCCATCCCGTCCCGTCCCGTCCCGCCCCCGGACCTGCATGATGGTTTTGCGGATCTTCCACAGCCGGTACGTCTCCTCCTCGTCGTCCATGCTGCCCGCCCAGGCCCCGGGCTGCCCGCGCCGCCGCCTGCCCCGCGCGCACAGGCGGGTGCTGGAGCGGCCGCGGGGACCTCGGCCGCGGCGGCCTCGGCCGCGGCGCCTCCTGGGAGTTGTGGTCCGGCCCGGGCTGCCCCCGCCGCGGGGACCGCGGGCAGCGGCGGGAAGGGAAATCGCTCCGCCGCCGCCGGGATGGACACCCGGATCTCTACGGCCCGGCCCGGGAGGGACCCGCCGGCCGCGGGGCGCGACCCGCAGCGCCTGACACGCCCCCCTCCCCGCGTGGCCTCGCCCGGTAAACACCCCTGCGGCCACCCCGCCCGGCCCGCCTTCCCATTGGTTCCGCTGCCCGTCCATCACCCGGCCGCGCCGGCCCCGCGCGCGCTGATTGGGCGCGGCGGCGCGGGGGGCGGTGCCTGCGCGCGATGCGCTGGGGCCGGGCGGTGCGGGCCGCGCTGCGGGGCGCGGGAGCGGCGGGAGCGCTGCGGGCACCGCTGTGGACCATGGTGAGTGCGGGGGCCGCTCACGGGGCTCCCCCAGGGCTCCCCCGGGGGCGTGGGGCCGGCGGGGCGGGGCGGGGGCGCGACCGGGGCTCCCCGCTGACCCCCGCTCCGCAGTGCGCCCAGGCGGAGGACTGGCGCTCGGCCAGGGCCATCTACGACTTCCACGCGCTCGACATCGACGGCAACGACGTGTCCCTGGAGAAGTACCGGTAGGAGGGCAGGGCCGGGGGCGCGGGGCCGGGCGGAGCGGCCCTTGCGTAACCCGGGAGCCGCTGCCGCGCCCGGCGGGCGAGGGGCCCGTCCCGCTCATCGCCCCCCTCCGCAGGGGCTGCGTCTGCATCATCACCAACGTGGCCTCCAAATGAGGGAAGACCGCGGTAAACTACACTCAGCTTGTTGACCTGCACGCTCGATACGCTGAGAGGGGTTTACGCATCCTGGGCTTTCCCTGCAACCAGTTCGGGAAGCAGGTGCGGGGCAAGGGGCCGAGGGCTCCCCGGGAGCGTCAGGACGGCTCGGGGGCCCTCACGGTCCCGGTGTCGCCTCTCAGGAGCCCGGGGACAACGCTCAGATCAAGGCATTTGCTGAGAACTACGGAGTGAAGTTCGACATGTACAGCAAGATCGATGTGAACGGGGACGATGCCCACCCGCTCTGGAAGTGGATGAAGGAGCAGCCCAAAGGGAGGGGCACCCTGGGCAAGTGAGTGTGGCAGGGAGGGCTCGGCTCGGGGCCTGGCTGGGGTTGAGGAACCCGAGGAAGGGTTTTTCTCCCCAAAACTCACTCCTTGTTTTTCTCTCCTAGTGCAATAAAATGGAACTTCACCAAGGTAGGGCACAGCTGCCTCCCCTGGGCCGTGCTGGGCACTGGGGAGCTGGGGGGTCCCCGAGGCAGGGAGGGGAGGGGGGAGCCTCACACCCAGGCTCTGCTCTGTGCCGTTACCCTGGATGTCGGGGCAGGAGCATCCCAAGGGGCTCCTGTGCTGGGAGACCCCTGGGAGCCCCTACCCCACCCCAGGGTGCAGTAACCAGACACGCTCCCTGGGAGCTCAGCTGACCCCTGGACTCACTCACGGGGTGTTGCTTCACTCCCCAGTTCCTTATTAACCGGGAGGGCCAAGTGGTGAAGAGGTACAGTCCGATGGAGGATCCCTCCGTGAGTGCGGGGAGCAGCAGTGCTGGGGCGGGAGGAGGGGATGGACAGGGATGTTTTCGGGGCACAAACACTCCCTCTTCCCCGCAGGTGATCGAGAAGGACCTCCCTGCCTTCCTGTAGCTCCGCTGTCCCCCTGCCTGCCCCAGCCCCGTTGCCCCCGGAGCCTCCTCCAGCCCCATGACGGGCTGCCCCCAAGCCAGGTCCTGGTGGGGCAGCCCCGACCCCGCGTGCACCGCTGGACGGAGGCCCCGCGGCTGCGGCCGCCCCGGGCAGGAGCAGCCGGAGCCCCCCTGCAGTAACTGGAGCCCCCTCGCAATAAAGACCTTAGGAATGAGCCCGTGGTGTTGGGGGGAGGGAGCGGGGATGGGGAGGGGGCTGGTCCCGGTGAGAACCTGGAGCTTTGCTGGGAGCCAAGACCTTGCGTAACTCCTGAGCTCCTGAGCAGGGATAATCCCCGGGGCTGAGGGGGAAGTGCACACAAATCCTGCCTGAGCCATGCTCCTGAGGGGCTCCTTGGGAAAAGGCAAAGCAGGGGAAGGCGTATGTCCCCTCTGGGATCCCTCCTGTCCCCAAGAGCTCTCCCAGCCGGCAAGGGCAGCAGAGGGGATGGGCCCAGCAGTGGCACAGCCAGGAGCAATTTCTGTAAAACAGAACCCAGTCATGTTGGAACACAGTGAATTAACCTCCCCCAGCCAGGGACAGGTCTGACCACAGCAAGCAGGACCATCCTCCTCCTCCTTCTGTCCCCGGGGCCTGGGAGGGAGCGGGAAGAGCCCTGGGGTCTTCACTGGGGTCCCCCAAGTCTGACCCACCCCCTGTGCCTGCAGCCTGGCACCTCAGGGATGCTGGAGGACCCCACTCTGGGCAGGGGGGCTGTTTTTGGGAGCTGTCCCCCAGCCTTGGCCCGGATCACTCGCTGGGGCTCACCCTGTCCCACCTCCCCTGGGATAACGGGCTGGCAGTGCCCGGGCGAGACATCCCGGCAGCTCCTGGGGGAGGAACACGACAAACAGAGGCTCCTTTATCTGTGTCTGCCCAGCAGAGCCGCCTCCTCCAAGGACAGAACCAGCAAGGATCCTCCTCTGCAAGGGCAGTGGCTTCTCCCAGGGAGAGGGGGAGGCTTGGGACAGCAGCCCTCAATGCCACCGAGCTGACACAGGAGGTACAAAGTCCAGCTGCCAGCAGGACCCTGACCCAGGGATTCCTGCTCCAAGTCGCACTGGCATCTTGGGGCAGGTTGGACAGACAGACAGACAGAGCTGGGACTTACAGAAGTCTCACATGTGGCTTCTGTTCCATTTTTACTGAGCAGAATGAAAAATTATCCTTCTGAGGCAAGTAGAAAATTCAGGAATTATTAGTCCAAGGCACATATTCTAAAAAAATCTCTTTACATATGTACAACTCCATCAATTATAAATACACATAGAAACCAAAGGCAAACAACAAGCAGATTAAAAAGTGCCAACAAAAAGGTATCAGGGAAGAAAACAGGGACTCATTAAAAATACAATCAGTAGGACAACGGCAGAATAATTTAGTTAAAAGATAACGTTACATATTATTAACCCTGACAAAACACAGGATTGGGGCAGGGAAGGGATTCGTTGAAGGTGCTCTGTGTCTTCCCAGAGACCAGGGAGGGAGGATTGCATATATTTTAAAGTTAAGGTCAAAGCCACCAGGTAAGGCTCCGCTGGAGGGTGCCCAGTGGGGAGTTCCCCCTCGTTATTCCTGAGTTTCAGCCTCTCTGAGCTGCGTTTTCCTGGCGTCCTTTTCCCTCCTTGCCGAGAATTCAGCCCCAATGAGATCCAGGAGGTGCAGCCGGGGCCTCTCTGCCATGGCGAGGGCTGGGACGTGCTTTAAATAGGGGAGGGTGTGGGGAGGGGCAGCTGGCTCTGCCAGGGGACACTGCTGAGGGCAGCAGGAGCAGAGCTGGGGGAGAGCAGGAGCCCCCCGGGGCAGCAGGAGGGGCATGGGGGGCTCTCCCCATCTTTGGTGATTGCTTTGAGGTAAAGGAGGTTTCCTTGGGTGCAGTGAGATGTGCCCCTGACAGCAGGGACTGACTCCAGCCCGGGGGGTGCTCAGGGGAAGGTCCCAGGTCCTTCCCCTGGAAACATCCCACTGGCACTCTTAGGAAACCCCTCGATGAGTGGCAGCAGAGAAAGGACCCAGCAAAGGGGAGGCTGGAGGTTGGCAGAGGAGCAGCTCAGGGGAGGTGCTGCTGGAGAGGTGCAGGAGGTGGCCAAGGGCCAACTCTGTCCAGGGAGGAGGCAGCTGGTCTGGCCGTGGGATGGGGGGGTGGGGCAGTGCTTGCAAAACAGACCTTGCTCTTTGGTATCCGAGGGCGAGGTTGCAGCAGGAGCAGCCAAACTGAGCATCCCAGGCAGTGACACAGACACTGCACACCTCGAGCAGTGACTCTCACAGTGCACTCCCTGAGCAGTGACCCTGACACTGCACTCCCTGAGCAGTGACTCCCAGACTGCACGCTCAGCTCTCACCAGGGAGCTCTTCCCTTTCAGGGCCTGGGAGTGGCTGTTCCCAAGGTCAGCAGTGGCCAGGGCTGAGCTGCCCAGTACCAGACTCTTGGACTGGGGTCCCTGGCCCAGCCAAGGGCAGTGCAGGACCAGCAGGACAGCCAGGTGAAGGGGCAACATGTGACAGCAGGAAACTGGCCAAAGCAGGGCTGGTCACAGCGACCCGGCGAGGTTAAAGTGCAGGACAGGGGACACGTGGCCCTTCTGCTCTGGGGAATCCCGCTGGTCCTGGCCTGGCACCATGAGCCAGATTCTGACAGACTGGCACCATGGGGGTGCATCCAGCTCCAGCCTCTCCCACAGAGCTCAGCAGCCCAAGGTTCCTTCCCGGGAAGGGAAGGGCAGTGCAGGCAGTTTTGGGTCTCAATACACCAGCTCAGCCCTACCCGAGGACAGCTGAGCTCAGCAGCTCCCAACTCCACTGGGACGGCATTCCCTTGCCCTTCATCCCAGCCCTCCAGCACAGGCTGGGGCAGGCCAAACTGGGGGCCTGAGCTCCCACCCTTCCCTAACGGACCAGCGCCAGTGACCGGGCGGTTCTGGAGCCCGGCTGTGGCCCCACAGAGCACTGGGCTGGAGGGCTGGGCAAGGCCTGGCCTGGCTGGGACACTCAGTAGTCTGTGGGGGTGGGCACAGGAGGGGGGTCTCCCCTCAGTCCCACACAGGCACTGACCTGTGAGCAGGGCTTGACACAGCAGAGCCCCTCGGTCCAGCGGGACCCGCTCGGCTCCCCCAGGCACTTTCCACCCAAACCTGTTTCCTCCCTCAGAACCACAAAACGGTCAGTCCAAACCAGTAGGAAATTCAGGGTTCCTCAGCTCTCACCTCTGCAGCAGAGGACGCAGATCCACAGCGGCCGAGCCCCGCGGGCATTCCCGGCTGGCACTCAGAACTCCAGGTGTGGCCCGCTGAACTGGATCACGCTCTGGCGCTCCTGGGGGAGCAGGTTCTCCTGGGGGAACGTCCTCAGCATGTCCTCCAGGATCTCTCTAAAATTGATACTCCCATCTTGCTGCAGAAAATCCTCCTGTGGCTGCTGCAGAGGCGGCGGGGGGCGGGGCTGGGGGCTCGTGCCGTGAGGGGCCGGGGGCCACCCTGCCCTCCAGGCCAAAGCAAAAGGGCAGCTGGTGCTGCTGGTGGGGCTGCAGGGAGGGATCCGAGGGGAAGCAGAGTGCTCCAGGCTCTGGGTTCATCACCACGTCGGAAATGCTGTTGCTGGGAGGGCTGCAGGTCAAGTCCAGGATCTCGTCCTGGCACAGGGAGGGCAAGGACAGGGGTAGCCTGGGCCCTGGCAGGAGGTGCAGGGGCAGGGAGAAGGGTGGGCCCTGCTCCTGGGCCTGGAGCAGCCGGCTGTGCTTCCGCTTCACGTCCTCGTCCATCTGCTTCAGCTCCTCCCGCACCCTGTGCACGCAGCTCTCGGGGATCTTTATCCCTGTGGGGGGAGCAGACATCAGTCCCCACAGCAGGGAAGGGATGGGGCACTCTGGGGTGTCAGAGGGCACAGGCCTGGCTCACACCCTCTGCCCGAACGCAGGGGTAACCCCAGCTCCCTCCTGCCTGTGGGGCCAACTCAGCAGTGGGCACTCCCAGGCTGGAACACTTCCCTTTTCAGGAAGGGAATCCTAGTGCTGGGCAGCTGGACCCCTTCATCCCATTCCCCTTCCCCTCCCCAGCACTTCACCCACCGACTTGCTTCTTCTTCTCCTTGGTCTTGAGGCGGACGATCTGCAGGTAGCTGCTGGCAGTGATGTCGGCCATGATGCCGGCGATCCTGCTCCACACCCGCAGCAGGGCCCCGCACAACATGTAGTAGTGCCGCAGGCGCATGCCCTGGAAGCACTCCTTCCCCTCCTGGATCAGCTTGCAGCTCTTGTTCCTTCGGTTAGCCGGGGAGAAAACCACCAGGATTAGCACGGGAGCAGAGGAGGTTCCCCCCCTTCAGCCCCCCCACTGCCACAGCCAGGGACCCCCGAGCAGAGGCCCTGCCTAGGGAGGGAGGATGTGGCTTAATGACTTTATGCTGAAAGAGGGGAGATTTAGATGGGATACTGGGAAGAAACTCCTCCCTGAGAGGCTGAGGAGGCCCTGGCCCAGGTTTCCCAGAGAAGCTGTGGCTGCCCCGTCCCAGGCCGTGTTCAAGGCCAGGTTGGAGAGGGCTTGGAGCAATCTGGGACAGTGGAAGGTGTCCCTGCCACAGAACTGGATGGGCAGTATTTAAGGTGCCTTCCAACCCAAACCATCCCGGGGTTCTGTGACAGGCTGGGCTGCAGCTGCCTTACCACACGGCGTGGTTACAGTTCTTCAAGGAAAAGTGGTAGCTGCTCTCCCAGTGCTCCTTGGCTTCCTCGGGCACCACCTGCAGCACAACACTCAGCATTAGGGATTTTCCACTGCCCAGCAGAGACATGAAATCCAGGGCTGGGAGTCAGGACATGCCATCCCTGCCCAACCACAACGGGATCCTGAGCAGCTGTGATGGGGTTAGAGGGAATGTCCTTCCAACCTCCCCCAGCCCACAGCCCCCTCAGCAGAGGCAGCAGCTCCCACCTACCCGCCGGTACTTCTTCTGCAGACTGTCCAGGCTCTCGGGCTGGCTTTGCTTCCCAATATTTGGCTTGTAGAGGATGAAGTTCTTCCCACGGCTCTGCTCTGCCAGCAGACAGGTGTATTTGCTGCCTCGCATCTGTGGGGCACAGCTGATGGTTACAGTCACAGCCTCTCCACCCAAGTCCAGGTTTCTCTAAACTAACCCCTTCCTTCCAGGATGGAGGTTCTTGGAGGCACCTTCCAGCCTTCAGGAAGAGGTCAGACAGGAACCCCATAGAGCCATGGCAGATCTCCCACTGGAGCCACCCTGAGCTGAGGTGCCACCCTGGCAGAGCCCAGGGATGTACCTTGTAGGAGAGGTAGAACCCTTCATTGGCTCCTGTCAGTTTGAGCGACTTCTCATAAGCTTCTTCCCACTTTAAGCCTCTGTCGACGCTGATCTGAACAGGGACACACAGAGGGATTTGTAACTCCAGGGACAGGACAAGTGCCTCACAAATCCCACGCTCAGCACAACCTTGGTGCTGCTGCAGCCTAGAGCCAGGCAGAGACAGGTGCCCACCTTGTAGAACACGACCTGCCCGTCCTGCGGGTGCCCCGGGGTCAGGAAAACCTCCTTGCTCTCCTCATAGATCTCATCCACTCCTGGCGCTAAATCTGTGGAGGGAGAAAAGGCTGTTGTAAGGAAAACCCACCCAAACCACCTCCTTGGGTCTCAGGATCTGTGCTGGGTGGGGACACTGCAGTGGGAACCACCCTCAGTCAGCACAGGGAGGAGCAGGGAACCCCTGGGGTGCAGGAGGCAGAGCTGTGGCCACCCCGCCCTCTCCATACCGAGGATGCCCATGTCGTATTTGCCCTCCTTCTTGTCCTTCTCAATCAGATAGTCAAAGGTGTCAGAAAAATACTGGAAGAGCATGTTCTGCTTGTCCACCTCCAGGCCCAGGATGCGGTTCAGGAATTTGGTGATGGAGCAGTCTGCAAGAGCACAGTGGGTCAGGGAACACGGTGCAGCTGGGCACAGAACCCACCAGCCCCCTCCAAAAGAGCCCCTCAACCAGCCCCACAACGTCCCTTCCAACAGCAGCCCAGCCCAAGGGCAGTTCCTGTGGGCTGGGAACAGCTTCAGGGCCATGGGATGTGTGGGGCCATGGGATCTGCAGCACAGGCTGCTCCCACAGGCCCTTCCCTTCAAGGTAAACACGCTGTCCAGCAAATCCCACGAGGCTGGGTGGGCCATGACACACCCCCCCCTTCTATTTGCCCCCTGCTTTGGGCAGGAACAGCTCGACACGTACCCTTCTCCACCGAGACAGTGCCGTACTTCATCTGACTGCAGAAGACACCCACGGAGATGAGCCCTTGCTTCATTTCTGGAATGGCAGAAGACACTTGGTGTGTTTTGGGGTTAAGTCTCCCCTCAGCAGTCCTGTGGGGCTGTTCCCCTCCAGCAGTGCCTGCTGTTTGGCAGCTCAGCCTCTCCCTATGCCTGGCGGGGCGATATCGCCCCACTCACAGTGAGCTGCTGAGCCAGTGCCATTTTCCTCACCCTGTTCCCTCTCTCTGACCTTCTCCTCAGCTCTTCCAGTGTCCCAACCCTGAGACTACCGTGGCCAGGAGAAACCCCGGAGCTGGCAGTGTTCTTACCACGGAAGAAGTCGGCCTCCCGTCTCTCGTAGCCCTTGGGCACAGGAACTCTGTTCTCCATGTGGCTGAGGATCGTGGACAGGACCCTGTCCAGGGCTTTGGCCCCATACTGTGGGAGGAGATGAGAGTCACACACGGGAGGAATGGACACTGAGTCCTCCCCTCAAGCCTGGCTCCTGCCCGCAGGAGCAGCAGGAGCAGCAGGAGCTGGGTGCTAGGCTGGGCCCTGCCTGCAGGTGCCACCAATGATCTTCCCAGCTCTGACCCCACCATGGGCTCTCCCAGCTCCTCCAGCCCCCTCAGCCACGCTGCCCCAGAGCAGCCCTGTCACCTTGTTCTCGAAGTTGTACTTGCTGAGGTCCCTGGACTCGGTGGCCCGTCGGTCCCCGTGAGTTAAGGCACCCTGGGAAGGCAGATGGAAGAAAACTTGACTTTGAGCTGTTGCAAAACACCAGGGAAGGATGGTCAAAGGACAAAGGAAGAGGCCAGGCTGGGAATGTGCCATGAGGAAGCAGTGTCCTCAGGGATACTGAGACTTTACCAGAGGATTGGGGGATTTATCAGAAGTGAAGAAAATGAAACAAACTCATTATTCTATTAAATATTTCACCAGCTTTTTGGGAATAAAATGTATGCTCTCGTAATAGTGGGGGAATTCCAGCATCTGGAATTGGGTTCTGCTTCCCTGAAATTCCTCCCAACGCCTTGATTACATATTCTTCCTCACTTCCTTTCCCAAATCCCAGGCTGCTAAAAGCCTCTGCATTCCACAACTGCAATGCCTTCAGTCAGGGGTGACACAATCCCCCAGCTTCACTGGCCATGCCAGCAGGAGCCCCAACACGGAACGTCCTTGGAGGGAGCTGGAGCCGACAGCCGATCCCTGCTGTGGGCACTCACCAGGCTCTCCAGGCGTTTGGCCACGATGGATGCAAACCTCCTCTCCCCTGCCAGCTCTGAGATCAGGAACACGTACTCTGGAGCGGAGACCTGGTTCGATCGGTGCGTTCGGCCTACGGGGACACGAGAACAGGGCTGGAAGGGGAGCTTGGGGCAGCCTGCCTGGGGCAGGAACACAACCAGAAAAGCCAAATAACACCCATCCTGCTCACCCTGCAGAGTCCCTCCTCTGCCCCTCAGCTCAGGACTGTAAGCCCTGCTCTGCCAAGTCTCAGCAGCAACAGGGTGTGTGGCTGTGACTGTGGCTCTGTCCTTTCCCCACAGAGACATCTCCTAAATGCACCTGCCCGGCTGTGGCACGAGCCTGGCTCAGGCAGTCACCACACCCATCCCTCCCAGGGTGCCTGGGCCCCACGGCCTGGCTGACACTCAGGGGCAGGGGCAGTGCCCAGGGACACCCAGCCCTCACCGAACTGCTGGATGGCCCGGTCCGCGCTCCAGGGCAGCTCCAGGGTCATGTGCACCCGGCGCTTCTGGTTCTTCACCCGTCTGTCTGCTTGGAGGGAGATCCCTGAGCTGGAGGCCTCTGAGATTATGGCTACGAGCTACAGGAGAGACAAGTGAGAACAGAGTGAGGTTCCTGCACACGTGTGAAACTGCTTCAGGAAACAGGCCCGAGCACAGGAGCAACCCCAGCGCACAGAGGGATCTGGGAATCCTTGCCAGCTTCCAGCAGGGCAAACCAACAGAAAGCTGCTGGCCTGAGGCTGGCGGGGCACAGGGATGCACAGGCACCCTCCCTCCCCTGTCCCACTCACCTTCTCCCCGCTCATGAAGCGCTCCTTCTCCTTCAGGTTGACGTGGTCTATGGACAGCCCCTGCTCCGCGCGGGACTCGAACACCACGGAGCCGTCGGGCCTGCGGACGACGCGGCCCTTCCTGCCCGTCATCTGCACACAGAGAGGGGCTGTGAGAGGGGGAGACCCCACAGCCCAGCCAGACAGTTCTCAACAGCTTTTCCACAGTGCCAGGGAGAGGAAAGCCTCTGCCAGCAGGAACCTTATTTTTTAAAGGAAGAAATTCTTCCCTGTGAGGGTGGGGAGGCTCTGGCCCAGGTTTCCCAGAGAAGCTGTGGCTGCCCCATCTCTGGAAGTGTCTAAGTCCAGGTTGGATAGGGCTTGGAGTAACCTCATCTAGCGGAAGATGTTCCTTTTCCCTGTCACCCTGCCACCAAAATACACTCCTCATGGTGGGGAGTACCTCAGCCACGTTCTCCGGGCCCCCAAAGTAATCAATCAGTTCATCCAAGGTGTTGAGAGGTAGCTCTTTGCCCAGTGCTTGCACTTTTGCCAGGAGGTCCTGCTTCATCTTTTCCACGATCTCCAGCTCTCTCAGGCCATGCAGCTCTTTATGGGAAGGCAGCATGTGAAAACCACCTGCAATGTAAAAGACAAAAGTTGAGTTACCTGGTAACTGCAAATCAGAGAGGGGTAAGAGGTTGTCTCAGAGGGTTTCTGGGGGCACTATCGTGGGCAAAGACACTGTGACCTGCCATAAATGCTGCTGAGCATGGAGTGAATTCCCTCTAGGCTTCCCCATTTTGGTGGTGGAAGGACAATGGGCAAATCCCTCCTGCTCGCTGATCACAGCAGGTAAACGTGGATCCACCTCACAAACCTGAGTGTGACCATCAGTATAGAAACCAGCCAAGGTCACAAGGCTGTCCCAAGCCTGGAGGGGCTGCAATTCCCTGCAGGACCCACTGCCCCCAGGCCCAGTGCCCCCAGCCCCAGTGGCCCCAGCCCCAGTGCCCCCAGCCCCAGTGCCCTGGCTCCACTGCTCAGCCCCAGTGCCCCCAGCCCAGTGCCCCAGCCCCAGTGCCCCGGCCCCAGTGCCCCGGCCCCAGTGCCCCCAGCCCCAGTGCCCCGCTCACCCTCGGCAGCGCAGCCGCTGTAGGTTTGCTCCACGAAGATGACATCGTCAGTCTCGACCAGGGACTCTGGGGAGGAGTTGATGTCGCTGGGCGAGTCGTCGGACTCGGTGCTGCTGTCGTCGCTGATCTTGATGACCCCTGGGTCACACAGGCCCCGCAGAGCCTTGGGCCACCGGCCCCTCGGCCGCCCTGCACGGAGAGTGAGCGGGTCACGGCACCAGCCCCAGCGCAGGGCAGCAAGGGCCAGCTCAGAGAGAGGAGGAGGAATCCCAAAATAGCTGGGACTGCCCCAAATGACAGGCTGACCTTGGAAAAACAGAGCCTCAGGGGTGGGGGGCAGGTAGGGAAGGAGGGAGAGCGGGAAGGAGAAAGGAAGAGAGAGAAAGGAAGAACAAGGCACTCCTGAGCAGGGCTGAAAGTTGGCTGCACGTGTCAGGATGGACACATGGCCGGCTCTGAGCAGTGCCAGCTCCTCAGAGAAGTAATCCCAGGGCACTGCTTCCAGAGGAGTGTGCAGGACATGGGAAGGTACCAGTGTTTCGGGACACTGTTTGCTTCCAAGCACAGCAAGACGTGCCTCCACTACGTGAGAGGGTTCACAGACCAGCTCCACAACCTGCCAGTGCTGCTGCCCCCTCTTCCCCTTTTTCACATCCCACTAGAGGAGAAATCCCAAAACTCTCCTTACCTGCAGCCACAGCCAATGATTTGGTAGGGAAGTGTTTTTTTTTCCCCAGGACACATGCAATGCCCTATGTAAGGTGTCATGGAGGAACCCCCTCGCTGCAGGAGGGGTCGGACACCAGCCAGGCCTTGTGCCATCTGCCCCCAGTCCAGGCTGAGAGGATGGGGCACAGCCACAGGGCAGGGGCAGAGGGCAGGCCCTGCACTAGGACAGGGCACTGGGGCACAAGTGAAGCAGGGGAAGGGTGGATGACCCAGACCTGCTGTCCTCTGGACGAAGGAGCAACAGGAGATGTGTGGGAGGGCAAACAGAAACCAAGGAGAGCAGCAAAAAGCATGGAGTGGGGAGAAGGGCAAGAGGCAGAGAACAAGTGAGTGGCTGGGGGGGAGCAGCAGGGCAGGAGGCTGGGAGTGAGGGAGCTCTTACGTTTTCTTTTAATGCCAGTTCCTTTTTCTCTCTTTCTTTTGGTTGAAGGAAAGTGCTTCTGAATTAGTGATAGAAAGACGCCTCTGAAAGTAAGATGCAAAATTTATTCCAGCTACCAGGAACATGTAACCAGTGTGTATTTGGGATAGCCCCACATTCCAGGAAGAGGGGTCAATCCTGCCCTATGGCTGCCAGTGCAGGCTCAGCCAGCCCCAGATACAGCTCCTGGAGCCTGAGAGTGTGTCAAGGCTGCAGGACCTTTACACAGTAACCAAGAGGGAGCTTTAAACAGGAAACACTACACTGGGAAGATGTTAAATCAAAAATCCAGTAAGTCCCAGTGTCCAGCCTCTCTTCATGCCCTGAGAGCACAGACCACCACCGGACCATCCAACAAATGTTCTCCACCAAGTCCTCCGATTCCCTGGCTGTGGGCCTGTTTCCCACAAAACCAAGTGGCAGAACATGGATCCGTTGTGGTTTCAGGTGAATGGAAAAAAAATCAGAAAAAATAAAAACCAAAGGTTTCTGTGGGCTGTTCTACAAATCAAAGAGCAAATGTTTAAGTGCTGACTGTGTAGATGAACACTCAGGGCAATGAGAAGGAGGTGCTGAACAAGCTCTGCTTGAAAAAACCCCAAAACCCCAAATGTTGCAAGTGACAGGTGAGAGGATGAACACGACAACTCCCTCAGGTGAGAAAAGAGAGCCTTGGGAACTGGGGAGGGAGCTCCAGGACCCTTAGTGTGAGGGGCTGAAGGGGACAAGGACCACACTGCTCCCCGAGGGACAGAGCTCTGTCACTGCAGTTCTGTGGCACCAAGAATGGCCCCTTGTCCCCTGTGCTGGGGTGACCCTGCCCAAAAGAACACTCACTCTGGAGCCTCCCTGCTGTGCAATTCCACTCATTTCCCGGCACTGGCCCTCCCTGTCTCCCTGCAGACAGAGCCCTGGGCTGGAATCCACTCACAGAACAATGTTTATTTTTAACCCCATTTCTCGGCATCTTTCACCAACCACTCCTTCCCAGCACACTCCCCTCCAGAAATCCCCCGAAGTGCTGGAACACCAGGACACACATTTGGAGGCTGAGCAGATGCCAGGAGACACTCAGTGATCCAGACAGGGCTGAGGAACACAGAGTTCCTGCCTCTGGGGCCAGGGACAGTCACACAGTGTGGGACCCCCTGGCTGCAGGGACCACGCTGTCCCCTACACCTGAGTTCTGTGACATGGAAACCAATCCAAGAGATCAAGAGACCAAATCACCCAAGCAGCTGCCAGACCTGCCCTGTGCACTGTCACCAAACTGTGGTTTGGGCTGGAGACAGTGGAGTCACACAGACCAACCCAAACCCACCACCAAGGGAGGAAAGCTCGGCCTAACCCGGACACGCACGGTCTGGCATCTCTCACTGCTCCCACCTGCATCAAAAGTCACTGCAGAAGAAAACAGCCCTGCACTACAAAGGAAACACAACCCAACCCCCTGTCCCAGGCTTTTGTCACCCATTGTGCAGGTTCAGCCTGGTGTTTTGGAAGCTGCAGGCAGGAGGAGGAGCAGGAGCCTCACTCTGCTGAGTGGGCAGCACGAGTCCTGCTGCTGGCTCACCTCTGGCACAGCCAGCTCTGCTGTCAGCTGGGATGGCCACACGACCAGGACACTGCTCCTGTCCCATACACGAGCTCAAAGCCAACACTGGTGGGTCTGAACTCCTCGGACCACTCCTCCCTTGCCCTGCTCCAGTGATGCCACCTCACAGCACCATCACCATTACAGGAGATTCTCTTGCTCATTCCTTTCATATCAACACCCTCCTTTTCCAAACCTGACACACACAAACTACATCTGAGCTCCATTCCTGGCTCTCCTACACCTGCCAATTCTTTCAGTTGTGTAGAGAGTGGGATCAAGGTTTCTGCAAGTCTGGACCTCAGGAGACTTTGAAATCCAGGATGTAGCTCATACAGTCCCACTGAAGATACAGAGCTCCCTGGATCCCCCTGAGTGTCCTCTCCACAGTACAGGGGGAGGTGACATCAAACTGCATTTGAAGAACAGCCAGTGTTCCGTGCAGGAGCTTTGCTCCCACTCCTCTGGCCTCCCACGCACCCCCAGAGGAAAACAGGGATTTTTAACTCACTCTGCAGCAGAGACAAAGCGGTTGAGGTGCCCATCGTTCTCGTCCAGGACCTCCCTGGTGCGAGCCTCCCCCGTGGACTGCAGGCCGATGACGATGCACTGCGGGGACACGAGGGATGGCACAGGGAGGCGTCAGGGCAGGGGCACAGCTACATGACCCAAAATCCCGTCCCAGAGCCAGCCTGCCCACATCCACCGCACACCAAGAGAGGGTAATGCCTCGGGGAGGAGGCCACGTTAACTGCCCAGCATCATTCCCTGGGAATGCCCTGCGAAACCCGGGCACAGAGATGACGTGCCAGGTCAGGCTGGTACCTTGTCCCTGGCCAGCTCCTCCCGGGCCAGCTCCACGAGCCGCCGCACCTTGGCAGCGATGCACAGGTACTTGAAGAAGCGCTGGTGAGCCGACCAGAACTGACCCCACAGCGACTTGCGAGACTCCAGCCCGATGCAGTCGGCTGCCTGCTGGAACACCATCAAGGCCTCTGCCCACTGCAGACGACAGTGAGGGGCACGAGTTAATATCCTCGTTTCCACTGCCATTCCTGCCGTGCAGGAGGTGATCAGAACAGTCTGGGGGCTGATAATCTGCTTTAGGATCAGTGTTTATGTCGCTGTGTTGGGCTGAATGAGCGCTCTGGTCATTCTCTGCATCAGCAGGACACAGCTCTCATTTGCAAATATGGAACTTTCAATCAGAAGCAAAAAAGTATAAAGTGGTGGGTTTTTTTTACATCAGCTGAGCATTGTGTACCCCTTTTCTTTCTTATGTTTGAGGTCATGGCCACATTCAGGGCCCTCAAACCCTCCCACATACCAGTGGCCATGCCCAAAGCACGGGTGAACTTCAGCCTCCCACTACAACGGGCCCAGCTCACCAGCTTGGCTGCCTTGTCATAGACAGCCTTGTACTGCTCGTCCAGCGGGATCTCCTCGATCCTGAAGGTCACTCCAGTGAAGCTGAGCTGCCTGGCAATGTACATCCCACTGACCTTCATGTCCATCGCCACGATCTCCATCGCTCCGACCCCCCTGGGAGAGGGCGACAATTGTGGGACCCAGCAGTGACCCCCCCAGCCCCTCCCCTGGCTCACACTGCCCACACCACCCTCGGGCACTGCAGCCACATCCCACAGCTCGGCCTGCACGGGGCTGGGCAGGACTCACCTCTTCTCAATCGCATGCAGGAACTCGTCGAAGGCTCGGAACGGGGTCCCCTCCCCCCAGATCCCCAGGCGGCTCATGTAAATCATGTTTTTTGGCTCTGAGGCACCTGTTTGGGCAGAATTCACTGTCAGCACACCCACAGCACCTGGGAACAGTTGTGACTCAAGTGAAGAGAACTCTGAAGAGGTTGGCATTTGCCATTGTGCCTTAGGAGACCTTTCCAAACAATGCCCTCCCTACACTGAGTGGGCAAGTGTGACCACACAGCTGGAACAGCTGGCCAGGAACAAGTTAAACTGGAGAGAAATTAGTCTGACCTGCCAAAAAGCTATAAGCAACATCAGTGATGGGGCTTGGGGCAGATCTTGGCTCTCTGAGCTCCTCTCTAGCCTTGCAGCACCACTCTTCACACCCACACCCTCAGCAGAGCAGCTCACCTGTGGCACTGGCATAGACCACCCTTGCTTGAGGCAGCTTGTTCTGCAGGTCCAGCACTGCTTTGCCCATTTTGGTGGAGCTGGCGTTTTTGGCTTTGTGGCACTCATCAAACACAATCTGCAGTGGAATGTCAGTTAAGGAGAAAGGATCTATTTGCATCCCGAGGATGGGAGCAGACAGAAAACACAGCCAAGCCGCCTTCATCCAACCAAACACCCTGTCCCAGCAGGGACCCACTCGTTCCCCACACATGGAATCTGCTGGCTTTGCCCATTCCTCTGCTCCTCAGACCCTAACTCATCTCCGCCTCCCTTTCCCTTCACCTCCAAGGTGTGTTTTGTCTTGTAATGCTGAGGGAGAGGAATGTGAAAAGGTTAATCCCAGCTGCTTCTTCCCCTCCTCCCTTTGACTGCATCCTGGGAGGAGGAGGAGATCGAGTGTGGGGGATTCATGTGCTCACAGCACTAAAATATCTCCCACAGGCACTGGGCTGCTCCCACAGCAGCTCCCTGTGACTTCACATGGCCCCGAGCTCTTTGTTCCCTAGTGAAGCACAATCACAAGCAGCAGTTCCTCTCTCTCCACTTTTTGACTGTCGGAGTTTTTTTTTAAGGATACAACTCCATCAAAGTTTTCCCTGCACCAGTCCAAAATCTGCTTTAAGCGCGTCCTGTGCTGTCCCCCGGCCTGGCTTTCGCCGATCAGCGCCGAGTAGGTGGCAAAGAGGACTCCTTCTGAGGTAGCTGTGTCACCGTATTTAATCTGCAGGGAGGAAGAACCAGAACACACACACTCGTCATCACTGTCCCCAGGAGGTCACACCCCCCTGCCCACAGCCATGCCGGACACACGCTCCTGATCCCAGAGCAAACCCCAGCCCGAGCTCAGAACAGGCAAAAAGCTGTTAGTAGCTGATGCCTTCAGCATTTCTATTGGCACTGAGACAGGGTGATGACAGGGACTGTAAATGTCTGGAGAAGTGCCCCAGCCAATGTGTCAGCACATCCGGACGCCTGCAGTGAACCATGGGGACCACGCGAGGACGTCGATTTTCTGGCAAAAAAAGCACTTCATTTTTTTAAGCAACAGTTTAGAGTGTTTCATTGCTCTGAACCCTCCTGTCAGGTTCAATTCCTTCTAGAAAATCATCTTCTCTTTGACCAGGTGAGACTGTTGCCCATCCCATTGCCATGGGTCCCACCTCCAATGCAATCCAAGGTAGGGGAAAAACCCCTAGTCCCAAGCTGAAGAACATTCCATTTAAAGTCTTTTGGGGCTGAAAGCAAAATCCCTTTCAGTCCCTTACTGGAGGGCATTCAGAGGTGTCAAGCACCTGTGGTTTCTATGGACTTTGTTAAAAAAAGCTGGTTGTTCAATGCCATTAAAACCAGAGGAGAGGGTTTCAATGAACTGGAAAAACTGGACAAAGACTCAAGCAGGCCACAAAGAGCCAGCCCTGTTAATCATCACACAACTGCTGATGGTGCTTTTGAGAAACACTTCAGCCTCATCACTGAGTAACTGAAGAAAGCCTGAAAATCCTCTAATTTGCTCATCTGGGGGAAATGCCCACAAGCTCCATGGGTCAGCCAGGCACCAGCCCGGGCACCTCTGTGCTCCCTACATGCTCTGAGAAGTGGTTCCATGAACCAGCACTGGCAAAGGCTGGCCCAGAAGAGCAGAGCACATCTCAGAGAGAGGTTCCCTCCACAGGATTCTTCAGGAATGGTGAAGGAGGTTCCCGTCCTGCTGTACTTGCACGTGCCTGCAGACACTTCCCACTCCCTGCAGGGAACAGGTCTGTGCTCCCCGTGCGGCTCCACAGGGCACAAAAATAGCTGGAGCCCCGAGTGGGAAGAGGGCTGGGAGGAGGGAACACAGGCAGCTCAGTGTCTGTGGCTGCAGGGGTGACACTGCCCCATGTGCCCAGGCAGAGCCTCCGACTGCTCCCATGGGCTGATTTCCAGAGCAGCCCTGCAGCTCCTCTCCTACCTTGTTCAGAGCATGCACAGGAATGTGGGAGGCCTCAATGTCCTTCAGGTCTCTCTCAGCATCGTACTTGAGATCATTGGAGACGCTGAACCTGTGAAGTGAGAGCAGGGTGGGTTATCTCCTCCTGGGGTTGGTTATCTCTCCCAGCAGTTGGGGCTGATTATGTCCCCCAGCAGCCAGGGCTGGGTATGCCCCCAGGCAGTCGAGGCTCACAGTGATTAACAGCTCTGACTAAAGCAGGAGGAGCTGTGCAGAGCTGTCACATCTCCACTGCCCACACACCCCACCCTGAGATCTGACAGCTGCCCCTTGGCACAGGCTGAGTGTGATCTGCAGCAAAACCCCCTTCCTGGCTCTGCACCCACGAAGCCCATGAACACCCCTACAGACTCCAGAGAGTGGGGCCAGACTGGTCCTCACACCCCTGGGAGCACAAAACCTGCCATTTCACAGTGACTCATTCTCCATCCCTGCTGCAGGCAGAATATTCCCATTTCACAGGCAGCAACCAGGCAGTAAGAGGTGGAAACGACTTACCCAAGGCCACAGCATGACTCAACTCTAAAGCCAACATCAGCACTAAGGAATTCCTTACTTCTAGATCCAAACTAACTCCAAGGTCTTACGGGAAAAGAGAGAAAAAAACCCAACAACTTACCACAGAGCTTTTTTCCTCCCTTTAAGATAATTTTCAAAGATGATGCCCGCAACGGTCCTGCCCTTTCCCACTCCGGCACCGTCCCCAATGAGGAACCCAGCTCGCTGCCCATTGGGCAATAAAACTTCATGTTGCTGCAAAATGAAGAACAGGACTGGAAATTAAACTAGATTTGCCTTTGCTAACAGCTCTGATACGAGCACTGCTTAGCCCTTCCACACATCCCACCGATGCTCATGCACGTCCTGCTCAGACAAACAATGGTAGGAAGGGTCAGGGGTCACGGCCAAGCTCACAAGTGGCACTTCCTGGAGAGGGCCCCCAAAATGTACAGCTGTCCACCACAAAAGTCCAGGGTTCTTGCCTCTTTGGGAAACAGACCCCACAGAGGCCCCTGACTTCAAATAATCCTTCGCAAGGCATTTAAAATGCCAAAGGAGTTTCATCACCTGAATCACAGTTATTTTAGACCACGTGAACACCTGTCCCTACCAGGGGCAGTTTCACTGAGGGGTAGGAGATGGGCAAGGGGCAGGCAGTACCTGGCAGGCATAGATGATTGCTTCCAGCTGTAGTGCAGACAGGGAGCCCTTGTCAGCCACGGAGCACGGCAGGGACAGGCTGTAGGTGATGTCAGGGGGGGGAACGCTGGACAGGGTACTCGTCTCAACCACCAGGTCAGGGTGGTGCTTCCCAATCTTGGCTAAGTGACAACAGAACACAGGTAAGTCAAGGTCTTTGCTCCCAGGAGCACCTCAGGAGCACTGCAGAGCTCATCAACTGGCTGCAGCCCTGGTCTCCAGATACCGCTCACAGGAAACGGGCTGGCCAGCAATGGAGCAAACAGCTCTTCCCATGGCAACACTCACACTTTGAAGGGACGTATTCTGCATAGGTCTCCGTTTGCCCCAACTCTTCCGTTTCTTCCTCCTCACCCTCATCCTCCTCCTCTGCAGGAGCCTGAGACTGGAGAGGAGCATTGACCCAAGGTTAATGTTCTTGCTGAGCTATGCTCACGTGCAGTGCTGTGCCCTGCCACAACCTGCCACCGAAACCACCCCCCAAACCCTGCAGACACAATCCATCTCATCTGCAGACTAAGGGAAACCACCAGTGGGAGCCCAGCCCAGGGGCTGCAAGAGCTGCCTGGTCCTCACTGGACTGGGGAAAGATGTTTGCAGCCCTTTTCAGATGGGCTGCGCTCTCACCTGCCCTGAGTGAGGCACCAGCACAGCTTTAAACCAGCGTGGTGCCAGCAGCACAGGGCAAAGCCCTGAGAGCCCAAAGTGTCCCTTAACACAGTGAGGTGCCACCCCAGGAAATACAACACACTTCTTGTCTCATTCCCTCTGAAGGGAGAAGGGTCAGAACTGCTCCCCCCACACTGGGATGTCCCCAGGAGCCTGGTGTCCCATCCCACTGAGGCCAACCATCGCTCTCACCTGGTAGCTGATGAGGAGCGGGGTGTTGGGGACAGCAGGAACGTGGTCATGGGAGCTATTCAGGCCAGGGAATGCTGTGCTGGATGAGAACAGCTGGAACACAAAGAGTGCAGGTGAGGAAAGGCTCCAAACCCTCAGCCCTCCGGCCCAGCAAGCACAGAAATACACCAACAAAGATCCTTGGACACGTGTGATCCCTGGACCATCCAGCCTGCTGTGCCACAGCCAGCAAGGAGAGAGAGCTCCCGAGACACTCTGGGCTGGGAGGACTCAGGCAAGGAGATCCTTTGTCTGCTCCCACACAAACAAATTCACCCTGGAATTTCCCGACAGCGAGCAAGGTCAGGCCAGCAGCTCGTGGCATCCAAAGCAATCAGCAGCTCCAGGAGCAGCACTACTCCAAGTTTACAGCCTGTGCAGAGTGCCAGGCTCACAGAACCTCCTGCTCCACCAGTAGCAGAGAAAGATGGGAAGATCTTAGGCATAAACACTCCTATTTTTAAATAAAATCAAAAAAATAAAAAGAAGAAAGAAAAAAGCCACCCTCCATTCCTGGAAGCCTGAGTCAGAATTACCAGAAGGAAGCTGGACGGAAGAGCTGCTTTTGGTGCCAGCAAATCTGGAGAGCAGGTGAAACATCCCCACCTACAAATCCCAGCTCAGAGTTTGGTCTCAGGCAGGAGAAAGGCCTGGAGCTGCTGGAAGGGCAGGATGTGTTCTTGCAGCTCCAACAGTAGGAGGTGAATGCAGGGCTGGTTTTGCATCACCCAATCCCCAAAGTACAAACCTCTGCTATCCCGATCCAGCTTTGGCACTCAGCATTCCACCCCAGCAATTGCAGAGGATGCAACAGGAACCTTGGTTGCTCAGAGCATTTGGAAACTACCCACACAGGTGAGAATGTGCTGTGAGGGCCAGAGCAGGTGGGATCAGGAGCTGCAGTGGGAGATGGATCATCCACCTGTACAATTCCTGCCTTTCTCCACCCCCCCCTCACCTCCCAGTTGGATTTTCTCCTCCCTCTGTGTTAAGGACATCCAGAGAAGAGGAACTCAGATCCATGAGAACACAGGGTTGGAAGCAGGAGAGAGAGTGACAATTTCACAGTCACAGCCTCGGCCCTACTCCATTTTTTCCTCTCTGCATTATTCTCTGTTTTGTCCCACCTCACTGTGACTTCCCTGGGAAGGGAATCAGTCCCATGTGGCTTCCAGGCCAAGCCCCCCTCTGTGTAAATCCCTTCCCTGGGTACTGAGCTGGGAGAAGGGTGAAGTGCTGTGAACAAGCTATAAAAAACTGCATGAGCAGCTCCAGAATTCCAGCCACAGGCTTCCAAAGTAAGTCTGTGCTTCCCAGCCTTAAAACACTGGGAATGTGTGAGATGGATGAGAGAAAACACGACATGACAGGGACTATTTTTAAATGGTATTTCCCAACTCCATTACAAAGGAAACTGTTTTGTCTGCTGCTCCTGCAAACATTTCACAGGGTGGCAGCTCTTCCCTAACTGCCCATTCCTGAATGACAAACAGAGCCAACGTGCTGGATGCAGCTCCTTTCTTCGGGATAACAACTCTCCCCACGGGCACATGGACAGCTCTGCCTCCAGCCCTCTCCTCCTCAATCATAACACCCACTCCAGACTCAGCACTGGGCACCTCGGTCCAGGGGTTCCCAGGGAGCTTGGAATGTTTATTTTGAAAGAGGACAAGGCACAAGGCTGGTCCTGTACCTGGGATCCACAGGTGGGTCTCCCACAGGATGCATCCAGCTTGGCCCCTGAGATGTCTCACACATCAGAACTGTGAGAGACAGATGTTCCTGCTCTGCCTGGGTCTCTGAAACAGAAATTCTGGAAAAACTGCAGTCCTGATAACTCAGCAGAGCTGGGTCAGAGCTGGCTGCACAGCCACAGCTGAGTGATGCCCTGGATCACACGGATCAGGATGAATCTGCCTGGGTGTAACGTGACTGAGGTTCCATTTGTACTCTAGCTTAGTGACTGCTCTGGCTGCTGGCAAGCCAAAATTCCTGCAATTCTATGGAAAACTACACTGCGAGGATGTGGGAAGGGATAGGGAGAGATTACCCAAACTGCTGATACTGTGCACCAATGTGCAGCTGCCAACGATGAGTCAGTCTGACAATCCTTTCACCCAGTGTCCAGGTCCACAGTGCCACCTCCATGCAAAAATGAAACCAAAATCTCCTGTCCAGGATGCACCTCCCTGACACCTCCTCAGGAAATATCACTCAGTTAAAAAGCAGCCCAAAAAGCAACAACCCCGCCCAAACCATCTCTGTCTCCAGAAAACACAGATAAGACAACGTTTAAAATAGCTGGAGATTCCTTTCCAAGGGAAGTTGTTTATAAATGGAATTCCAAGGAGCTAATTGGCCTTATCTGAGTCCAAGTGCTCCACAGGACAAAAGAGGCGAGGGCAGGACGTGAGGAACAGCACAGACAGGGACAGGGACAGGGCCAAGCTGGAGACACTGCGGTGCCCACACTTACATGACATTTATTTCTCCCTTGTTTTCTTTACACTGAATTTAGAAAACTGGGTGTTTTCCCTCGTTCTTCCTAAGAGAGTGACCTGCAGAGGGACCTGGATCCAGTGGATGTGGACGATGTGGCTCCAACAACCCCTGGAGGAGATGGCTGCCCCTGAGGCAGAGCAGATGGCAGAGGGCTGGTGAATTTGCCCAGGACCACAGGCTGCTGTGGGATTGCCAGGAGATCCCACGCCCCGGAAAACTCCGGGATGTAAAAGCTTGCAGGGACTTGGACTCACAAAGTAAACACAAATGGTGAGTCTCAAGTTGAGACAGTTTTTCAGTCATTGTAACTGAAATATTTGCCCTGGAGAACAAACAAAAGGTGCCGATGCTGTGGGGGGCAGTTAATGATCCATGTCAGGGTGGTTTTCCTGGAGCCCATCCCTCCAGCACTCCCGAGTGCCCTGTCCAGGTCACACTGGACCTGATGAATGTTTTAGGGATACATCCTCCTCGGGACGTACCTCCCTGCCACAGCTGCCAGGAGAAAGAGCTGGTGCCTGCTAACAGCAGAACAGCATCATCACACCTCAACTTCACCTGAAGGAACTGGGTTGGTTTCTTAATTCCTTAAAACCCCCACAGGATGAAGCCTGAGGTGTCTCCTGTCTTCTGCGGAGGACGAGGGAGAAGCAGCCCCTACCTCGATGGGGTTCTGTGGCGTGTTCACATCCCATAGTGTTGGCACGTGGTTCAGGCTGTCGGCGGACAGGAAGTCCTTGGGATCCGCGATGTCCGAGAGGGAATCGGCGGGGGACGAGAAGAGGGAGTTGTTGGAGAGCTCATCGAGGTATGAAGAATCCTGCAATGCACACACGACCACGGTTAGGGGAGGCAGGATGAGACCAGAGAGCTCCTTCCTCGCTCAGCCAGCAAGTTCTAATTTCTTGCTGTTGAATGAGCAGCCCCGTTACTTCACGCTCCACAAATCTCAGAGATTAACCTGAGGCTGAGGACACGCTCTGAGGTGCAGATTGAAAATCTGTTTCTTGAAAAAGCAGGAAAACCCCTGGCCAGGAGTACAGGTACACGGTCAGGGCTGACTCAGGCTGTGCACATCCCTGCATGCTGAGTGCAGGCACTGGAGGTGCACGGAGGCACTGAAGGAATGGCAAGTGTGATGCTGGGGATTGGATTCCTCAAATACCAACCAGGGGACCCAGGAACTCAAGGAGCGAGGGCTGCCCGTGGGTCTGGCAGAGCAGGATGGCCCCTCCTGCCAGCAGCGGGTGCTGCCATGTGCCCAAGGGGCAGCGCTTCCCGTGCAGCTCTTGCTCTTGATATTCCTGTGGCTATTTTAGGATTACCCAGAAAGCAAGCTGTCTGCAGACTGAACAGGCATCCAGACTTATCACCTCAGAATTAGGGGATCTCTGGACTCTGTTTCACACTTGGGAAAGCAGAACAACACTGGGGCGAACACGGCCCCGGCCAGAGCGAGTGCCCTGTGCAGGATCCACACCTGGTCCCATCACTGAGACTCCTCTGAGCAGGGTTTGTTCACCTGCCAGTGGCACTGACAGAGGCTGGGTCAGGAGGAAACATCTGCACATACCATCATGGCAGCAGGAGGCTGTGGGGCAGCCCAGAGCGGCCACTGCATGTCAGGGTCCCAAGGACAGGCAAGGGCTGAGCTGGAACAGCAGCAGGATCTGGGAAAGCCCTGTGGCACCACCTGAGACACCCCAGCAAGTGTCCCCCACCACCTTCCCAAACCCAGCCCCTTCCAGCCCCATTGCTCAGGGCACTGGGCTGAGCTGGGGGGAGGAAAGCAGCCTCCAAGGCAGAGGGAGGACAATACCAGTCCTGAAGTGATGCAGTGATCCCATCCTCTGGCATCACAAAGCATTAGTCACCAACTTCTAGAGTCTCCCGTTTGTCTTAACTAATTGCATTATCTAAAGAGCACTAAAGTTAATCACCTGCCAGGATCCCCACCCAAAGAACTTCCACCACCACAGCATTAATTGGCCCTGCTTCTATTAAACCTGGAGTAATTGCTTAACAAAAGGCCACAAATAACCACAACCAGTACAAACCATGCCTGGACTAATCACTCCACTGGTTTATCTGCCCCAAACTGGAGCAGCTGCCTTGGTGTCCTCAGGCAAAAAGAAGGATCATCACCCCAACCAAGAGCTCATGGTCAGGATCCTCAGGTCTTGGGTTTGAAACAAGTTATTTTGTCCCTGTTTCAGACTGATTAATCAGAATTTTAAGGATTTCTCACTGGAAACGTGAGGTTTTACAGTAACAGCACTCCTGTTTCAGTAGAAGTTGCATTTCTGCAACAGATGGAATTTGTCCTGCCAGGCAGGATTTTTATTTCAAATGTTTTTCCACCACGGTTCTCCATAAATCTCACTCCTGGAATTCAGCATCTCTGTGGCCTCCTCTGGACTGGGCCCAGCAGGTCCAGGCCGAGGACCCAGAGCTGGGGTCAGGGCTGCAGGTGGGTCTCGGAGCAGAGGATGAACTGATGCTGCTGTGGCACATGGTATTCCTGTCATTACCCCAAAACTGAGATTATCAAACCCAACAACTCCCTAGAAAAGATCAGGAAAAGACCAGGGTAAACCAGCCCAAACACTCGACCTTTCTCCAAGCCCCTGGGAACAGCTCAGCTCCTTTGGTCAAAACAAAGTGTTAAAAATAATGATATAAATAAATGATATAAATAAAAAAACGAGCAGGTGAAGTCTAAATACAGAAGGAACAAGCATTCTAAAAATATTTGTGGCCATCAATAGAAATGTTTTATTTTCTAACAATCCAGACTCTGAGGAAACAGTGTCTGCAGAGCAGCTCTGGATGACTGCACTGCACAGCACCCAGGTGAGAGGGGGGGTTTTATTAAAAACCAAAAAACACATCTATATACGCAAATACACACCCACAACCACAGCCACGCTGTCAGCAAGGAGAGATTTGGCACCTCAAAAATCACAGATTAAGCAAATTATGTTCCAGGAGCGACAGAAGCAGCAGCTGCAGATGATCACTATAAAAAACCCTTTAGCTGCAAACCCCAAAGTTTTCCTAAATTCAGGGCAACAAACTGGCAGTGGGGAGGGTTCAGCTCCGGCCGGCCGGTGCTCCCCTCGCTCCCTGCACCCAGCATCTGCTTCGGAAATAAAACCCCTCAAAGCCCTCACACCCACACAAACACACGGATCAATTCCCACACAGCTCCTTCCCTCCAAATTCCACGCTCAGTGACCGAGTCCTGACTGACAGAACAACGTCCAGTAAGGCAGGTACCAGCAAAATATAAATCACATCTTCGGGACAATAAATCTATTCCCGGTGCCCAACATGGAGAGGCATCATTCCCAAACTCTGCTGCCACTGCACAACTCCCAGGGAGCAGCTGGGGCCGGCTGCCCTCGCAGCCAAACGCACCAGGGATTCCGAGGAGGAGGAAAAAAAAAACAGGAAAAATCAGGCATTACCTTGTAGAGAGACGGGAACTTTAGCCAGAAGTGCATTTGGGACATTTTAGAGCAGCATTCGGGGGGCTGTCGGCGGCAGCAGCACGGGGAGGGTGCTCAGTGTAAAGTGAGGAAAGGTCCATTCACGGCCGGGGCTCATCGGGGGCTTTAAAAACCAACATTCAGCAGCCAGGAGGGAAAATGGAGGCAAAGGGCCCGGCAGAGCCGCTGTCCTGCGCCCGCAGATTTGCATAGAGTGTTTAGTCACGACGAGAGGGCTCTTACTTCCTCTAAGTCCAGGGCTGACTTTCAGGAAATGATGCCTGCTTGGTAAGTCAGTGAAATTACTGGCAGTGCGAGGAGAATTACTGTACGTGGTGTAATCCAACCACAGAGCTCAGTAAACAGCGCCGGGCTCCGCGGAGCCAGAGGGCTCCAGGCTCCCTCCCCGGCCACCAACCCCAGCCTGTGCCCCCCCTGCAGCCCCTGCCCTGGGCTGGGGTCCTGCCCACCCGCCCTCCCGATTTCGGGGCTCGGATGAAGAGATCAAAGTGACAAAGCTCACGAGTGTTCCCTCCCTGCTGTCCCCCACAAGAGCCATGTGCTCTCTTTGTCTTCAGTGCCTGCCCCACCCCAAATTGTGCCATTAGAAATCCAAAGGAGTGGCCATTCTCTTCCCTTTCCTCCCTAGATCACTTCCCAGGGATGTTGCCTTCTCTTTCCAAGGCTGTCCCTTTTAACAGTTCTGGTAACAGAAATAAGCACAAATTCTGGTGGGGAAGAGAAGAAGGCACAGAAAGGGACACCTGAAAGGGAGGTAAGGTTAAGGAAGGTCTGCTTCCACACCACCCGAGGCTGGAGGGGAAGGGAATCAGCCAGAGAACCCCCTGCCTGGCGGGAAATCCCTGAGAACTGTTGTGTTTGCACCGGGTGCGAGAGGCTCCTGTTTGCTCTGCCCTGGCATGGTCAGCAGTGGCCCCAGGGCCGGGCTCTGCCCGAGGGGTCAGTCCCAGTTCACCCAGCACACCCAGCAGCACACAGACCCAGCGCTGGGGACGGCCAGGGCAGCACTCACTGCTCTGAGTCTCTGCGTCCCTGCTCCTTCCACACACCCACGGCACAGCTCCAAGGGAATGCAGCTCTCGCTGTCACTGCTGAGGGAAGTGCTCCTGGGGCCTCGTGCCGGGAACAGCTGGAAAATCCCACATTATGAGGCACTTCCCTAAAAACAGAGCTTTGGAGTGACAGAAGCCAGCCAAAGCCCTGGAGGCCCACGAGAGAGGCGAGCAGAAAATGGGGTGCTCTCCAACCCTCCAGGGAGACAGACCAGAGTGAGGGAAATCTGCTTTCTGCCATCGGATGAGGAGGAAGGACTGGTCCCTCCAAGGAAAACATGCTGGGTCCCAGAGCTGGAAAACTACCTCCAGGACAGAAACCTGCAGCGGGGCTCCTTTCCAAGGGCAGAACCCTCTGCAGCACTGTGGTTCCACAGGGACTGTTACATCAACAGTGAGGATCCACCTTCCATCCTGCAACACACCTCGTCCAGGAGGGCTTTTCCATAAGCAAATGGGAAAGAAAAACACCAGGGCAGGTGCTTTCAGCAATACATGTGGAGTGAAGAGGCCAAATTCATTTCTGCAATGTCTTAATTAGCGACTCGATGGTGACTTGCTGCGTGACCTTGACTGAACCACCACCTCCTGCTATTCCTGCTAACCTTTGGAAAAGCAGGTGGGTTATTTCCTCTTCCTTTTTTCTGTTAGTGAACAAACGGGGCAGACAAGAGCCCTGCAGTGGCACAGACAAGCAGGGCTGCTCATTGATTCTGCGGGACCACAGCGGTGTGATCACCGCGGGCGAGACAAACCACGGCGGAACCACCACCCGGGAGAGGCCCCACAGCCCCGCTCCCCACAGCCCTGCTCCCCACAGCAGCTCTGCTCCCCACAGCAGCTCTGCTCCCCACAGCCCCGCTCCCCATGGCCCAGCCAGGGGCACGTGTGCTCACAGACAGGGGCAAGGAAGCAGGATTACACTCCAGCGCTCCCATCTGACTTCCCCCCTTCCAGCCAAACCCGCTGCACAGCCCAGGGAGTTGCTGTGCTGGGGAACCTTCGGCACCCCCTGACTCAGACCAACTCTGCTTTCAATTAAAGCATCTATTTTAAGCCATGTCCCCGTGGTCTGCTGTTGGATCCTACTGCCATCACTTTTAAGAGCACTGAGCATTTCAGAACGGCTTTTCCCGCTTTTGTTGGCTTTGGGAAGGGAGGAGGCAGGCACAGCCCCTGCCAAGAACCTCAGAAGGCAGATCTCCATCCCCTCATGCCCAGAGTGGACATTGCTGCTTGGAGGCAGCAACACAGATGAAAACTATCAGGACTGGAATGGGGGGGATGTCTGAGCCCTCCAGGCTCTTTTACCCCCTCCCCAGGGCTCAGCTGGCTCCTGCAACCCACAGCCAAGCACGACTGCCAACAGATTATACCTCAAAAGCCAAATTCCTCTCCCTTAACCACAGGTATCTCCACCTGAGACAGCCCCAAGAGCTCCCCCTACACACAGAAGGGAAAGACTTACTCTCAAGGCACAGCTCATCCAACCAAAAGGAGACATTGTTTTGGAATAACATCAGCTGGTCTCCCGTTCCTGGGGATCAGCTCAGGGTGCCTCCATCGGAGCACCCCGAGCACTCAGTTGGTGCACTGTGAGCAGGTTACAACCACAGCCCTCACTTTCCTTACCCCAGGCCTGCAGGGAGTGTCAGGCACCTCACCCAGAGGGTTTATGAAGTGCTACTACACCAGCCCAAACCCCAGGCCCGCAGTGCAAAGACAGACATGAGCACGTAAGGCCACTTGTTCTTCCAAGGCCTCCGAGCCAGGTGAGTGCCTGCAAATGCATTTTAATGTCTGTGTTCCCTGCAGACATAACTCCAGGACAGCGACAGAAGTTCCAGGATGTTTCTTATTCCAGGAAACTCTTCGTTTCAGCCACAACCAAGTCTTCCATATAATTTAATAACTGTTATATTGATTTCTCCTAAATCACCACAGCTCTGTGTACCGAAGCACTTCTAAAAATTAATACTTTTTTTAAGAGCGGGGTCATTTCTCCTCCTGTTTTAACAAGGAAGATTAACAGGAGATTGCAAGGGGCTGGTGGTGAGGAGAGAGCTGGTTTATGATTAACATGCACGGTCAGGAGCCCCCATCCAGCACAAACAGGGCTGTAACTGCACCTTTACAGCGTTACTGCAGGTGACTCTGCCCAGGAGCAGCCAATTCCTCCTGCCCCACAGGAAAAAAAATCCATCTGGCCTGACCTCCTTCCTCCAGCCCAAGCACAGCTCACATTTTAAGCAGACCAGAGTTCCTGCCACAGGAGGTTCTGCAGAGCCCCTCACACCCCCACTGTGTCCCCAGCGCCTCCTGCCCTGGAGCTGCTCCCTCTCCCACTCCCCCTTCCGGGGTTATTTCTCAGTGTACCTCAGGGCAGACAAAGTCAGCAGAGGAGGTTTCTGTGTGTTCAGCAAAGTCCTGTTCTGGAGCCACAAGTCACACGAAATTAAGCAAAGGGAACACAGACTATCAGCAACAGGCAGGGCCATCAGAGATAACAGGGGGCTCAGAGGAACTGCAGAGTCTGTGCTTTCAGGAATTCTAAACTACCCAGAACAGTGAAGTTAAAGAAAAATCTGCACTGACATGGTAAAAGTGCCTTGGCAAAATGACTGCCCACGAGCGCTGGATCCCACGTCAGCAGCACCTGAGACTGGAGGGATACTCAGCAGGAAGGGAGGGAAGCAACGGAACCCAAACCCTGCTTCTCTCAGGACTGTGATTTCTGAGGGCAGTCAGTAGACTTTTCCATGAGAAGATGGCACCACATGGTTGGGATGAGACTCTGGCTGAAGACAACAGTTCCCAAGACCAGAAACGCTGTCAGACCCCAGCACGGCCTCCCAGAACTATTTTCTGAACCTCCACTCAAGCCACTTGTTTATATAAAAAATGCCAATAGATCGGCAAGGATGAATCACCCAGGAGCAAGCCAGAACCCAAAATACTGGGGAGGAAACAAGTTCAAGTTCACATCAGGCTGTTCTGGCCTTTCCCTGTACACTGAGGTGCCTGATCCAACTGAAGAGAAATTCCCAGAGCCATCAGAAAACGTGGCAACTGCCACTCTCAGCACCCCCAGGTCAGCAAGGCTGGCTGGACCAGCACACCATTCCACAGCACTTGCCACTCCTACCACGGCAAGTTTGGAAAAGTCAGGTACTTTCCTGTACAGCCACCTGGAAAGATGGAGCCACCCAGCTGCTCCCACGCTTCCTGGATGGCATGTTTCAGCTTTCCAGGTGGAATGTTCATATTTAACAGTGTTGGCATCTGGGACATCTGCAATAGGTGCAGTCCCCCTGCAGAAAGAGTCCAAGCAAAAGCCAATTGCCTAAAGCCACCTCACTCCCATCCACGGCTTCCTCTCCCAAAGGATGAGTGGCACAAGAATTACTGGCACAAGAATTATTTCTTGCTCTGGAAATCATTTGAGGTCATTCACACCTGGTTTGTCTCAGGACCTCCTGCTCTTTTCCCACCCAGCCAGCGCAAAACACCTCCTTTCCACAAAGAATCTCCAAAACTCTGCTCTCCCGAGCTGGCTGAGATCAATTCCTGTGATGCAGCAGGGAAGGAAGCTGACTGACCACTGAGATACTAGAAAATACATAAGTTAAAGAAATAAGTAAGCCCTTTTCCCGTTAAGCCCATCAGCCAAACTCCACCAGACCTGGAGGTGAGACCTATGGTGGGGACCTCTCTCCCCTTCCCATTGCAGGCCAGTAAATGGTCTCACAAGTTGGTGAGATCACCTTTCTGCCTCGTTCCTCCCACAATTAATTCTGCAGGAGGCAGAGATCAATGCTACTACGATTCAATTATTTATCTGGTTTAATCCAGTCAGAAGACCCCGATCAGCACTCCTGGTGGCTGCCTAGACCTGCTGTGCCAGGCAGGTCCCTGATGTAAGGCATGAGGAGCTGGAGAGGGGGGACCACAGCAGTGGCCACCTCAGAAGGCACAAATCCCCAGCAGCTGCACATCCAAACCTGCAGAAATCGAAGCCCCAAAGAGGGTTAAAGCCTCTCTTTAGCCATGCTGAGAAACCAAAAGCACTCCGAGGGGGAATTAACACACACCCAGGCAGACACCAATGTCCATATTAATTCCTAGACAGGATACAGTCAGTCCCTTCCTTATTGCAGATCAGCTCTGTCAGATCAACTACTTCCAGTATTAACTGACTAATCTTACCACAACATGTTGCCAAAAGCCAGTACAACATTCAAAAACCTCCACGCAAAGAGCTCCTTCCGGCCCAGAGAGATCCCCGAGGGGAGGGAGCATCTGGGTCCCAGAGGAGCCGAATGGCCCGGGGTCAGTGTTCACTCCTCCCACACTTCAGCTCTGCAAAACTGACCTGGCTCCACTCTGGAATGCTGGGCACTGAGTTGATGTAATCCCAAAATATTCACTGTTCAGGAATCCACCACTTGTAAGCAGTGAGGAAGCACGTGCAGCACACACGAGCAAAGAGCCTTTTGGGAGGGAAATGACTGAAGAGTCTCCAACGTGTTCAACTCTCCCTGCAGGACCCTCCTGCAGCCAGGACCCCCCAGCACTGCCAGTGCTTATGGCAAACATCCCTTGGAAAGACAGAAGCAGTTTCACCACAGAGAAGTCCCTACCAAGGCACGGACAGCTTCCAAACTCCCGGTGTCACAGGACTGATCCCAACTGCACGCAGCCCTTGTCTGGGGCTGGACAAATTTATTGCCCATCACATCCTTTCCCCTCAGGGAGGCAACACTGAAAAATAACCCCCAGCACCCCAGAGGCCCCTTCTGCCCCAAAAGGCTTCATGAACTCTGCACTTACCTGAGGAAAATCCCCATTTTTTGGTAAGAAGTCAGCGGGGTCCACAGTTGCATAGTTTGTATCCAAGAAATGTGGTCTGCTGATGGAATCCGTATAAAAATCCTGAGGGAGGTTAAAATATTGCCTGTAAGGAAATGGGAGAAGCAGTTACTCCCTGTCAGTCCCCAGCACTTCACAGGCCACTTCAGCCTTCAGCAGTGGTGAGGCTGCAGCTCTGGGATGTCACACACAGGAGGTGGATATCATTGTGGATATTATGAAGAAAAGAATTCTAGGCAGAATAAAACTTCTTCCAGTTTTATCCCACTTCTCAAACTCAGCAGTAAGAAAGTAAGAAAGCTGTACTAAAAACATAATTCTTGGTAATTTGTGTAAACCAGGAAGGATTTAATAGACAAAAATGGTCTGCAGGACTAATTAATATTTCAGTCCTGACAACAAAGCAGGATGAAGCCCCTGGGATGCCCCAGGGCTGAGGGTGATGGGTGTGATGGCACACCACGAAGGGACACACATCAAGGTGCAGGGAAACATCACACCTGAATGCCAGTTTGGGCCATAAACCCCAAAAAACCAGTCCCACAAATGAGCTCTGACAGGGAAAGACCCCCTGGACAGACCCCAAAGGCAGATCAGAATGGAAGGGCTTGGGACAGGGAACCCCCCAGACAGAACTGCTACCCCGAGAGAGGAACTGGGGATGTGACTGATGTGAGTTCCAAGAAAAGATCTCTGCTGAACTAACAGGGGAACAAAGCAAAGGTCTTGCCTGCTCCTGCTGGGCAGGGCCATGCCAGCTTCCTCCTGCCCCTGTGCCCAGCACCAGCTTCCTCTGGGCAGCCACAGGCCAAAACTGCACCAGAGCAGCCGATTCCCTCCCTCCTGGCCTCGGCTCCACACCACCTTAAGTTCCCTTAAGTTCCTGCACTCCTTGGGCAATCAGCACCCAGCACCCTCCGTGCTGGAGCCACGGAACCCTCACCCCACCGCCTGCTCTCCTCCTGTGGGGAGCTGCATGTTCTCCCCAACGCCAGAGGCACAGAACCCCCGGCCACAGGAGGCACTGGGGGAGGGAGAAACAGAGCTGAAACAGAACTCCTGCCCAGGAGCTGGGAATGAGGAGTTGCCAAAGGACTATTAAGCAATTAAGGTGCCATGTGTAGCCAGCAGCTCATTAACTCACCCGCTGAACATTTACATGTGGATTTATGTGCAAACACAGTTATCTCCTCTGCTAAATACATTTTTCCTGCTCATTTTCTGTCATTTAAGATAATATCCTGAAAAACCAACAGCTCCCTACTCTTCCTTTTTTGTTTCTTTTCCGTGCTGCCACAGCTTTACCTGCTGCAGAGAGCCCATGTGAACACACCTGCACATCCCAGCTCCCACAGTCCAGCCCCGGCTCTCAGCTCCTCTAATCCATCCAAGCAAATTAAAATCTGGGCATAAGTTCTGGGAATGGATGTATTTCCACACAGGAAGAGGCTGGTTTAAACAGCTTTCAAGTCGCAGCCGCTGCGGTCTCGCCGTCTCTCGCACGAGGACAGAGCTTGGCCAGCCTCAAGGAACTAACCAGGGAATGGGAAAACTATTTTTACCGGAAAAGTGAACACCCCCTCCTGTTTCCCTGGCACTTCATGGCCTGGACAAGGGTCAGTCAAGGTAACAGAGGGGAGCCCGAGAGCGTCCCAGCCTCCGTGGCCTGCCCTGCTGTGCAATCACCGGCCCTGGGTGGTATTTTCCTTCCCTTAATGTTGGTTTTCCAATGTGCCCATGTGAGATGCACTTTGTTCCTGCAGCCTGCAGTGAGAGCCCACAGCAGCTCCAGGCACTGCTCTGAGGTTCTCCTCAGAGCCACCAAGTCCCTTCATACCTTTGGACCCAGCCTTTCCATTCCCCCAAGTCGCAAATTAAAGCTGTGCTGCCCTGTCCACACCTGCTCAGCCTGTCCAGGGCTTTCTTCCTGGCAAACTGCTCTATGGAAGCAGCTTCCTTCAGAGGGAGAGCTGAGAGACCATAGGCTGACTCAGCACCAGCCCAGCACCCTCCTTCCCCATCAGACACCAATCCAGTTTCAGAGCCTGCTTTGCTGTTCCAGCAAGACTCCACTCAGAGGTGGAAAAGGGCACGAAAATGGTGAGAAAAGAGGACATGTGTTTTATAGCAACTGGGGAGAAAGCTTTGCTGGAGGTTTGAGAAACACCTTTTTGCAGCTATGTGATACCTCATCCGACAGCACAACTGGGCTGTCCCAGATCCCCCCCGGCCGGGAAGGTGTGGAGCCTCCAGCTGCAAGGGAAGCCCAGCTCTGTTGGGATAATTCCCTTACAAATCAACTGAGCTGCAGCTCTTCGGGGCCCTGAACCTCAGTGGTTCTTTTAGGGAGGTTTAATACACTGTTAACATTAGTCAGGTTAAGAAAATCTGAACCAGAGAGGCCACGTTTGGGGTCTTCTAAAGAAATTCCCCACCATGAAAGCAAACTCCTGAAAAGAAACAGGAAAAACCTGCTTCAGGATAAAGGTGTTGCTATGAGAATAAGCCCTGTCCAAACACAGCCGCCTGCAAATGAGATTTCTCTGCAAGGGTTCTGAAGAGAAACGTGCACCACCTCTAATGGCAGCTGCATTTTTCTGTGTTACAGCATGGGCTGCAATTACAACTGCCCTTAAAATCCCATTTTTCAATGGTTCCATCCCTTTCAGGATCCCTAACCCTAAATCCACCTGAAACAGAGTCAGTGCAGTTTTCAAGTACAGAGAGCACAGACTTTTTCAATGTGAAAGGCAGATATGGAAATTCTCACCTGAAAGGTGATTTTTACAGTTCTCAGGCTACGAAGAACAGGGCGCTGAAGGTGCAGCTTTGGCTAAATCACTCCCTAGCAAACAATTACTACAATGAGCCTCACTTCCAGAGGTAACTCCAGCAAAGCAAGCCCAGGTGTGTGTCAGACACAGGCATGTCCCTGCAGGATCGGGCTGAGACGTTCCCGGCAGCGCCGACACGAGCGGCACCGAACAGGAAGAGAGCGAGGGGCAAAACCAGAACAAATGGTCAAGGAGAAAACCCCAACACAATAGACAAACACAATCTAATCTTGTGGTTCGATGCAGCAAAACAGAAATTCTGTTATGGCTCTCCGGAGGATTCAGGACGTGCAATTTACAGGAATCCTGCTCAAAAAGCACGGCCCCTTCCCATCAGCGCCAGCCGGCCCAGAGCAAAGGGCCCGGGCGCATCTGGGAACTCCTCTCCTGTTCTCCTGTGGGGAGGAGCTGGCACAGCTCAGCTCCCTCAGCACCTGTGGGGCAGCTTCTTGGGACCCTCCTGTCGGGAACTGCCCTGTCCGTCCCCCCAGCGCTGCCAGGCAGCTCCCGCCACAGCCTCAGGGGACAGCAGAACCCACCCGGGGACACAGCACACCTCACCCCCTCAAACAGGGGCTGAGCCTCACTGACAGCCCGCCCGGAGCTCACACCCTCACAGGGAGGGATCTCTGCTTTTCCCTGAACACGCCAACATCCCTTCAAACTAAATCCCTGCTTTAATTCCAGGCACCTGGAGCACAGTTATTATGCTCATGATACGAGTTCTGCTTCTTTCATTTGTCGTTCCTCCCATCTCTGACCCAGATAAAGAACACATCCTGTGTATCCACGCCACTCCCTGGATTCACAGAGACCGAAGAACAGCCATGGACCAGCCTCCAAACCTTCTGCCCCACAAACAGCATCTCCCAGCCCCAACAGTCCCCATCCAAGTCACTCAGTGGTGGCACAAGGCCAGTTTACATTGTCCAAACATCTGCCATATCCCACCTTCTGATCCAGGATGGAGTTTCATCAGAAAGGGGGAAAAGGGAAAACAATGTTTATTGTTATGCAAAAATCCCTCCAAAAATGCTGTTTTGAGCAGGTAATCTAGAAACAGTTTTGCTCTGGACCCAGCAAGCCCGTGGCTAACATCCTTCCCAGCAGAGCCACTGCCACTCCCCCAAGGGTACCCAAACCCACCACACTGCCCAGCACTGAGCTGTGCTGCCCACGGGGCAGCTTCAGCTCAAAGTCAGTCACAGCTTCCCACGGGAGCCCACACACCTCACCTCACACCTCGTGGGGTGAGGTCACCGAAGAACATCAGTCAGAGCCAGAGCAGAGTAACAACCCCTGATGAACTCCGGGCTGAGCACGTTTTTTTCAGCACAGACATGACATGGTAGTTGGTGTCAGTCACTTCCAGGGACGTGGCACAGAATTTTAACTTCACCCAAAACTTGCCACCTGGCAAAGGTACCACCTTCCTCCATGTCTGCACAAAGGTAGGGACTGTTCCCTCTGCCAGATCATGCTCTCAGGGTGTTTTTAAAATTCCATTAGTGTAACAAATCCAAGCTAAAGCAAGGCTGTTCCCCTTTTACTGCAGCCTCCAGGTTTACCAGAAATCAAAAGTTTTCTCTTGTTTTTTAAAACAAAAAGCTGTTTGCTGTTGTTTCCAAGCTGCAACAGTGCATGAAATGCCACAAGATCGGTGAGTGATGCAATTATTTCCCCATCAGATCGTGAAATAAAGTAAACAAGGAAAACAGTAAAGAAACAGTTGAATCACGGGATGTGCAAGAGCAGAGGGGATTAGACAAAGGAGAACAGCACTCACTGGTTTTCACTTGGGAAGGACGAGGTTGGGAAAGAGGCAGAGTAGCAGCTACTCCATGAGTTGGCAGCCAGCATGGAATTCTGCAAGGAGAAACCACAACAGTTAGAGCAGCAGAGCCTGGCACTGTCACCTGCGGCTGCAGATCCAAAGGCAGGCCCGTGGCTTCCCTCCCTCAGTGCCTTCCAGAGGCAGAGGTGGCTCCTCATCTCGTGAGTAGGATACAGAGTGCTACTCTCCAGTTCCAGCTTTGGAACCTACTTCCCTATCACTGTCCCCAGAAGGTCACCAGGGTCAATCCCCTGCTTCAGGCCGTCCACTCAGTCAGGACACTCCAACAGGACAGGAGGAAATGGCCTCAAGCTGTGCCAGGGGAGGGTCAGGTTGGACATCAGGAGGGATTTCTGCATGGAAAGGGTGGTCAGGCCTTGGAAGGGGCTGCCCAGGGAGGTTTGGAGTCCCCAGCCCTGGAGGTGTCCAAGGAAGGCCTGGCCGTGGCACTCAGTGCTCTGGGCTGGGGGACAAGGGGGGCATCGGACACTGGGCGGACTTGATGACCTTGGAGGTCTTTCCAACCTCAATGATTCCATGATTCTATGATTCAGTCTCTGTGGGAAGCCAGCACTAACCCAGTAACCTGAAATCGGCTGACAGAGGTCACACCCAAAAACGTCCTCCTGAGCCTTTGCCTTCCCCCTTCCCTGAACAGTTTCCAACATTAACGGGAAGCTTTTAGCTCAGCTCATGCCAATGAAATCAGGGAGAGAACACAGTATCTCCTTACTCAGCTCCAGAGCAGCCTTTCATCTGCCCTCTGTGTGCCCAAAGCACTGAAATCTTGTGCTTGAAGCAACAGGCACTTGGGCCTCGCTGGAACCTCTGCTGTTCCTGCATGTGACACTCTCTAGAGTTAGAAAGAGAAAACTGCAGGAGCACGTCAGCTATTTTGGGACAGGGGTTTGCTTTTTGCACTGTTGGACAAGGGCATCAGGGACCTGGTCCGGTTTTAGCAGCTGCATCAGGACAAACACAACTTATTTATCTCTGCTGCTCTGGAAACAGGCACAGCTGGACCCAGGCACAGGTTCACACATCTCAGAGAGATGAGCAGGAGGAGGAACAAGGTCTGCAATCCCGGGTACCCTCTTCAGTCCTTCCCCAGGGAGCTGGCACCCAGCTGCTTTCAGAGAGCCCTTGTTTTTAATCACAGCCCCGCTTCAAAGCCAGCAGACAGCCTCACCTCAACCCCTCTGATCGATCCCGCACGGCCCTGCACAGCCGCCTGGAAAGTCTGGGAAACCGCTGCTGTGAGCGTGCCCCAGGACCCCCAGGACCTGCCCAGATCCCTCCCGGGGACACCCCCGTCCTCAGGACTGCGCGGCCTCACCTCCATGTCCGGCAGGGCGAGCTGGGAGCGGAGGCCGGGGATGCCGCACAGGGCATCGCCCGGCTGCTGGTGCTGCGGGAAGCTGTTCCCCCCCTCCATGGCGGGGTGAGCTGAGGGCATCAGCCCGGGTCCTGCCGCATGGAGCCCTCGGGACGGCGGGACGGGCTCTGCAGTGAGTGCTGGGAGGGTCTTTATCTGTGCTCTTCACCCTGCACCATGTCCCGGCTGCAAAAGAAAGGCACGTTTAGGTTTTATGGAAGAGGAGGGGGAAAGAACAAGACTCGAAAGCCCAAACATAGCTGAGAGGTGGGCAAACAGCCACCAGCCTGTGAAATGCTCCTGCCTCTTCAGAAAAGAGAGGTTTTTCTGGGAAACAGAGCTCTCCACTACCACCACACCTGGAATCCACCCAGACAGGAGCTGAGGCACACCTCTCCTGCCTTTCACACTGCGGGAGCCCGGCAGGTCCCCCCGACCACCTGGATCGCTGCACACACCCCGAGGTCAGCCAGAGGAATCTTCTTGTCTAATGTACAAAAAGACTCTCCACTTGTGTGCAAACTCAAGGCAATCAATTCTCCCAAACTGCCTGTTTTCCTGGAAATAGGCTCCCATCCCAGGGACACCACACCAAGGCAGGAGTGAGCCCTCATCTCCCACCCCGCAGCACCGAGGCCTCCCAAACCCCACAGCAGATGTTGCTGTGCACCAGCACTTCCCACACCAGTCAAACCAGACAACAAACACACTGTTACACTTCTTAGGTTAATAGTATTTATGTTACAAATCCCAGAATTTATCAGCTCCTGGCACTGTCCCTCTTGCAGCCATGTGGGATCTCAGGATCACACCTGCCAACCCAGGATCATTGTCCTGGTAGGATTAACCCCACACTGCCTCTGCCGCAGCTTCTCAGTCTAAACCTCCCAGTGATTACTTTTTTTCACTAAACTCTCCATAATCCCAAAGGAAACCAATTTCCCATTGGATTTAATGGGTTTACAAAAAAAAAAAAAAAAAAAAAAAGAGACAGTGAAAGCAACCTATACAACCAGAGGAGCAGAGAAAAGCATCTATGATGTCTTTACTTCCGATGGATCTTTCTTTGCCTTCTTTGTGCCTCCCCTGACCCTGTCCCTCCCCAGAAGCCAAGGAAATCAAAGTGGCCAACACCTTCTGATGGAGAATCCAGCCACACACAACACCTACAGAGCACAGACCGAAGCTGTAATTTAAAAGAGCCACCTTTGATCACTGGAGAGACACTGTTTGCTCAAGGAGTATTTTTGAAAAGCCATTTCTGAGTCAGAGGCCCTTTAAAAATAAGTGACCTTCCAGTGAATGAAATGGTTGCTGCCTTTGCAATGGAAAGTTAAATTAAAGGGACTCTTTCTTCCCTTCTGTGGTGCTGCAGCCGTGCCAGCAGTGCTCCAGGGGCAGGGCTCGTGTGGGGACCAGCCAGGACCCCAAGCCTGGACATCGATCCCATGGTGGGAATCGCAGGCAAAGCCCCCACGCTCTGGGGACCTTCTGGGTGAAGAGCAGAGACCCAGGGTCACGTCCCGCCTATCAAGTGCTGTGTAGAGCTCCCAAAGGCATTGTTTGGGGTTTTTTTTGGAGGGGAAGGTGTCCCTTTTCCTTTTTTAATGACTCCCTTTAACTCCTGCTCAGCTGCTCCCCAGCATGGGCTGAGGTTTGCTGACCCCAGGGTCAATGTCACCGACTGGTCTGGTGCCTGTAAAACCCTATGACTCTTCCTTACACCAGACTTCAAGGGCTTTGCTGCTTTTCTTTTTTGTTTTTCCCTATTTGTAACAGCTTTTGATAGGAAATTAGCAGCAATGATTCCCGTAAGAGCCGTAACAAATATACAGCTTTACTTACACATCCAAAGGAACTTGGGAAGGGTAAAATCAATACCAGAATCTCTGCATTCGTGCTCTACATTAGCTCGTGTCTCGCACCACCAGATCTCACTCGTGGACTCTGCAGAGCAGAGCCCGTCCCTAAAACAGCACCAGTTCCTTGGGAACGCTCCTGTACAAAAGATCGTATACCATTGGCAAAAGGAAGGAAAACTGCTTAGCAAGAGAGCTGGAATGCTCTGGCCCTTGGTTTGTGCCTGTCCCACCATCCTCCAGGCAGCCACGTCACGGAAAACCATGAAAATCGGCAAGTTCCAAAGCGCTTCCACTTCCACCTCCCGTCCTGCCGCCCTGACAACAAACACCGATAACACGGAGGCCCCACACACGAGGGAACCGCTACAGCAAACTTCTCAAGTGTTGTTCCACCAGTTCTCTTACCAAAATCTCTCCACCAAAGCAGCAGCTTCCACCAGGAAGCAAACCAGCGGAGATGAGGCTCCCGGGCCCAGCACTGGTGTTTGGAGAGGGCTGGGGGAGGACAGGAGAGCCCACAGAGCAGCACCAGCAGCACCACAGACGGTCCCCAACTCCAGCCACTCCAGTCACGTTTCCCTGCGAGCAGTGCTGAGGAACAGCCCTGATCCCCCCGGATCAGAGGGGTGGCCCCAAAATCCCCCCAGACCTGCTCCTTCCCGGCTGAGCAGCCCGGGTCTGAAAGTGAAAGCAGCTCCCTGCACTGCCTGAGGAAGCTCCCGAGCAGTTTCAACCTATCACTGGAGCAGTTTCAATATTCCTTAAAGGTGTGCTGTCAGCCCAGGCACTACGGGGCAGCTCCGGTCTGGAATTCCTGTGGAATTAATCATGCCTAGAGGTTATGGAGCGTGAATTATCAACTTTTAACAGCCTGAGCTTTTTAGACATTTCTGAGACAAGCCTTGCAGCAGAGAAATTCCAACTGGAAACACACAAAGAACTGCTCTGCAATAACCAGGATGGACAGAGCTGGGGGTGAGGGCTCAGATCACGGATATCTGTGATCAGGAGTAGTGAAAACAACCCAGTAAATGCAACCAGCACTTCCTCCTGTTGTGTTCCAGCCTTTGTTGGTGTATTTTAAATGCTCTCTGTTAAAGGAAGGCAGCTGGGAACCCACAGGCAGGCCCGGAGCAGCCGGAGCTAAACCTGCCCATCGTGAATTACCACGCGCTGAGAACAACAAGAACACCTCAGAAACACGATCCAGTTCCTCCTCCTGCTCATGGATCAGCTCCTCCCGTCCTGAGGACCCCCAGGGAGCAGAGGGAGAGCCCCAGGCCCCGCTGCAGCCACCACTGAGCCAGTGACTCGGGCACCCCCCAGAGCTGCAGCTGGAGGGAATTGTGCAGGACACAACCTGAATGAAACGGCCCAAAGAAATGGGAACTCTGCACTTCAGAGCTCTGAACAGTCATTCTACATCTCGAGCACCCAGGCATCTTCAAGTTCCTCTTTCGTGTTTCTCCTTGTCACGCTTTCGGCAAGTTTAGACCAAACAGGCAGACAGGGACAGGAGTCGGTCCTGTCACCAGTGCAAAGGACAACGTCAGACTGGAAGACACTGGTTATGGGTGATGAAAACTGAATCACTCCAGGGCATCCTAAGCCAGCAGCTGGAGCCACCCTGATCTCCTGAATGCTCTGGGCATGGAAAAGGCTCCTGGGACACTGGCACTGCAGCGTCAGAGCTGCTGTGTGTGGGCATGGCACTGCCAGGTCCCTGATTCTTTACACTTTCACCACTTTCAATCCTAAGAGACACTCGGGAGAAACGCTCTGCGCTGCAACCTGAGCAGGTCCCGACGTTCTGCTTCACACGCAGCCACTCGCGGTGGAAAAACCACTCCAGGACATCAAAGCCAACTTCCCCCGTGGATCACAGGCACAGAAACACCACCCCCTTCCAACCCCACCAGCCCCCCAGGCAGGCTCAGCGTGCACCTGCTCTGGGAGGGGAGGTAGGTGTTCACCTGGATCCCACCTACACGCGTGTGCAGAGCTCCATCCTGTTACTAAAACAGACGGAAGGAGTTTGGAGTTTTAAGCTGAAGAATGTTTCAGGGGGAGTATAAACCCCACCATGATTTGGGCCTGGGAGGCTTTCCCGAGACTCTCACAGCACGGAAAACTTTCTCCTGTGCAGAGAAACACCCCCCCCACTCCCAGCACTGTTTCAGTGACGCTCATTCCCGGGGTTTGCGGCTTCAGGATTATTTTAGGGGAAAAAAAAAAAAAAAAACACACAAAAACGAGGGTGCAAACGTCCCAACAAACAAGACCCCGCTCAGGATAAAGCGCAGAAGGAATAGTCCTACAAACCCACCACGGGGGGAAGGGGGGGTTGGATGCGGGATCGCGTTCAAGGGGGGTCCTCAGCGGGCCACGCTCGGGGCTGAGGGGCCGGGGGCGGACGGGCCCCCGTTCGGGGCCCGTCCCCCGGCCCCTCAGCCCCGAGAGGGCCCCGTGCGTGGAGGGAGAGACCAGGAGGGGAGGGGAAGGACCCGCGTGGGGTGCGGGCGGGTCTTACCTGTGTGCGGGGGGTCCCGGGAAGGGGGGATCAGGAGGGTTGAGGGGATGGGGAGTTCAGGCTCCCGCCCCGCCACCGCCGCCGCCGCCGCCCGGCGCCATGTCCGGCACAGCACGGAACTTCCGGGAGGAAGGGGCGGCGAGAGAGACCGGGAACCGGGAACGGGGCACGGAGGGGAGGGGAATGGAGTTGGGAATGGGGCGTTGGGGGAGACTGGGAACGGCACCGGGAACGGGAATGGCACCGGGAATGGGGCGTTGGGGGAGACCGGGAATGGCACCGGGAATGGCACCGGGAACGGCACCGGGAACGGGAATGGCACCGGGAACAGGGCACTGGGGGAGACCGGGAATGGCACCGGGAACCGGGAATGGCACCGGGAACCGGGAATGGCACCGGGGCACTGGGGGAGACCGGGACTGGGAACCTGGGGAATGGCACCGGGAAGAGACCGGGGCACTGGGGGAGACCGGGAATGGCACCGGGAACGGCCCCGGGAATGAGAATGGCACCGGGGGAGACCGGGAATGGCACCGGGAACCGGGAATGGCACCGGGAACGGGAATGGCACCGGGGCACTGGGGGAGACCAGAAATGGCACCGGGAACGGGACCGGGGCACTGGGGGAGACCAGAAATGGCAGCGGGAACGGGAATGGCACCGGGAGTAGGGGGAGACAGGGACTGGGAACCGGGAATGGCACCGGGAACGGGGCACAGGGGGAGACCGGGAACGGCACCGGGAGTAGGGGGAGACCGGGAGTGTGAACCGGGGAATGGCACCGGGAAGAGACCGGGGCACTGGGGGAGACCGGGAATGGCACCGGGAGCAGGGGGAGACCGGGACTGGGAACCCGGGACGGGACCGAGGCACTGGGGGAGACCGGGAATGGCACCGGGAACGGGAATGGCACTGGGGGCACCGGGGGAGACCGGGACCAGCACCGGGAACTGCAGAAAACCGGGACTGGGAACTGGGAAGGGCGCCGGGGCACTGGCGAGGGGGACCGGGAGATCAGGAAAACCGGGACCGGGGGAAGCGAGAACGGCACCGGGGCAGGTACCGAGAGAACCGGGCCGGGCCAGCAGACGGGGATTACCTGCCGGGCCTTTGGGAACACCGGGGCGGTCCGCGACGCCTCCCAGGCTTCATTCATTCGCACAGAGTAATTAATCGAGGCGCTCCTGCCACGCTTGCCAGCACACCCTTCCTCCAGAGCTTAACCCCGAGCGTCCCGGCTCGGTGAACCCCGTCCCTGTGCTCTGGCTCCTGGAGCCTGTCCCCACGGGCCAGCCCGGGCTGTCCTTGTCCCCTGCCGGACCCCTGATCCGAGAGAACTGCCAGAGTCCGGGGCACTGAAGGGTCTGAAACCGCCCCCAGCTCTTTATGCGGTGTGACACAAACACAAATAAACGGACACGGTGGGAGAACACGCAGGGATCCCCCCAGCACCCAACCCGCCCCGCACTGCCCTCGCTGGGGTCACCTCCTCGTGCCGGCCCGGCCCAGCCCGCACCCCGGGTTGCACGGGAAGCCCCGAGGAGGGGCGAGAGCAGCGGGGATGCCGCTCTGGGGCGGCGGCACTCGGAGCACCGGGGCTGCCCTGTGAGGGCACTGCCGGGCACTGCGGGGACGCGGCTGAGCTGTGTCCCGGCATGCCGGGGGGATGGCCCTGGGAAAGGGCCTGGCTTCCCCAGGAACAGCGGGGCCCTGGGGGGCACCTGGGCTCAGGGAAATGGGGCCAAAAACGGGAGTTTTGGGGCCCTGACCCCGGAGCAGGACTGGCCGTGTCAGGGTGTGCCCGGCCACTGTCACCGGCAGCCAGTTCCTGTTTTGTTCCCAGAGCCTGGAAAGCCCCTGACTTCCCGAGGGCGGGTTCCCGGCGGGCAGGGCCGGCCCGGACCGAGCCCCAGCCCCGTCTCCATCTCCATGGCAGCCCCGCGCCCTCCGCCCTTCGCCTCCCGCCACCGGGCGCTGACGGACAGCCCCCGTGCCCAATCACAGCGCGCCGCCGCCGCGAGCCCCGCCTCCCGTGGTGACGGACATCTCCCGTAATCTATCACAGTGCCCGCCTCGACAAGCACCGCCCATAATAGTGACGGACAGCCCTCTCGACCCATCACCGCGCTCCCGTCGCCCGGTTGGCCACGTAAGGAGCCAACCGGAAGAGCAATCTCGCCGTCGGCCCCGCCCCGTCCCGCTGCGGCCGCGGCCAATCAGCGCTGGGGCACGCCGGGGCGGGGCGGGCGGCGCAGCCAATGGGTGCGCGCGGCGGGGCGGCGCGCGGCGCGCGAGGCGGGGGCGGCGGGGGCGGGCGGGGACAAGATGGCGGCGGTGGCGGCGGCGGCGCGCGCGGCAGGGCGGGCGGTAACGGGGCGGTAACGGCGCGGCAGGGCCGCGGCAGCGTCCAGGACAGGCCGGGGCGGCGCCCGAGGGGCGGCCCCTCAGCCCCGCGCAGGGAGGGGACCGCAGGCGCGGCGGGGCGGAGCGGAGCGCGGCACCGGGGCCCGGCCCGGTTCGCCGGCCCGGCGGCGGGGAGGGGACTCGGCCGCCCGCCCCCCTCCCCCGACTCACCGTCCGGGGCGGCGGCAGCGGCCGGGGCCTTTCCACGGGGGGAGGCGTCCTGAGGTCCTCCAGCCCCTCCCGGCCCCGGCCCCGATTCGGTCGCACCGAAAGTGTCCCGGCCCCGTCTCCCCTCGCCGCCCTCCCGGTGTGTCCCCCCCGCCCCGCTGGGCCCTGCGGGAGGGACCGGGCAGGGGGTCCCCGGCCCCGGGCGGGTTCGTTGTCCGGCACCGCTGACCCCGGCACAGGCGGTGACACATCATGTGCCAGGCGCAATCCCGGTGGATGAAGGATGCCCCCGGGAGCTCTCGGTAGGCACCGAAGGCCTCAAACTTTTGTAGGCGAAAGCGAAGACGTGAGAATTGTCTGGGAAAGCTCCTTCGAGGAAACTTGGTTCCAGCTCCCCAACGGCTGAAACGCCCCCAGCCCCTGCTCCCGGGACACTCCTCCCTCCGCCCGGCCCGCAGCGATGAGCTGCTAGGGATGGAAAGCCACGAGAGGGACTGGGAGCTGGGCTGGTTCCACGGGGTGGCCTGACGGCCCCAGGATGACCTAACTGGGCCCAGTCCAGGCCAGGTGACTGGGAAGAGCCCCGGCAGCGGGACCGGGCCGGAGGCAAAGCGAGTCCCAAACTGAGCGTGTCCCTTCACACATTTATGTTCTTTTTCAAAGACGTTCTGGAGCCAGGCCGGGATCTTTTGGCATCCAACTGACCTGGAAGCAGCTCTTAGGTTTGGTTTTTCTGTTGTTTTTTCTTCTTCTTCTTTTTTTTTTTTTTTTTGGTTGTTTTTTAATTCACGTTTGTACAATCTTCCGGATATCTTCTTTCCTTCCTTTTTTTTTCCTTTTTTTTTTTTTTTCCTTGTCCCAAGAAGGAGTAAAAAGGGAGTGTTGGAAACTTAACATTTAAACAGGATTAAAGCCCTGAGCGCTTGAGGGGAAAACAGGTTAAGGAACTTAATCCAGGATGGATCTGCAGGAGCCGCAGCAGCTGGGAATGTTCGCGGAGGGCGAGCTGATGTCGGTGGGGATGGACACGTTCATCCACCGCATCGACTCCACCGAGGTCATTTACCAGCCCCGGCGCAAGCGGGCCAAGCTCATCGGCAAGTACCTCATGGGGGACCTGCTGGGGGAGGGCTCCTACGGCAAAGTCAAGGAGATGCTGGACTCGGAGACCCTGTGCAGGAGGGCTGTCAAGATCCTGAAGAAGAAGAAGCTGCGCCGGATCCCCAACGGGGAGGCCAACGTGAAAAAGTGAGTGAGCAGGCCTGGGAGCTGGGGGGGAGTCAGCCTGGGGCTTGTTTTGAGCTCCTGTGTCACCTTAGCTGATCTGATGGGGAAGGGCTTCCTGAGCCACGGCTTCCTGCCGTGGAAGTGCTTCCTAAGCCATGGGTGTTCAGGAATCTTCCTACAGAACAGCGCCCAGCGCTCTGGGTGAGGCTGGCACGGGGAAAGGGGCCAGGACTGTCTGGAACGCACCACTTTGGTGCTGCTTAAGGAATTAAATAGTGTTTCCTAAAGCAGTCCCTCTCTAAGGTGTCACCTTGCCCAGGTGCTGCAGCCTGGGAAAGGTGAGGGGGCACAAACACACCCGGTGCAGTCCCAGTCGGGGTGATTGCACCCAAGTGTGTGTGGCCCTGGAGCTCTCTGGGGTGGCAGCTCCTGCTCCCCGCCATGTGGAAGGTGAACCAACGTATGGGGCACCCCATGGGCACAGGAAGTTCTGTGTTTTTCCCTTGGTTTCGTTTCTGAGGTGTCTGGGACACGTTCAAGGCTCTCCCCAGCTGATTTCTGACGCTGTAAAGCAGGGCCAAGGGCTGTTGACCTCTCTGGTGTCAGTGACTCCAGAGCTGCGCTCAGGAAGCTCCCACACCCCAGATACTCCGGGCACAAGGACCTTGTGGGAGGGAGCCCTGGGAGGGGCCGGCTCCGTGGGGCTGCTGAGGGAGCTTTCCCTTCCAGGACCTCGCAGCAGCTGCGTCCCAGCCCTGCCAGGAGCTGCTTATCTGCCGTGCAGGAGCCTCTGCAGCCCAAACAACCTGGCCAGGGTTTATCTGGGCTGGAGGGAGGGCTGTGAGAGCTTCGTGCTGCCCAGCTGGGGGCTGGCAGAGTCCCGTGTGTGTCTCTCACCCAGGGCTGAGTTTCCCAGGTCAGCTCTGGGATATTTCACATCCTGTCCCAGCACTGCTCTCGCTTTGCCTTCCAACCTTCCTTGACAGCCTTGGCTGCGGAACAGTCACATCCCAGGGCCGGGACCTCCCTGTCTCTGCCTACCTGGCTCAGGTTCAGGATCAGAGCGAGCTTCGTTAATGTGTAATAAAATGTTTCTTGTTTTTCTGGTAGAGGCTGAGTGCCCCCGTCCCTCCATGGGCACATCCAGAGCTGCCACTGAGGAACAGGGAGATCTCTTCCTCCTTGGGGAAACTTTTAATGTAAATTAGATAAAAAGAACTTGCCCAGACCAGGGGAGTTCCCTGCTCCGAGCCATGGGAACTCTCCTGCGTCCTGAGGTGAACTCCGTGGAAGTTTTATTCATGCCCAGAGCGGGGCTGTGAGTTTCAGGGGGGTCATTAAGGGGGTTATTAAGCAGACTAGCCAATCCCCTCCCTGGTCTGGAGGTTTTCTGGCTCAGCCCCACCTGCTCCAAAACACCAAGGCAGATTTTAGGTGTTGTCTCGTACCCAGGGTTGACTTTAGTTCAAGTTCCTGTTTCTGTCCCCTCGTGCTTTCCTCTCTGCCCACCCATTTGTAATCTTTATCTGCTGCTTCAGTGGGGAATTTTAAGGCAAACTCTTGTATTTTTGGGCCCTCTGAGCTTATCAGACCCTTCAGCTCAGGGAGTGAAAGCTGTGAGACTCAGGCAGAGGTGACTGAGTTGCTGTGGTGGGCCTGTGCCTCTGCTCCCTCCCAGGGCACTGGGTCATCAGAGGAACTCCCTGGAGAACAGTTCCTAGACTCTGATCCTCATGTGATTCCATGAGCAGCAGCACACAGAGAGTAACGAGAGCCCAGCAATGAGCTGGGGAGGACTGGGCAGGTCTGAGCCAGCCTTGGGCACCTGCAGATGTGGGGCTGGAGTTGGGACATTCCTGGGTCACTCCTTGGGTCACTCCTTGCTCATGTCCCACACCAAATCCTCATCCCACGTGTGCAGCCCCCTGCCCCAGCCCTGTCTCCTGATGTTCTGGAGACCCAGAAATTATGACTAAAATGTGTTTGGGACTTACATCAAATTGAATGATTCTTCTCTACCCTAGAATCCTCCAGTTTTGCCCCGGAAAAATGGGTCTTGAAAGGATCTCTGAGTCCCAGGGAGGATGTTGAGGGTTTAAGCTTGTAAGACAAACATTTCCTTAAATCCATTGAGGGAATTTTCGTTTCTCTTCAGTTGCTCCAGGTGAGGTGGAGGTGGCTCAGTCAGGCAGACGGTGCTGGGGCTGATCCCTGCAAAAAAAAGGAGTTTAGTGGGATTGCTGGAAAGAGGAAGGAAAACTTGGCAGGCTGTGTGTGCAGCAGCAGAGGTTTAATAACGCCGTGTGCTAATAACCTCACACGTTAATTAAGTGTCTGGGGCCCTGTGGGATCCCAGGTGCCCTGTGCTGTGCTTACCACCTCGGTGGTTGGAATGTGCAATCCCTCACAGGGGTCGTGGGGCAGTGCTGTCACAGCTTGTTCTGGGGTCTGCAGGGCCAGCTCTGCTGGGCACGGCCTTGCTGGAAGCCCTGGAGCTGTGGGCTCAGGGGGGCTGCAGCCGATCCCTGTCCCTCCTGCCCGACACGGGTGCCCTTTGGAGCCGCCCGGCTCGGGGCATCCTCTGCTGGGAGGGGAAACACTGGGAGCTGTGATCCGTGGGAGAGCACAGGTAGCTGTGTAGTGATGGATATCCAGCCTGGAATGCCAGGCATCCCTGCAGGAGTGGGATGTGGACGGAGCCCTGGGACTGGAAAAGAGGAAAAGCAACACCAAAGTCCTCCTTGTCCAGTCCTGAAGCAGGTGCCTGCTCTTAAGCTTTTAGGACTTTATTGGAGGAGCCTCGTGAACCAAAGGAAGGGAAGGAATCTCTTGGCTGTGTGGCTGGGTTTTATTTAAGCAGAATGGCTGTGACACCAGGAACAAGCTGTGGGAGCTGGATCTTGGTGGAGATGTCTAGGAGGGAACGTCTTTCCAGGCTGTCCTTGGCAACTTCCAGAATGGTGTGGCAGTGGAGCAAGTAGGCAGCTTTGCTATATACAGTTCTGAGCAACAACAATCCCCAGTTATGTGCCAGTGCAGGTACCTTGCAGGGGATAAGTCTTAATCTACCAGGATGAGCTTAATGGATCTGACAGAGCTCGAGTTAGAAGGTCTTCTCCCTCCTCATCTTCCTCCAAGGAGGCTGCACTTGGAAGCAGGCCCTGCCCTCTGGCAGTCTGTCTGGTCACACACTTGCACTGGGCTGGGCTGGGGTTTGGGTGTTAATTTTGGGGAAAAAAGTGAACTTTAGACCCTTTCTGAGGAGGTGAGTTCCCTTGCTCTTGGGGTTTGCAAAGCAAAATAGGGTTGGAGGTGACTGGCTGGCTGTCCCTGCTCCTCAGGCATTCCAGAGTGCAAGAGGAGCTAAAAATAGAAGTAATCTTTCCTCTGGGAAAAGGGCTGCTTGGCCTCTGCCCCAGAGCAGGGGGGGGGGGCACTGCCCTGGCATTTTGGATTGGTTCACAAAGTCCTCTGGGGGGGGGAAATAATTTCAGAAATATGAGATATTTTTTTAGTCTGTTGAAGGTGGAAGGAATTAATGTTTGTGCTTCCAAGCTGTATTACAGGGAGTGAGCTGTTGGGATCAGGATTTTAAATGTGTCCCTGACACTGGGAGCTTGCTTTGCCTTAAAGCAGTCGTGTTGGAGTGTGTGTGCCCTCCTCCCTCTCAGCATCCCAGCTGGACCCCTCGGCCCTCTCCCCTGTGCTGCAGGATCTCCTCACCCCACACTGACACTGGCTGCAGTTCCTGTGCTAATTTAATCCACTCCAGCCCTTTGGTCGTTCCTATAATTAGACCTGTCTGCCAAGCCCACCGAACACTTGGGAGCTTTGCCGTGGTGTCCCAGGGCTCTGCTCGGCTCTCGGTGGCTTTTTTAAATCCAGAGTTGAGAAAGGAAGAGTCCCTGGCCTAAACTTCGGTAGTGAAGTGCTCACTTATCCTTAAATGATCCTTAAGGATTCTCCTTGCACTCCTGCATTGGAGGAGGCTTTCCCAGGAGCAGCTCCTGGTTGTTACTCAGCTGTGAGGCACCAACCAGTGCTGACCCAGCTTGTTGTTGGAGCTGCGAACTGCGAGGGGCTTTGGGCGGGGGCTCTCCCTTCCAGAGCTGTGCTTGGAATTCCTTGTAGTGCTGCTTCCGAGGGCTGGAGCTGGTGAAGTGTGACCACACTGCTCAGAGCGCTCGCCAAATGGCACAGGAAGGGAGGTGGGAGGGAGGGTTTGTGGAGTTCAGCACAGCTCAGAGCGGAGCAGCAGCACGACCTGTAGTGCCAGGCACTGACAGAACCACCCTGACCTGACTGTCCTGATCCGCCTGTTTCTCCACAGCTGGCATCCAGCGGGATTTTGCAGGCTGAGTTTAATGCAAAAGAGACTAAAATGTGGTTTGGGGCAGGTGCAAAATCCCAGGGGAGAAAGATCAGAGGAGTTGACATAGGAGGGGCCGTTCTCCCTGCCAAGGGAAGGTGTTTATACTGCTTTACATTATTCCCCACAAACAGAGGATTCACTTCAGGTCTCTGAACCATTCAGTCAGGTTAAGCTTGGGTGAGATTTTGGAAAAAATGGATTGGGAAATTAGCTTTTTAAACATAACTTTTTTCCTTGTCTCTTCCTGCAGGGAAATCCAGCTCCTGCGGCGATTACGGCACAAAAACGTCATCCAGCTGGTAGATGTGTTGTACAACGAGGAGAAGCAGAAAATATATCCTTTTTCACGGGGCTGTTAATCAGGTTTGAATTCCCACTGCTCCCTGCTGTAGTTCTGCTTTTGGGAAGGCCCTTTTGGATGCTTATTAAGCCTAAATTTTTGCAATTAAATTGCTTCCACTGGTATTAACCGTCCTGCCTGCTGGGAGGCTTTCCACAGGAACACAAATTCACAGACACACTGATCAGGGCAATTTTGTGCCTCACCTTGCTGGATGTGGGGTGACTCTGCCACACTGAGAGCACCTTGCCTGGGACCGGCGTGGAAGTTCCTGGAGCTGATCTGCTGTAGCTCGTGTTATAAATGGCTGCTTTTATATTTGGCAGTGTTTTCTAAATACTGCCTTATTAGAGCACTCCAGAAAAGGGGTAATTTAATTGTGTGCCTTAATTAGATCAAACACTCTGCCACCAGATCATTAGGATAAAGCGGTGTGACAACTTCTGCTTGTGCCGTGGCCTCGGCAGACAGGGGGGACAGCGAGTCAATTACAGTGAGAGAGAGATGCCGTTAATTAGGGGGAAGGGAGGAGGCAGCGCAGGGAAAGGAGCCCGAGAGAGACATCGTGTGTCGGTACCAGGTGATGACAGCCCAGAACTGTCACTGGGAAATGGGGTCTCTCTGGGGACGTCTCCCTGTTTCTGTCACTCCTGTGGAGTCTCCAGCTTGGTTTCTGCGGAGTTCCTGTCCTGTCCCAGGCCTGCTCCTGGAGCTGCAGTGGGTCATTCCAGAAGGATTCTCCTGTGGGTGCCTCCCCCTCCTGTGGGAGCTGCAGGAAGGTCCCTCAGTAGCTGGGGAGTGCAGCCCTCACACAGCACCTCCCTGAGGGGTGTTTGACCTTGGAGCTTCCTTAACTCTGCCTTCACGTATATGGTGATGGAGTACTGTGTGTGTGGGATGCAGGAGATGCTGGACAGTGTCCCAGAAAAGAGGTTTCCAGTGTTTCAGGCTCACGGGTAAGTTTTGTTCCTCTCACCACCGTGCTCTCTCGAGCTGGGGAGCTCTGCTCAGGCTGCACGTGAAAGCAAACCTGGCTGTGTGTGATAATTTAATCTTTTACACCCCTGCAAAAAGTGAAAAGCTCTTGAAGTGGTGGCAGGGATTATCCTTAGATTTTGGGAAGGAAAACCATCTTTCCATTGGTTTTTCTGTTACTTTTGTTTAACTCCCTGAGCTGCCCAACAGCCCTTCCTGGCCCTCGTCCTCCTGCAGTGCCCAGGGGTGCAAAGTGGAGAATCTCCTGCCCTGCTTAAATGGAAGCCAAACCACAGTTCAGCATCAGAAGAGAGATTAAAGGCCTTGGGATGGATTAGGGATTGGCAATATCCAGCATGATCTCTTAGCCTGGTTAGTTAGACAGGATAAGCTGGAGCCCCTTTCACTCTACAAGGAAAGAAACCTGAAAATTCTGGGAATACAAGATTGGCATGATCAAATCGGGGCAGAGCAGCAAACTTGTGGCAACTGCATGATTTTCTAGTCATATTTTCACTTTGTTTAAGAGATCTGTGGGATTACAGACAGCCTAAGTGAAATTCAGGCACACTTGTACTATTTCTGGATATTATGAGATGAAACACTTGCCTGCTGCCAGGCTGTGTGTGCAGTGCTGATGATAGCCCTGAGTCTCTGACCACGAGCACAGCAAAAAGCTCCTTTCTACTGGCTAAAAGTCTTTGATTTTTTCCCTCTGCCTCTCTCTGCAGGTACTTTTGTCAGCTTATAGATGGCTTAGAATACTTGCACAGCCAAGGGATTGTCCACAAGGATATCAAACCGGGGAACCTCCTGCTAACAACCAACGGGACACTAAAAATATCCGATTTAGGCGTAGCAGAGGTATGTGAGAAGTGCAGCAACGGGACATTCTCGATTCAGGTCACCTCTGTGGTGTCATTGATTTACTGTGCATTTAGGCTTTTGTTCTGTTGCGCTTGCAGAGCGCTCCGAGTGACTCTGAATATTTATTGCAATTGGCAAAGCACTTTTGTTGGTAACAGCATGAAACCTCCACTCAGGAAGCACTGAGAGGAAGACATCAATCTTGGACAAGCCCAAAAGTGGGGGCAAATGGGGATAAGCTACATAACCTTATCCTCTTTTTTATGTGGAGACTGTCCTAGGTGGAAGAGGTGCAAGGCTTGTCACTGTGGTGTGTGCTTGCTGTGGTGGCTTGTGCTCATCATCTGTAGATGTTCAGTAGAGGAGTCTTCCCCTTTTATTTCCCAGGTGGAACTTTTCCAACAGTCAGTTTGTTTTCCTTGGAGGTCTGACAGTGGTGTCTCCTGCAGGCATTGCATCCGTTTGCGGAGGACGACACGTGCAGGACGAGCCAAGGGTCGCCAGCATTCCAGCCCCCAGAAATTGCCAACGGCCTTGACACCTTTTCAGGCTTTAAAGTCGACATCTGGTCCGCGGGGGTGACGCTGTGAGTGCCCAGAACCCCCAGGAACTGGATAGCAAATTACACCCCGAGGGAGCTCAGTCCGGGCCAGCCGCTGTCACTGCTGCTCTCGTGTGTTGGGGGAGCAGGGAGGGGAGTGCTGGTCCCTCCTGGGGGGGATTTATGCTCCCCAGAGTACCTGTAATTCTACAGAAGGTCATCTTTTCTCTCTGTGAGCGACTCTGCAGCTGTTGCTCAGCACCCAGAGGCACAGCTGCTGCAGTAACAGAAACCACAACTATTTATTTTAAAGTTTCTGCTGTCCCGGGCTGTCAGGGAGATGTCCTGGTGGTTTTGACTGGTGTGAGTGAAGAGCTGTGATGAAGGAAGGCTAAGTTTAAAGAGGCATTCCACATACTGTCCAGTATTCCTCTTTTAGTTCCCTCTTGGCTCCTTCTGGTTTACGTAGCCATGTAAGAACTGAGCACCTGCGTGCTGCTTCTTATCCAGCTTCTCCTTCTGCCTCCACAGATACAACATCACAACGGGTCTGTACCCTTTTGAAGGGGATAATATCTATAAATTATTTGAAAACATCGGGAAAGGCGACTACACAATTCCAGAGGATTGTGGTCCTCCACTCTCGGACTTACTGAGAGGTGAGTCTCCCAGATGGCTCCAAAAGGGTAACATTTATAGATGCAACAACTGCTCAGCTTGCACAGTGCCGGGCAGAGCTTCCTTCCAAGTGTCCTGTGGAGATGCAGGATCCTGTTAGACAGGGAGGTTGTCCTTGCAGCCTCTGAAAGATCCTTAATACTGGTATTTTCCTGAGATCCACTAACCCCTGCATGGCTCTTGCAGTCATTGTTCTTGCATTATGTTCCTTGTGCTCTGAGAAGCTTTTACACCTAAAGGCAAAACCCAGAAGAAGTTAAATTTAAAATGGCATCATAGCATTGATGCAGGTTTTGCCAGTGAGAACACTCAGGTGCCTTGTCCAGGCTTTCCCTAAAGTGAAACACTGACTATTCAGGGTCTGCTGTCCTTCCTCATCAGCCTCTGCTCAGCAGGCAGGCTGGAGAGCCCCTTTGGCAGCAGAGGGGATGTGATTCCAGCCCATGGGAGAGCCTGACCAGCACTGTACTGCCTCCTTGGCACTGGAACAGCCAAGTGCAGCCGTGCTCCCCAGCTCTCAGCCCAGCTTGTCCTCTCCTTCCCTTTCACAGCTCTTTTTAGTGAGAGATCAGCCCCCAGTTATGGGAGGTTTGTCTTGTTTCACATTGGATTTCCTGGTCCTTGTGCTGTGTGGGGTTGCTGAGGGGCTGGGGGCACTGAGTCCCTCCCTCCTGGCAGCGTGTCAGTGCTGTGGGACATGGGCTCCCCTCTCGGTGTGGGGACAGGGGTGCAGGGCTCCCATCTCAGTGTGGGGACAGGGGTGCAGGGCTCCCCTCTGGGTGCAGGGCTCCCCTCTGGGTGCGGGGCTCCCCTCTGGGTGCGGGGCTCCCCTCTGGGTGCAGGGCTCCCCTCTGGGTGCAGGGCTCCCCTCTGGGTGCAGGGCTCCCCTCTGGGGTGCAGGGCTCCCCTCTGGGGGCAGGGCTCCCTCTGGGTGCAGGGCTCCCCTCTGGGTGCAGGGCTCCCCTCTCGGGGCAGGGCTCCCCTCTGGGTGCAGGGCTCCCCTCTGGGTGCAGGGCTCCCCTCTCGGGGCAGGGCTCCCCTCTCGGGGCAGGGCTCCCCTCTGGGTGCAGGGCTCCCCTCTGGGTGCGGGGCTCCCCTCTGGGTGCGGGGCTCCCCTCGGTGCAGGGCTCCCCTCGGTGCAGGGCTCCCCTCGGTGCAGGGCTCCCCTCGGTGCAGGGCTCCCCTCGGTGCAGGGCTCCTGGCTCGGTGCCGGCCGTGCCGGCGGCAGGTGGTGCTGTCAGTCCGAGCTCCTCCAGCGCCGCTGCCGGCGCTCCCTGGACCCCGGCACCGAGGAGGTGCCAGACCCCCCGCCGGCCCCCTCAGAGGCTATTTTAGCTTCTGTGGCCCCGTGCCAGTGATGAAATCAGTTATTTCCATGTGTTTCCAAAGGCATTAGCCAGCTTTAGCAGCTCTCCCAAGGCATTACATAAGGCAGCGCTTCCAGTGGCGCTCGGCACAGCCGGGATCCGACTGCTCCGCTGAGCCCGGTGCGGCGGCTGCTCACGGCCAGGACTGCCTGCTGTGCTTCCTGTCAGAGCTGCCTGCCCCAGGGAATGGTGTCTGAGCCCATGTGGCCTTTGCTCTGTGGCTGCTGACTCCCAACACAGCCTCTTTATGAGCTGGGACGCGCCCAAATGGAGTAAATCCTGCGGTCCGGCTGGACCAGCTGCCGCCCTCCTGAAGCATCCAGCAGAACTCCTTGGAGGTTTCTGATCAGCCTTTCAGCTGCACTTAGTGCTTCCCCTAGGGAAAAGGAGTGTGGCAGTTTTCTCTTTTTCCTGTGCTGAGGATACTGACAGCTTAAAATCTTGTGCTTCATTAGCACAATAACTCCCTTTTTAGTTCTCTTTCCGCCCCTGCGTGAGATCTGGAGTCAGAATTTCCTACTCTTCCCTCTGCCTGATTTTACACGGAGGAGTCTTGTACCTGGTGCCCCCTGTCCATGTCTTACAGCCTGAATCTCCTTCATCCCTGCTGCTGGCTGGCTCTGTGAATCCCTCTTTTACTTGGGCACCACAGAAGTGCCAGCTGGGTGGGTTTGGTGGGGAAAGGAGCTTGTCTGGGAGGAGGTGGATGTGTCCCCTTCTTCCAGGGTGGTGGGAAACCCTAAGGATCCCTTTTCTTCTCCTCCCACCCACTTGAGAACACGCTCCCACCCCTCACCTTGCCGTATGCACGTGGTACGCTGTAAAAGCTGGCAAAACCTCCTGGTGCTTCTCTTGGCTTGGTGTGACACACATTTTCCAGTGGTCAGACTGCCCAGTGGCCTCAAGGTGGATGAATTCTGGGGTGGGATTGCCTCCGATTCCCCCTGCTCTGGAGGCCTGATCAGCTCCTCAGCACCTGCCCAGGCCCAGGGCTGAGCTGTGCAGCTGGCTCTGTGTAGCTATGGTGACAGACCTGGGTGCTTTATTTAGTTCCTGCTTTTCCTCCAGAAGGTCTGCATTTCCTGGTCAGTGCCCGCTCCTCCTGCAGTGAGCAGGAGCTGAATTTAGTGCCTGCAGGTTGGACACTGTCAGTGGCTGGTGGATGTGCCTGTGTGAGCAGCACAGACACCCCCAGCTCAGCTCTGTCTCGCTGGAGGTTTCGTGTTGCCTTTGTGTTGCTTTGAAAGGCTCTAAAAGCCCTTGCAGGGCTCAGAGTGCTTGGTCTGGGTCTGGTGTGAGGCAGAATTCAGTGCTGCAAAGTGCTCATTTCCTCTGTCTGCGGGGGCTGTGCTGACCACAGGCCCTGTAGGGCTGTGAACAAAACACAAACACGCTTTTTAAGGTTTTCCTGTTCTTCTCTTGACCACTTTTGTAGTGTTTCTTTACTTTTTCTTCCCCTTGAGCTTTTTTTTATCTTTGTTCCCCTTTCCAGAAGAGCAGAGTTTAGAGGACTTAAATCTTCTGTGGTATTTGGCTTGTGAAGAGACTCGCATGACAGTATATCCCACAGATTAGTTGGGATGCTGCTCCTCATTTTGTCTCCCTAATCAGGGATGAAGCTTTATTTATACTCCTCAGGGATGGGAAGGAGAAGGGCTGGTGCTGCTCTGTGTGTGCAGTCAGGAGAGATGTGTCAGAGTGGAAGAGTTTATAAATAGCCTTAAGGTTCTTCTGGCAGCATCAGCCCATGGCTTATCAACTGTGTGCACTTTGCTTCTGGACCAGAAAAATGCACAAGGTCAGCTTTCCTCCTCCTGGTAATAGACTTTTACTGGAAGAGGAAGCTCTGAGGCTGCAGCTCTGCATTAATCAGCATCTGAATTGATTTCCAGGCCCTGTGACCCGGGACACGGTGGTTGGTTCCGTAGCAGTTTGATTCCTCACTGCCGTGACCTTTCCTTGCCCGGACAGAGAGAGGATATGTGTCCTGGTGACAGTGGGATGCTTTAATTGTGCCATGGCAGGAGTCCCTGGAGCTGGCAGGAGGGTGTTTGTGCCCATCCAGAGGCCTGTGCTGGATCAAAGGCCCGGGATTTGCCTGCAGAGGGAGTTTGTGGCCGGAACAGCCGGCTGAGCGTGTGCAGGGAGAGGGAGAAAGTCCTGTCTCCATTTACAGATTGGCCTCACACTGCTTTTATAGCGGTGGTTTAAACGTTCATCTGAGCTGGAGGCTGAAGTGAAATCCAGGGTGAGTTCATTAACCTTGCTGCTGGATTTCTTCCTGCTTCCCCAGTCCCATACCTGAGACTTTACATGAATAGAGGGGTGTTTGAGGCTGTGGAGGTGCTGCAGTGGGCACGATACCCCCTCGTGGGTACGATTGTGTAGGATCTGTTCTTATCAGTTTAGTACCTGATACATCCTCGAGGAGGGGACTTTACATTTCAGGAATAATTTCCTCATGGAAAGGGTGGTCAGGCATTGGCAGGGGCTGCCCAGGGAGGTTTGGAGTCCCCACCCCTGGAGGTGCCCAAGGAAGGCCTGGCCGTGGCACTCAGCGCTCTGGGCTGGGGGACAGGGTGGGCATCAGGTACAGGGGACACTGGGTGACCTCAGAGGGCTTTTCCAGCCCCGGGGATCCTGTGATAGCCCATGTATGGGAACGGTGAGGAGCAGGGGCTGGGCTGGGCCTCCCGAGGCAGGGCCCTGGCACAGCCTGTGCCGTCCCCACGCGCAGATAAACTTGGGGAAGGCTTTACCCTACATGGCAGCGAGCGGCTCCCTGGGCAGACGCTCCGGGATGACTGGCCTGCTGAACAGAACATGATGTTTTGTCTCGAGGAAGCCTCTCCTCAGTGCAGGACTTGAGCCACGGAGCTGCCACGAGTGACTCAGAGCTGAATGTGTGAATGCACATTTTCAGTGAGGAGACTTTCCGTTTTCTTTCAAACGTTGCCCCGAGTGTGGTCATTTTTCATTAAAGCAAATACTCTTTTTTGGTCGGTTATTTTCTTTCTGCCTTTTTAATGGCTTGAGAGCAACAGCTCCCTGTGCAGTGGCTGTTTGTAACTGCTGCTCTTGGGCCTCTTTTAATCATTTACCTTAAACTTCTTCCTCTGCTTGTGCCGGTTTCATCTGGTAAATGCCTTACATTTCAAAACCACCTTGAAGTGTGGTCTTTAAATAAATAAACTGGGGAAGCAGGTGGTGCCCTGAGTTCTCTGTTTCTGATGACATTAATAAGAGAACCCAGCCAGAACTTGCTGTTGTCTCCTAATGTTCATGCAAGAGCTCCTTTCAGTCCTATTCCTTAAAAAAAAAGCCAATTCATTTGGGCAGCTCAGCTGTGAAACTACTGTCTGATCATCTTATTAATAGGTCCTTTAATTAGGTGCAGGATGATTTATTTTTTCCTCTGAACTTACTTCTTTTTCTGTGAGGTGAGGAGAAATTCCATCTGAACGTGAGAAAACTCCTTTGCTGCCAGGGCTGAGCTCTGGAACAGGTTGTGTGTGGGGGGGTTGTGGAGTTTCCATCCTCAGAGACATTCCAAACCCATTCCAAACAATCCAAAACTCTGAGGAGTTGGGCTCTGAGGACTCCAGTGCCTCAAGTTCCTGAGCCAGGGGCCTGGCATGCACCTGACCTCTAACCTGGAGAGCTCTTTCCGTGTTTCTTTGACCTACTTCATGTGATGTCATGGGGATCAGCAGGGATCCCATCTGCCTTAAAGCTCTTAGTGCTGTCACCAGCACAGATAAACCTTCACAGATTGCCAGGGCAAGTTGTATTTTGGGTTCTGGGGGCAAAATAACTTCATCCCTCCCTCACTGTGCTGTCCTGTCCCCCCTCTTTGCCCGTGCTGTTACTGTCAGGGGTGTGGTGAGGAACAGCTTGGCAGGGAAGATACTCTGGAGCAGCTTTTGTTACCACACATGCTGTGGTGATTATCTCTTCCATGACCTTTGACTTTCAGAATCTAACCTGCAAAAGATCCTTGCAACTTCCTGCTTGAACTAGGATGTCTCTTTCCAGCCCCTCCCCTTCCAAGTGTCCATCCAGCTGTATCTCCCATCCCTGTGCTCTCTCTCTGTCCTTATCCTGGCTCTCCCCAGCCCTCTGCACTGTTTGCTGCTGTCCTGACTTTCCAAACTCCTGTTTGACAGTCAATATATTCCTGGAACTTTCACTGGAGAATGTGGTGGATGCTGCTGGATGAGGCTCCTAAGGTCCCACTGGCTCATCCTGAAGAATATGGCAAAATTTGCTCCTTCCCTTCTCTTGAGCTGTGAAGCCTCTCAAAGGCAGCGGAGCAGAGTGGGCACCCTTGGAGGCTGTTAAAGGAATCCATCTCCCTCTCTCCCAGAGAAAATACAGATGAGCTGCTTTTCCTCACCCCCACCCAGTTACCTCAGCAGATGATCCCAGAAATCCAAGCCCTGGCCAAGGCACAAGGATGGGCAGTAGGCTCTCTCTGACTGTGTCTCCAGAATAGAATTCCACTAGACTGGAGTATCTGGGACACTGAGCAACTGGACATATGCTGTGCCTGAGGCTTTGGCTCTTCCATGGAGAAAGTTCAGTGGAATTATCTGTGAAATGCAAAGTCTTGATGCTCTTTGCCTGGAGATCACACATGGCTGGACCTGTGATCTGGGGCTGGAGAAAGCCTCAGTCCCTGCACTGGGAGGGAGAGAAGGGCTGGATCTGCTTTGCAGGTGGGAAACTGAGGAACAAACTGGATCAGGTAGTTATCAGTGGGGTTGGGATTTTGTGCTGAGCTTCCTGTGGCTGATGCTGCAGATCCTGCCTGGAGCTGCCAGGACTGGGCACAGCGTGGCTGTTGGGGAGGGAAGGGAGGGGAGGGGAGGGCAGAGCTTTGTGCTTCCTGGCCTTGGCTCAGCTGAGAGTGCCTGTGATCACACCTGGCCTTTTCTGCTTCTTTTCAGGGATGCTGGAATACGACCCAGCCAAGAGGTTCTCAATACAGCAGATAAGGCAGCACAAGTGAGTGTTATCAGCCCTTCCCTTCCTGCTCGTGTACCTGTGCTCCTGCTCTCACCTCCTGTTTCCTTTTGACAGCAGACACATGGAAGTCACTCAGTCTCCTTCCTCCAGCTCTGCTGGGGCTCTGGCAGCCTCCACTTGGCTTTTTTCCTCCTATTAGAGCATCCGGTAAAGCAGTGGAATTGCTGACCGGTAAATTAGGGATACGTTGGAAGTCTGTTTGTGGCGTGCCTGCTTCTGGATGATTAAGGGTTCTGGATAATTTTTTCCAGAGGCCAGCAAGTACTAATGGAGCGGAACAGGGGATCCTTAAAGCTGGGTTATTGAAGTGGGACTGTTCAGTAACGTGTGTTCGTTCTGGCCAGCCTGGGGACAGAAATATCCCCTGGCATTTGCTCCATATGGAATCAATATGTGGAGAAGCGTTCCAGGACAATAGGAGATTTTTTTTTTTTTCTTTCTCTTTAATATCACAGGCTTCCCTCCCCCATCTCCTCCCCCGTTTTCCGTGCCGCAGTCGGGGGGGAAATGCCCCGTTATCGCCGGGGGTTTTTTTTAAGGATCTGTTTGAACACGCTGGCTCCGAGCAGAGATTTCCTGGGCGGATGAAAGTACAAGAACAAAAAGCATCATGAGGATGCTTTGCTGCGGAGGCTGCATCAGTTTATCTCCTCTTGGAATGGGAAGTGCTTCTGAGGACAGGCAGAGCAGCCTCTGGACCGCAGCTGCTCAGCACAGCTGCTGTCTGTGAGCCTGCCCAGGAAAAGCAAGGATGTGACTGAGCTGTGGAAAAGCAAGGATGTGATCTGGGATGGTGCTGAGCCTGCTCCATGCTGCAGGAACAGCGCTGCTTTCCCCTTGTGTCTCTGGAAAAGCCTGGCCATTGTAGCCATGTGCTGTCAGGGTATGGCCCCTGCCAGGTGTCCAAGGAGCCACAGCCAGAACTGAGAGACCCAGGGTGCTCTTCAGCTCCACAGGGAGCAGAGGGGCTGGGGGAGCAGGGCTTATAGAGCTGCCCAGACAGATAATTAAACAGCCAGGTCCTGTGCTAGGGTGGCTTCAGTGGCTCTGGGCGATGATGGGCGCAGGCATTTGCTGTTCAAGGCTTACCTTTCCCTACATGGGCCCCCCTATTCCCCCCCACAGACAGAGGGGATCAGGTTGCCATGCAGGCAAACCCATGCTTTGTCAGGAAGCACTGGAAAGATGCAGGAATGAAGTCTGTGGATTCATCAATTGGTCTTGAGAAAACCACTAAAAGCACTTTCTTTTCTGTGGGTGCAGAGGCTGCCCCTGAGCTCAGGCACGGCCCTGGGTCCTCGTGGGTCACTGCTGGGGGTTTGAGCTGGTTCCCTAAGCCCAGGTACTCCATTTTATCCTCCTCCCGCGTGGCAGTGAGTTTCTGTGTCAGTGTTGCTCAGCTGGAGGCACAGAGGTGTCTCCAGAGACACCTGTGGCTAGAAAGCCAGAGAAACTGGAGCAGGGCTCTGGCACGGGGCAGCTGTGGAGCTCCCGTGCTCTGTGGCACAGCTGCTGTACCCAGGCTTCTCATCCCACAGCACTGAGAGGGGCTGAGGAAAGGCTCTGCCTGCAAACCCAAGAGCATTTCCAAGGCTTAGGCTCTTATTAGTTTTGTGTGAGCTTAGCCAGTGCTTCTTAACAGGCTTTTCTCCCCTATTAGTAATTGCCTCCTTCCTCCTGCTGTGGCATCTAATAATTACATCAAGCACAGCAGAGCCTGCAGCCTTGGGCCTTGGATGTGTCTGTCCAGCTCCTTTTTGTGCTAAAGAATCCAGAGCTTGGTTCTCCTGCCTTTTCTTTAAATAGAAGCTTAGCCCTGATGCTTAACCTGACCCTGATTTTTTTTGTAAATGGAACACAGGAGTCAGGACAGCAGGCAGCCACTGGATACTGTCAGAGGGTTTTGGGAAAGCACTTTAGTAAGAAGAGATTTGATTTTTAGAGTCCTTAGATTTGGGAGCAGGGGAGGGAGTAAGTCATTAATGATTTTGGGTTTCTCCACACTCCTCCCCCAAAGCCGTGTGCTGAGGCACAGGAACTAGACAGAAAAACATCAGGCGCCTTCCCCAGGCTGCCCTGCTGGGATGGATCCCGGCTCAAACCAGAAGCACCCGGTGTCTTTCCGTGCTGCTGGAAGTCTCCTTTCATGTCTTGGAGCTGCTGTTCCTGGGGACTGGCTCGTATGGACAGTCAGGATCATCAAAGTGCTGTGAAAGCAGCAGGAACAGCCCCCGGGCCTGGGCAGGGGTTTTGTTTGGAGCCGAGCGCGGCTGGGCCAGGCTCGTGTGGGGATGGCAGGAGGGGCCACGTTCCCCTGTCCAAGGGAGGCAGCACAGAGAGGGTGTCCTGCAGCCACCAAGCTGGGTGCTCAGGGCACACCTCCCCAGTCCACCTGCCTGCAGGGTGAGGGCTCCTGCAGAGGGACCAGGATGGATTCAGTGGCTCGGGGTCGCTGAGGAAGCACGGAGTGCTCTGTGGGGCAGCAGAGCTGCAGGAGGCAGGCAAGGCAGCCAGGCCCAGCAGTGGTAATCCTGCTGTTCCTCCCGTTATTCCTGTCAGCTATTCCAAATGCTTTTCCCCCTGAGGCAGCAGCCCTGGCTGAGGAATGCTGGAGGAAGAGTCTGCTGAGTTTCATCCCTGCCAGCTGCCTTCCTCACTCCTGCAGCTGAACTTGTCCATCAGACTCCTGTCTCTGCACTTCCACTGGAGCAGGACAGAGCAAGATGTGCTGCTCTGCTCAGCCCAGTTTGTGCAGACCAGACCTGGAGTTGTAAATGGAAATGAGTTAAACCTCTCCCAGTCTCATCTCAGAGCTTAGGAACTGCCTGAGTTCCCTGAGTAGCACTGGAAGAGCCTGGATATCCACTCTTCCTAGGAGGATCCAGGTGGGATGATGTTCAGTGGGAAACTGATGCTCATAGCTCGCCTCTAGGAATATCTGGTGCTCCTGGGCTGGGAAGGGAAAGCTGCCAAGAGCCAGGGAGTTCCAACTTGGACTATCCCCCACCTCCCCTCTGCCCTCTGCTTTTGCTGAAGGGCTTCGTGCTCATACACTGCATTTTGTAACTAATTCACTGACCTGCTGCAGCACTTAAAGTGATGAAGTGGATGCAGAATTCTACCTCTGTCCCTTGTTTCCAAGGCAACCATCTTCCATTCCCTCTCCACGAGTGTCACACTTAATTTGTTCAGTCGCAGATCCGATTGCAGGAGTTCATAGCACGAGAGGGGAGGAACTTCCACCTTTTATTAGCCAAGGTGCAAATTAACCTACTGGGCTGGGGGCTCCTCCTGCCCTCCTGAAGGCTGCTGTGCCACCTTCCCCACCACTCCTGCTCCCCCAGGGGGCTGGAGAGTCGCTCTGGGATGCTGTGCTGTTCCAACCTGGGTACTGAAGGGAGATGGGGCAGGGATTGCAGGGACACTGCTGGCATGTGGTGCCCTTCCCTGTGAGGGGACTGAGTTAAACTGGAACCCTGTTATGTGCTGCTTATGGTGACAGTGACCTTCCAGTGAGCTCCAGGCCCTTGCATGGCATCACAGGAGGTGGGGAATGGCTCATCCCGACCCTGGCTGCCAGGGCAGGGATCTGCAGCTCGGCCTCTGCTCCCAGAGACAATCACCCATGTACAAACCAAGCAAACTGCAGTGTTTGTGACCCAGATGGGAAGGGGGCAGCTGGGAGTGTTGGGAAGCTGCAGCTGTGCTTACGGATTCTTGATTTAAGCTTGCTTATACCAGAACTTGAAAAGAGCAGGGAGAGGACTTGTGATGGGAGATCTGAGCTTGGGAGCTGCAAACCAGACAGGCTCATTAAGCACTGGGCAACCCAGATTCCTCTTTTCCTTCAGCCCCTGACCCTTGCTGCGTTATCTCCCTGTGGCTGACAGCAGCTGTCTGGGCACCACTTCTGCTGCCAGGATCACAGTTAACACTTTGTGCCACTGCTGGCTGGGGCTTCTGAGCTTGCAGGTGCCTCAACGAGCTTGTGGAGTAGGAAGAAATGATCTCTTACTGCTGCTGCCTTCACCCTGAAACGTTTCTTAGCCACTCCCAGCCCTTTGGAACAGAGACCAGAGAGGAATCTGCCTCTTCCAGGGGATGTTCTGGACAAGGGACGCTTCCGAGATACCAAAAATCTTTTCTTCCCCCTCAGGGTTAAAGCAGCCACCACAAGCACCAGGTAACTGTGTGTGTGCCAGTGGAGTTGGCTCAGAAAATATCCCTGAAACTGGGAATAATGGGTGAGACAGGGCACTCATCAGCAGGGCTCTGACCCAGCTGGTGTTTTACCTTGGTGGTAAGGGCAGGGTGAGGAGGGGCTTTATCTCATCATCATCATTGCCCAGGAGTTGCTGCTTTCTGGCTCAGGCAGTGGCTTCCCAAGGCAGATCAGGGTGTTGCTGGAGCCAGTGGTCCTCAGCTGAAGAGCAAATCTTCGCTAACAACCTCCAGCACCAGTGCAGAAAGTGGAATGTCTGTCCCTGCTGGAAAATTCTTGCCAGGAAATACTCTGCTACTCTGCACAGAATGGCTCGAGGCTCCTTCCAAGAGGTCTTTGATTTTTCTTAGAACTTCAATGGATTTCTCTTCTCACTCTCTGTCCTCATTACCATATATGCATATGCAAGTGTTTGAAATCACCTCCCGGAGGATGGAAGCATAATGACTGGAGTACAGTGATTCAGGTTTCTGCTGCTAATAAAAACCTATTTTTACTCTCCTGGTAAGTAGGACAGGAGGGAAGAGTGAGGCAGAGCTGAAATACAGCAAAATAAAAACACTGGGTGCTGTAGACTTCCAGGCTTTTCCCCTTTAAAATTCTCCTGTTAACAGCAGCCCCTCTGATCTCGTTTGTCCTGGATGTTCCCTTCTCCCGAGGTGTCTGGTGCTGAGTTTGGATCCCTCAAGCCCCAGTGTGCCTGGCAAAAGCAGCTGGTGGCTGTTGGTTCCTCTGTCCCTGTGCTGATGATCCTTGCAGGCCAGATCAGCCCAGGCTGGATTTGCTGTCTTGGCAGTCGCTTCCCCAGCGAGCAGAGTGTCCCGAGGAAGGGAAGTGGATTGATCCGATTAGGAGTGCTGTGTGCCACACACGTCACCGAGGAAGCCATGCATGGGATCTGTGGAGAGCCCTTGGCCACAGTCCAGTTACGCTGGTCCCACTCCCTTCCTGCTGCTCCCGCAGCTGGTGTGGGCTTTGCTCAGCTCTGTAGTGCCGCTTCAGGGACAGAGGTGACTCCTGCCAGCTGAGATCTGCAGCAGTTCCCGTCCCTCCCTGCGAACTCCAGCTTCCTCCCTGCGAGCAAGGCACTGCCTGGCTCCAAAACTCCATCACTGCAGAGAAAACAGTTTAAAGATGCTGATTGTGAAGCAATTTCTGGATAAGAGTTCACCCCCCCCTTGAATCCTGCCTGATTTGTCCCAGTAGCTGCATTTCCATTTGTTTATCTCCTCGCTCGGTGCTTTTGCTGATAGTTTTGTTAGAATCCCACTTTTTTTCAGGCTGACTGTCAAAGCAGTGTAAGACTAGAACAAAATGGTAATTACAGCTCTGCGCAGGAGGTGCCTTCAGCCTGCCTTCCTGAAAGGAGTTTGGAAATGGGGTGATAAAAACCAGATGGCTCAGGTTGGTGAGAGCTCTTGGGCTGGCTCAGGCCCTCCTCTGTGCTTGGAGGCCAGGAGTTACTGGATGCCAGCTGTGGAGGGGGAAGCACTCGTGTCCCATCAGGCTTGTGTGGGCTGGAAAGGTGTGTTAGAGGTACCTGGGTCTGCAGGAACCTCTGCTCCCACCTGCACTGGGAGGGTTGCTGGGAGTGGGGAGGCTCCAGCAGCACTCCCAGGAAACTTTGGGTGCCCACGTGCAGCACTGGGAGACACCCCAGAGACGGTCTGGAGTCAGAGCCTGCTCTGGGAGTACGATGGAAACCTAAGAGGTTTATCCCATCTGGCTCTGGGATGCTGCTGGGAAGCAGCCTGCTGGATTCCTGATCTGATTAAGAACAGCTTTCAGAGCCGATATCCTTTCCTGGCCAGATGGGGTTTGGTGGTGATAGGAGTCCCTTGAGACAGAGGGGGATAAAAAGATAGAGTAGAAACGTTTCTGCTGTGGCCTTGGTGCAAACTGGCTTTTAGAGGAAGCTGCTGCAGTAACTGTCCTGCTGGCTTGGACAACAAAACTCAGGAGCTCTAGCAGCTCTGCTGATGTGTTTTGACTTACAGGTAGTTTGGACTAGAGTTGGTGATGGAGAGAACGTTCCTGAGCTGTGTGTCCAGCCCCTGAGCTGCCCCCTGTGCCTGTCCCCCTGTCCCACCCAGTGTGTCCCACAGCAGACTCCAGCACTGGCTCCTGGGCAGAGCTGTTCGTTCCTCCTGACCTGCCAGAGCCCGTGGGCAGAGCACATACCTGTCAATCCTGGGGTGGGAGGGGGCCATCTGGGTGTGGGGGGCTCCTGCGGGCCCCTGCCCTGACCCAGCTGTGCCCTGGGGCTCTTTGCAGCTGGTTTCGGAAGAAACACGCTCAGGCAGAGGCGCTGGTGCCGATCCCGCCCAGCCCCGAGACGAAGGACCGGTGGAGGAGCATGACGGCGGTGCCTTACCTGGAGGATCTGCATGGCTACAACGAGGAGGAGGACGAGGACTTGTATGACATTGAAGATGATATCATCTACACTCAGGACTTCACAGTACCAGGTAGGGGAGAAGGATGCTGTGACGGGCAGGGCAGAAGTGGTTGTGGGGTTTTCTTTTGGTCCCTTTAGAGCCTTTTGGGAAAGGCCTCGGGGTCTGAACAATCCTTTCAGCGGAGGAGGAGGCTGTTGGTTATGGCGTGGTGGGAGTGATCCCTCGTGCTCTGGATGCCTTGGTCCTTGATTTGATCAACCAGGATGCCCCTCCCTGTGTTACCCCTGTGCCATTTTCCTCCCTGCTCACAGGAACAGCACAGTTCATTGTTTGGGCCAGTTCTGCTAGAATGAGTTTTTGGGAGCAGAGCCCTGAAGTGACTCTGTGTTCAGGGTACATGGCACACCTAGGGTGTCCCCTGCACACCAGGAGCCTGGTCCCAACCTGGCCTGCCTGGGTGCTCCCCAGCTCTGAGTCTGCCTGGTGGGTTCGTGTGGTTTGCAGAGGTGGGGGCAGCTGCAGAGGCAATAAAGGTGAATTTTTTCACCCGAGTCTTCCTGCAGGATCCCTTTGAACCTGCTCGGTGTTGTATCTAACAGCGATGCCATGTTAAAATATAAATTAAAACCCCCTTGTACATGAGGGATCAGCTCAGCTGTGGCTCTGCTGGGCAGCGAGAGCAGGAGTGTGAGTGACTCATAGGTGGGGGTGGGTGTTGGGTTTGTGGGGAGAAGAGGGAACCTCATTAAATCCGGCGTTCTTCAGGGGAAGAAGGGACTTTGAGAAAGTGCTTTCATTTTTAAAGGGTTATTTAAAGATTTATGCAGCTCTGTGGAGAGATGTAAATGTTCCAAGCCCCTGGTTCAATCAGTGTTAAACATCCCATCCAAGGGAAGTGCTGAGGAGAGGATGGAGAGGATGGCTGTGACCCGAAGGCAGGATCCTTGCGTGCAGTGAAGGGATGTGAATGTCCTGCTCGGTGCTTTTTTGCTGCCTCTCAGATTTGGAGGCCGAGCTCTGCTCTTTCCTCCCCTCCATTAACCCCTCCTCCTGCCACAGCCTTGTTCTGCAGGGCCTGCTCCTGGGGTTTTCAGTCTGAGGCTGGGAAATGCAACCAGGAGTGGAGCTTCTGAGCCCAGCCTGGTGCTCGGGAAGGTGCGTTCCTGGCTGCTCACGGTCTGACAAACAGCGATTCCAAACCTCCTGGTGGTGTTATTTTGAAACCTTTTTTGGTGCCTGAATGAGCTGGATGCAGAGCCATTAAGAATGTGAGGGGTGGCAGGGATGAGCAGCCACGTTGCCGGTGCCTCTCTCAGCCCTCCCTTTATTTCTCTTATTTTTAGCCCTGCCCGTGGTGGGGGTGAGGTGGGCAGAGCTGCTCGGGCAGACGCAGCGCTGGGTCAGCGGCTTCCGCGGGGGCAGCAGTTGCCAAGACTTCAGCCCATGCTGAATTTTTATTTTCATTAATTTGAACGTCAGCAACTGTCATTGGTGAAGGAGGTAAAATTAGCTCACGATTCACCTCCCTCCTTGGTATCCATAATAGACTCCCGGGACTGTGCTTTTGAAGCAGGGAAGGAGGGGAGGAGGGAAGAGTCACACAAAAGACAAATGAGCTGTTTGGATAGATGCTTTTTTCCCTCCCCAGTCAGAAATGTTAATTGACTTGGCCCGAGTTCAGCCGAGGGAGGGGAAGAAGTGTTCAGCTTGGCTCTGAATGGGGTTGTTTGAGGCTCTGCAGACGTGCTGGTGGGATGGAGGGATGGAAGGAAAAACCCAGAGCTCTGGGGAGTTGCTGCAGCCTGACCCTTGTGAGCTGCTCACCCTTGGGGAGCCCCATCCCAGGGGGCTCTGGGGCCAGTGTGTCCCCCTGTCCTACAGCTTGGACCCCTCGGCCCTTTCCAGCCATCACCCCTCCAGAGGGATCAGGTGATGGTGGGATCAATGGTGGGGCCTGAGCTCTGTGCTCCCACCAGCCAGTCACTGCCCCAGCATGCCTGAGGCTCTGACACACACCCCTCTGTCCCCAGGGGGGCTGAGGCACCCCCATCCCCTCAGTCCCTTGTGGTGAGCCTGGCCAGGAGCTGTGCTGCTGGGGGGTGCTGGGTTGGACCCTCCCTGGGAGCGCAGTGAGTGGGTTGGGTGCCCAAAGCCAGTCCCTGTCCCTTCTGGTGGCAGGAGCGCTCAGGTAAGTGGCCACAAGCCAGTGAGTGGGAGCTGTGGCAACACTCGGAGCCATTGGAAGGGATATGGGGGCAGATCCAGGGGGAACTGATGGCACCTGTAACCCAGGATCCGCTCCCCCCTCCCTCCCTGTTTCTCGAGGACCTGCAGCGGTGCCAGCGGGGATGTGTCAAGGCACAGGGGTCTAAGCTGGACCCCACTGTGCCCCCCCAGAGCAGGAATGTCTGTCCCAGCACCCCTGGGCCCCCCCAGCTCCGAGCAGTGGGGCGATGGTTGGCGCAAGCGGCGCTGACGTCCCGCCCGGCCTTGGCGGAGAAAGGATTGAGCATCCTTTAAAGAAAATTATACATAATCGTCTTACAGCCTTCGCTTCCACTCAAACCTCTGAGTCATAACTGAAGGGCCCTGGAGCGTGACGTTCCTGCTGGAAGGAAATTGCCTCGGCTGGATCCGGTGGGGGGGCAGGCAGAGCCTCTCCCCAGCCCCCTGTCGGGCTGGGGGCTGCGCCGTGGTCCTGCCGGGAGCCCCGGGATGCTCTGTGGCCACAGCCCTGCGTCACTGCCTGGCTGAGGGGATGTGACCCAGCCCCGGCCGTGGCAGCGGGAGATGCCTCTGGAAATGGCTCTTCACCTGCTCTGCTGAGTCACAGGGAGCAGAGGAGGGAGGGGGGCTGATGTGAAGCCCTCACCCCATCGGGGTGCCCCTCAAGGGATGGTGACACACCTGAGCCCCAGCCCTGCCAGAAGGGGCTGCACTGCCCCATTCTGCAAACACACCCAGCCCCTGGACACCCCAAAGTAAGTGCCTGGAGCTGGGATCTGCACCCCCCTCTGCTCCCCAGAGTAGCTGGGCTGCTCCCTGGGAGTCCAGGGGGGCTCGAAGACAGCCCAGGGAGGAGGGGACATGCCATCCTTGTGGTCCAATGCCCATGTGCTGGGGACCACCAGCTGCTGTGTGCTGGGGCAGTGGGGGTCAGACCAGTCCTCTGGGAGGAGGGAGGGAGATGCAGTCTCAGGCTCCCAGCCTTGCACATCCCCTGCTTGGGATCCCTGTCCCGTGCTCCTGAGGCTCAGGTTTCCTGCAGGAGCAGGGTCTGTCCCTGGGCAGGGCTGCTGCCCACCCCCTGACTGTGCCCGTTGCCTTGCAGGACAGGTGCCTGAGGAGGAGGCCGGGCAGAACGGGCAGAGCCGGGGCAAGGGGCTGCCCAAGGCCGTGTGCATGAACGGGACGGAGCCGGGGCAGCTGAGCGCCAGGGCCAAGGGCGAGCGCCGCGCCAGCGCCTCCTCCAACCCCTCCCGCAAGGCCTGCTCTGCCAGCAGCAAGATCCGCAAGCTCTCCACCTGCAAACAGCAGTGAGCTCTGCCCAGGTACTGCGGGGGGACCGGGGGGGCTACCCGAGGAAGGGGGGCACACTCCAGTCTGCCCCAGCCGGGGGCAGCGGGAGGGAGCTTGAGGGGTGTGTTGTAGTCTGGGTCCTGAACGTCCCCCTGCAAGGGTCCCTGGCACCAAACCCCGTGGTGTTGGGGGATGCAGAGCCCAGTGAGGACGCCTCGTGCCTGCCTGGCTCTGCTCTGTTACCCCTTGCAAGGTGTTGCCCCACCAGGCGAAAGCTGCTGTCATGACCCCTGTCCCTGCTGGGCTGCAGCCAGCCTGTGTAGTGACACCCCTTTTCCTTGGCACTGGGACCCCCCTGCTCCGCTCCTGGCCTCACCACCCTCCTGGATTTGGGGAGTACGGAGGAGCTGGGCTGCAGTGGGATGCTGAGCACTGCCCCCATGGGACCTGCCCCTGGCCCAGGAGGTGTCTGTGTCACCCATGGCCAGGCCACTGCTTGCCCAAGCCCCTTCCCCTCCCCTCCCTGCCTCCCCCCCTCCTTCCGGCTCCTTCTTCCCCAGCTCCAAGCCCTGTCCCCTCCTTCCCACCCCTCATTCATAACTGAGCCAGCAGTGACTCATGTTCAGCCTCATCCGCCCCCGGCCTCATGCTCGTCACGGCGCTGCTGGGGCTGAGCTCTGTTATCTCCTGGATCACGACCAGCTTTGTGGTGTGAAAAAAGCCCGAAATAAAAGCTGGATCCTCCCCCTGCAGCTGTCAGGGGCCGTGGCAGCTCCATCTTTAATTCATGGGGGCAGTGAGTCACCTGTGCAGGGAGTCGGTGCAGCCAGAGCCTGGGACGGGGCTCCCTGGACCTGCTGCTCCTCCCACCCTTCCCACTGCCCGGCCTGGGGGCTCCAAGGAAGGGGAGGGTCTGTGCAGGCTACCTGAGCCTGGCTGAGTCACCACCTTAGCCTAAAACCCTTCGGAAGGAAGGGAATGCTCCCCTCCTTGGTGTAAAGGATTCACCTTGGTGTCATTTTCCCCTTGGAGTTTTTCTCCTCGGCTTCAGGGCAGGTCTGGGCTCACCTGGCTGAGGGACCAGCTGTGTGTGAGCCCTCATCAACCCTCCAGGGACAGCACAGGGACTCTGGGCTCCTCTCCCCCATCCCAGGGTGCTGGCAGGAGCCCGGGTGCAGGGTGTGACCCGCTGGCAGTCGGGAGCAGAGCCTGCACCCCGAATTGGGCACCCCCTGCCCTCCCTCACCCCTCCTCTCTGTTCTCCCCACAGCATCCCCGGGCACGGGCCTGCGTCCCCCCTCCTCGCCCCAGCTCTGCCTCTCTCCTGGGACTGGACTGTGCTTGCGATCCAAAAAGAAACCAGAGGAAACCAACCAAGGACCCCCTTCCCTCCCTGCGCCCCCCGCTCCGGCAGCGCCAGGACCCGAGGCCGTGGTGGCCGCACTCCCCGGACGCCTGGGAGTTGAACTTTGCAGCTGCCAGGACGCTGTCCCCCCCAATCACTCTTTGCCAATCAAGACACTGATTCTGTTTTTAATTTTGCGATGGGAAGGTGGGATGAGGGGGCTGGGGGGGGTGGGAGCCGCCCCCCTGCTGGGCCCCCCGGCCGTGTAGAGTCGTGCAAAGCCATTGCCGTGCACTTTATGTTTTAGACTACTGTTATATATTATATATTTTCCTCTTTTTTTTTTTTTTTTGTTTTGTTTATATTTGCGGTATATTTAGAGATTCCTACACATCGTGATGTGTTAAAATAAACCAGATGAGGAAAAAAAGCCAGGTATTAAGACAAAGCAGAACTCTGTTACACCTGCATGCTGCACGGGGGCTCTGAAGGGAACAGGGCCTGGGAAGGGCTCAGGGCTTGGAAGGGATCAAGGCCTGGGAAGGGCTCAGAGCTTGGATGGGCTCGGGCTCAGAAGGAATCGGGGCACTGGCAGCCACTTGGCTCCTTTTTTCTCTCTCTTTTTTTTTCTTCTTCTTTTTTTTTTTTTTTTTTTTTTTTTTTAAAGAAAATAAAGTGAAAAGAGCAGGTGGGTTTCATGTCCTTCCTCCTGCAGCAGGCGGGGTGAGGGCCACGACCAGCCCCTCTTCTTCCTTTTCCTTTTGGGAGGGCACAGCCCGCCCAGGCAGACCCTGCTCTCGTGGGGTGATGCCAGGCCTGGAGCCCCCCTGCCCCAACCCCCCAACCCTGTGGGCACCATCCCAGGAAGCAGAAGGTAAGAAATAAGCTCAGAGATGTCACAGTCGCTTGGTTTTGTTTTTTCTCCTTTGTTTATAGACTTAAAAACGCGGGGTTGATGGAGGGAGGGCTTTGGGCAGAGCCTGCGCAGAGGGAAGGGGGGACCCGGCCTCTACTCACATGCAATGGGGTCTGGGGGCCCCTGCCTGTCCCCTCCCCTGCTGCCAAGTCCCAGGTGCCACAGCTGGGGCTGGGCTGGGGTGAGGTTTTTTTCTCTTTTTTTTTCCCCCCATCCTTTGAAACACAAATAAAAACCCAATAAAAAGCAAACCCCACCCCGGAGCAGCAGCCACCTCTGTAAAAATCAATAAATATCCTCCGGGTGCCTCGAGCCCCTGCTGAGCCCTGGGGGGTGGGAGACACTGGGAGGGTCACCCACAGCGTGCACTGGGGACCCCATGCTCTGCTCTCACCCTGTACCCCCACCTGGGCAGCCCCCACCCCTCCAGGGGGTATTTATGGGGCCCCCAGGGCCGGTCCTGCCCACCCCAGCCCTCAGGCTGCCACTGCAGGAGCCCCGGCTCCCCTGTGGCCCCTCGAGCAGCCCCCTGCCCCAGACCCTCCTCTTCCAGTTCAGATCCCAGGCTCCCTGCGGAACTGGGGGGATTGTGGGGTTGAGGAGGTAGCTCCCCCCTCCCCAAACTACCCCCCTGCCAGGGTGGCACCGCAGCATCCCCCCGTGGGGGAACACCCAGCTCCGGCCCCTTCCTGGCGGACGTTCCGGCTGGAGGAGAGGCTTTATTGCTTGTAGAACCACGGAGAGAGGGGAGAGCGGAGCTGGCTCGAGGCTCTGCCGGGGGCTCAGGGGGCTGAGGGGGGCTCAGCAAAGTCCCTTGGTGCTGACCCCCGGCCAACGCTCCGCTCCTTCTCCGCGCCCCGACCCCCGGGGCACCCCCAGCCCGGGCCCTCTCCTGGCCCCTCGCTCCCGGGAGCCAGGGGGCTCGGCCACCCCACGCTACCGGACCCCCACGGTGGGGGGTACAGCCAGGGGACCCCACGTGCCCTCCTGGCCTTCCCAGGCCGGGACACCCTTCCTGCAGGGCACCGGGCTGGTCCCCACGCCGGCAGCAGGAGGGGATGGAGCCCCGAACCCTAGTGGGGACCAAGTCCCCCCATGCCAGGGTCTCTCCCCCTCGTGCTGGGCCTAGACCGGGCTGTGGTCGGGGGGGGCATCACTGGCCGCCACGGCCACCACAGGCTCGGGGGTCTCTCCCGCTCTCCTCAGGTGCCCATAGAGCCGCTCCTCCAGGCCACCCGTGATCTTGTCCATCAGCTCCGAGCCAGAGCCAAGCCCCAGGCACCTCCCGGGGCCGGGGCAGTCGTCGTCCTCAGGGGGTTCGGAGCCAGCCTTGGGCTCAGGGGCCGCCTCGCCGGGCTCCTCCACAATCACTTGGATCTCCGGGTCTGGCAGTGCCGGGGCAGGAGGGACCCCATCGGCCGCCTCGGCCGCCTCCTCATCCCCAGCGCTGACGATGCGGGGCAGGGGGCTGTGGAACCGAGCGTCCAGGGGGTAGTTGGCGCTGTCGCCGCGGCGCAGGGGCGTTCGGTGCCGCTCCAGCGCCGGGTACCGCACGCCGGGGTCGCTGAACTGCTTCGCGTGCTGCCACTGCTTGCGCAGGTGGGTGCGGGAGCGGTGCTTCCCCCGCAGCGGAGACTCGTCGAACTGGGGGTCGTGGCGCACGAAGGCGTTGAACAGCGCGTCCGTCTTCTCGTCGATGCTGTAATCCCGCCGGGGCGGCGCGTCCCGCCCCGGGAACATCTGCCCGTACGGCGACCAGGCCAGGGGGCTGTGGGGACGGAGGTGTCCCCCACCCGCTGCGCCCAGGGCCGCGCTCCCACCCTCCTCCTCCTCCTCTTCTTCCTCCTCCTCCTCCGGCTCCCGGCCCTCGAAGCTCTCGAAGATGGTTCCTTTCCGCCCGGCGCTGGTGAAGCAAATGCGCTTCTCGGAGGCCGTCTGGTCCTTGGGGGGCCCCTCCTCGCCCCCCCGGCTCGGCGCCTCGATGGAGGCGTAGCCGCTGTCCATCTGCAGCAGCTTGCGGGTGCCGGGCTCCGACTCCTCTGTCTTGGACCGACCCCAGAACTTCTCCTCGGGCCCTTCGGCCTCATCCAGGGAGGAGGAGGGGCAGGGGGCCACACCACCGGCAGAGGAGACGCTGTCCCCGCCGTCGCTGCGCACGGAGTCCTGGTCGTTGCTGCGCTCGGAGGCCGCGTACAGCTCCAGCGAGGCGCGCAGGCTCCAGATGTCGTGGTAGGCGCTGGGCTGCTCGGGGCCGCCGGCCTCGCCGGGGCTGCCCGCGCCCCCCTCGCCCGGCTCTAGCCTGTGGGCACCACCCCGGTGTCACGGCAGGGACAGGCCGGTCCCAGCCGGCAGCGGGCAGGGAACGTGCCAGCCCGGCCCCTGCGGGTTCCACAGTGATGCCATGGTGCCACCTGGTCCCCCATGCTGTCCCCACCACCCTGCCCATGCCCCACCCCATCCTCCTCATCACCATCACCAGCTCCATCCAGACCTGGTTGCCCCACCAAAGCCTCACAAAAGCAGGAGCCCCTTTTCCCAGAGAAGCGCAGGGCCCCACGGTGCCTTCCCGGTGCCCAGCTCCCCCATCCCCATCCCCTCTTATCTACTGAAAAATACCTGCCGAGAGAGGGTGGGGGGCTGGCGGGGGAGGGCAGGAAGGGGCCCCCCGCGGGGTGGAAGGCCACATCGTCGGTGTGGGCGATGTACTGGATGATGTCGGTCTGGTGGGGGTCCCGGTCCTCCTGGTCCATGCTCTCGCTGGCCGCCCGCTGCCGCTGGAACTGCCGGCGCTTGGGGGACCCTGGGGGGCGCAGGGCAAGGCTGGGGGGACAGTCCCCTCTGGCACCACGAGCCCCCTACCCACGTGTGCCCATCCACCCCACGCAGCCCTGCGGGGCCCCCCTTGCCCCCACCTCTGGTGTCCAGGCTGGACGCCCGCTGGGTGCTCTCCAGCTTCCACTTCTTGATCCTGAAGTAGGGGCTGGCCCCGTCCAGGCTGGCGTGGCGGCGCAGGCGGGTGAAGAACTGCAGGACGGTGCCCTGGGGGAGGGCGGGAGGGGGCTCCCCGGGGCCAGCACTGCCCCCCCCAACCTCCTTCCCGCTCCTGGGGGCCGCTGCAAACTGGGGGTGGGGGGGCCGTGAGTGCCTGCTCGGCCCCACTGATGGCCCCCATGACCCCCCCGTATCCCACTCAGCTCCTTTGTCTGCTCTGCCGAGCTGGGCTGCAGCAGATGCACAAATGTCCCCCAGGGCAGGGACGGGGCAGGGGGGGCAGAGCCTGTTTCTAGTTGGATGCCCACGTCTCTCCCCAGAGGCCTGGCACAGAGTGGGGGGGCAGGGCTGGGATCTGGGGGGAGCAGAGAGGGAGCAGGAAAGAACCGTTGGGTCTGCACAGGCTGCCAGGGCTGGGGAGCCCCTTCCCCTGCCCAGTCCCAGCCCCCCACCCCAACACTCACCGAGGGGCCCTCCCCGGAGTCGGAGGAGGCAGCCGGGCTGGCCTCGGTGAAGCTGGTGTCCACGGTGGAGTTGTAGGTGTCCCCGGGCAGGGCAGAGCTGGGGCCCACGGCATGGCTGGGGAGCACCGGCCGGGGCAGGGCCCCTGCGGGGGGCTGCAAAGCAGAGCCTGCTCAGGGGGTCTGCATGATGGTGGGGACCAGGAGGAGCCCCTGCACTCTGGGACCCCCCATCTCCACTTCCAGTAATGTCCTGGGACTCCCACCCCGAGTCCAGCGGTGTCTCGGTGTGCTGCAGGAGGCCTGGACCCCTGGCCCCCCATGTCCCACCGGTGCCCAGAGCACTGGGGGCTCACCTGGAAGATGGCAAGGCCGGGCTTGGGCAGGGGCAGGCGGGGGGTCATGGCCAGGCTGTTCTCGCTGGACTCGCACTCGTGGATGGTGACAATCTTGAGGGCGGGTGGCGGGAGGTGCAGGTGGGTCAGGCGGGCGTTCTTCAGGTGGTGGAAATCCCCCTCGGTCAGCGTGTACCTGCGGGATACCCGGGTTAGGAGGGGCAGTCCCGGCCAGCCCAGGGTCCCACAGGGCCCCCCAGTCCCGAGCTTCACCTCCTCCCCTTCTCCTGGGTCTTCTTGCTCTGGTCAAAGAGCGCGGCCTCGTTGAAGGAGACGCGGCGGGCGGTGGAGGAGCTGGAGGACAGGAACCGCTCGCTCTCGGCATCCCGGTAGCTGGAGGACGACAGGCACTCGGGGTCCTCCACTTTGACAGTGATATCTGTGGGGAAGGGGGTCAGCCACCAGCTCCCCACACTGTGGGGCACCCCAGCTTCCCCAGCTGGGGCCTGGCAAAACTGGCTGCACTCATGGCCTCGATGCTAGCCCAGAATTCCCTGCTCCCAGCTGCCAGTCCCACTCCACAGCAAGGAATGGACAATGGAGGGCCCAAGGGCTGCCTTACCCCCACTCCCGGAGCTGGGGGTGCTGCTGGGGGGCTGGCAGGTCATTTTGGGCACTCACCCTGTGCTGGCTGTGAGTCATCCAGGTAAGTGGTGTTGGTTTTCTCAGGGTCATCACTGCCTCTGTGGGGGGAGGAGGGTCAGCAGTGCCCATGCCAGCCCCCCTGGCAGTGCCACAGCCCCCGGGGACAGCGACGTCCCCCGTGCCCACCTGGAGTGCCGGCGGTCGGCCTCGCAGCAGCGGCGGCAGATGATCAGGATGCCCGAGAGCAGGACCAGGGTGCCCCCGATGAAGATGGAGAGCAGGGCGAGGAGCAGCACGTACCCATCCTGGGGGGACACCTCGCCGGGCACCGCCTGCCCGGGCCGAGGGGCTGAGCTGCAGGGACGCGCTGGGGGACCCCGGCCCAGCCCGAACCGGCCCCCGCCGCGCTGACGCCAGCGCTGCTCCCCAGAGCCGCCGAGCCCCCCCCGCGCCGCCCCCGGGCCCTGCCTGCACCAAGGCAACGGCAGCTGGGGGGGCTGGGCCGCCCGCGGCCCCCGCGCCGAGCGGGAATGGGGACAGGGACAGGCACTGGGACGGGGATGGGGACAGGACCCCCAGTCCTGCCCCACCACGGCGCTCAGGGCTCCCAGCTGGGGGAAAGGGGCTGATCTGGCAGCAGCCCCAGACCCCCCAGCCCCCAGAGCATCCCGGGCACAGAGAGGTGGCACCCACCCCCAGGACTGGCAGAGCAGGGGTGACACTGGAGCTGCTGCTGTCCCCACCCGGGCACAGACCCCAGCCCCGCGGCGGCCACGAGAACCCCACAGCTCCCAACGTGCATCTCCCCTCCCGCGGGACCCTGAGGCGTGGGCAGGGGCGGGAGGGGCCGGCAGGGGCTGCAGGGACAGGCAGGACTCACCGTGGCGCTCTCGGTCGCGTTGTCCCAGGGTGTTGGGTCATCGCTCATGGTCCGTCCCGGCCCGAGCGTGTCCTGGTGCGGGAGGAGACAGAGGGAGGCACCGGCCGGGGTGGCGGGGCCGGGCCGGGGACGGCGGCGGCGGCTCCTGCCCCGGCCCCTGCCCGGCACCGCGGTGCGGAGCTGCCGGGAGGGACCGGGAGGGAGGGACCGGGATGGAGAGATGGAGGGAGGGAGGGAGGGATGGAGGGAGGGACCGCGATGAAGGGATGAAGGGAGGGTGTGCTCAAGGGGAGGATGAAGAGATGGAGGGTGTGGTCAGGAGAGAAGCAGGGATGGAGGGATGGGGAGGAGGGGGCAGGACCGCTGCCCCTCCCCGGGGAGCCCCTCGCCCCCGCGAGGCACAGCCACCCCAGCGCCCAGCCCGCGGACTCGGGTGGGCACGGCCCCCGGAGAGCGGCCGCGGTCCCCACGCCCGGCTGGGGCCGGAGACCCCAAAATGCGGCTGACGCTGGTGGCCAGAGCCGGCCCGGGGGGACTGTCCCTGCCCCGGTTCCTGGGTGACACCGCGCCGCCGTCCCCGGGAGCCGAGGGGCCAAACGCAGCCCCAGCCCCGCTGCCGGAGGGGTCGGCACTGCAGGGAGACCCCCGCCCGCGGGAGCCCGGAGCGAGCCGCGCTGGGGGCACCGGCAGGGACGGGGGGCAGGTGGCCACCCCACAGCTCGTGGCGTGGGTGTCGCCGGAGAGCGACGGGTGACGCTCGTGAGTCATCCCGAGAGCGGCTCCGTCACCGGGCGGTCCGCGCGGGGGGGACACCGAGGGGCCGAGGGGGACGAGCCGAGCTCCCGAGGAGCGAGAGCCACCGGAGCAGGGGTCCCACACCCCTCCGCGGCCTTTGGGCACCCCGCGGGGACCCTGTCACCTCCCGCGTGTTCGGGGGAGCCCTTCCCGGGGGCTGCTGAGCTCCAGCTCCCGCTGCGGGTCCGTGAGTCCCCTCCGTGTGTCCCCTCCGTACATCCCTGAGCTGCTGGAGGGGCTGGGGCTGAGCTGGGTGCTGATGCTGGTGTCAGGGACCCCCAAAACGGGCAGGGGTGGGTGACGCTGGTGTTGGGGACCCCTGGACCAGGCAGGGGTGGGCGCTTGGAAACCGCTCAGAATTAGGTCAGTGAAAAATGTGAATGGAGCCCGAGAAGGGGTGGGGACTGTCACTCGTGGGGCCAGCACAGCGGTGGCCGTGTTGCAGCTGGCAGCCAGGGATGGTGATGGCTGGGGGCAGCCCTGGCACAGGATATCGGGGGCTTAGGGGGATATCTCCGGGGGCAGAGACCCCCCCTGCCCACACCGGCTCTCGGTGCATCTCAGGCACCTCCGAGCTGGTGTGATGCAGCACGGGGTGAGGGGACCCACCCCGTGACACCCCGGACAGGATGGGGGGTGGGTCTCTCCCCCGCCCCCGGTGTGCCAGGGGTGTGGGGGGACACCGGGCCTGGCAGGGGGGACCGCGGGAGGGAGGCTGCGGCTCCACGCGGAATGGGGGCCGGACGGGAGGGATCCCTGCGGGGCACCCTCAGGCTCGAGGCGGGGGGCGCCGGGGGCAGCTGGAAGAATGTCCCTCCTGTTCCCCATCATGGAGGAATCCCGTCTCCATGGCGACCCAGCAGGAACAGGACGGCCATTGTCTGGAGGAGGGGGCCGGTCCGCGGGCTGTGCCCCCGCGGGGGGACACGGGGCGGGACCCGGGGCCGCCGGTGGTGCCCAGGGCGGGGGCTCGGGGCCGGGGGCCCCGGTGCTGCCGCGCCCCCGCACGTGGGAGGGGGCGCGGGGGGGCGTGTCGGGGCTGTGCCCCACGCTTGTGTGCGACCCACCGGGCCCGGTTGGGCCGGGGCTGGGCTGCGGGCGGGGGGGGACCCGCTCTGTCCCCCTGCGTGCCTCCCCCGCCCCAGCCCGGTGTCGAGGATGCAGGCAAAGATGCGGGATGCAAATAGGGATGCGGGATGGGATGCAGGCAGGGATGCAGGCAGGGATGTGGGGCAGGGATGCGGGATGGAAGCAGGGATGCGGAATGCAGGCAGGGCTGTGGGGCAGGGATGCGGGATGGAGGCAGGGATGCAGGCAGGGCTGGTGACAGGGCTGGTGACAGCGAGGCAGGAGCGCCGGGGACCTCCACGCGCGGTGGGGCGTGATGGTCTCCCTTCGGCCAGGCCGCCTCCGTGTGTCGCGATAGGGGCTGTCGCGAGGCGGCGGAGCCAGACACTCACCTACAACCGAGACCGGGGCTCCATCGCCGCCGCTGCGCTCGGTGCGGCGGGGCGGCCCCGGGATTTATGAATGAACCGGAGCCGCCCCCGCGCGGCGCGGGCGTCACGTGGGGACAGGGGCTGCCCCAGCCCTGCCTGTACCCCTGCCTGCCTGTACCCCTGCCTGCCCCACAGCCCTGCCTGCACCCCTGCCTGCCCCACAGCCTGCCCCACAGCCCTGCCTGCACTCCTGCCTCCACCTGTCCCGCCTGTCCCCCTGCCTGCCTGTACCCCTGCCTGCCCCACAGCCCTGCCCATACCCCTGCCTGTATCACCTCTGCCTATATCCCTGCCTACATCAGCCCTGCCTGTACCAGCCCGGCCTGTATCCCTGCCTGACCCCCTGCCGGTCCCAGCCCTGCCTGCACTCCTGCCTGTACGCCTGCCTGCACCAGCCCTACCTGCATCTCAGCCTGCATCCCTGCCTGTACCACCCCGCCTGCACCCCTGCCTGTACCGTGCCTGTACCAGCGCTGCCTGCCCCAGTCCTGCCTGTACCTCTACCTGTCCCACCTCCCCGCCTCCATCCCCGCCCAGAGCCCTCGCGGCCGGGCCGGGCCGGGGGTGCGGGTGCCCCTCGATGCGGGGGCGGAGCGGGACCGGACCCCCCGCACCGGGACACCCGACGGGGCCGGGACTGCAACTCCCAGGAGTCCCCGCGGTGCGGGTGACACCTTCCTGCGGCGGGCGGCGCGCGGGGCAGGCCGGGAGCTGTGGTCCGGTGCCGTCCCGGCCTGCCCCGCGCCGCCGCCGCCGCCATGGCCGCGATGTTCCGCGCCCGCCGCCTGCTCCGCCTCGCCCGCCCCGCGCTGCTCCCGCCGCCCGCCCGCGGCTACGCCGAGCCCGCCGCGGGCCCCGCCGCCATGGCCTTCACCTTCGCCTCGCCCACGCAGGTACGGCCGGCCCGGCCCCGCTGTCCCCGCCGCCGCCCCGCACCGCTGCCCGCGGCGGGCTCGGGGCGGGCGGGACGCGGCCGGTGCCGCCGCCCCCGCGGGGCTGTCGGTGCCCGGGGCCGGGGCGAGAGCGGGGCCTGGGGCGCTGCGGCCCCCGCGGCCCGGCCGGGCTGTCCCCGCGCTGACCTTGGCCCTGACCTCGGGCCGTCCCCGCCGCGGCGCCCCCGGGGCCGCTCCTGCTCCTGCTCCTCCCGGAGCGGGACGAGGCCGGGCCGTGCCCGGGGCTGCGGGGGCGGCGGGGCCGCCGCTGTCCCCGGGGCAGGGCGCGGGCACAGGGACAGGGACAGGGACAGCTCGGCCGCGTGGGCCGCAGCGGGGACAGCGGCTCAGGGCTCCCCACGCGCTTCCCAGGCTGCTCCCGGCTGTGCCGGCGCCTCTCGCCCACTCCCGACTCCGTGTCTGCGTGTGCCGCCTCCTTGCCGTGCCCCGGGAGCTGGGAACGCATCCCCGCTCCCCGTGCCAGGACCCCTCCTCTGGAGCCCGGCCCTGCTCCCTCCCTGTGCAGGTGCAGCCTGTCCTGGGCACACCTGGGCGTGCTGAACCTGCCAGGAGCCGGGCTGTTCCCTTGGGATGGAGCTGGGATGCTCCCTCGGGATGGAGCCAGCTGCCCCCTGCATCCCTGGGCTCTTCCCTGCCGCTCTCCATCCCCCCATTCCTGATGGCTGTTTTCCTTGTCCTCCCTGTCCAGGTGTTCTACAACGGTGCCAACGTGAAGCAGGTGGACGTGCCCACGCTGACTGGCTCCTTTGGGATCCTGGCATCCCACGTCCCCACGCTGCAGGTGCTCCGGCCAGGCGTCGTCACGGTCTACGCCGAGGACGGGACGGCCACCAAGTACTTTGGTGAGCAAGGCAGGAGGAGCTGGGGAGGAAAGGTGTGTGTGGGGATGGTGTTCTCGGTGCTTTCACAAGGGAGGCTCTGCCCAGCCAGGTGTGCCCTGGTGCACTTCCAGGGATTTCTGCTTTCCCAACCCTGCCAGGGGCTGCTGTAGCTGCCCTGGGAGCTGGGGCTCTGTGTGAGGCCGTGGGCTGGGGTTGGATCTTGGTTGTGCTCAGGCTCTCTGGGAGCATACTGTGCTCCACCTTCACTTGGGGTGGGAACTGAGGCCCTGAACACTGGGAGCGTGACAGGAGGATGCTGAGGACTTGTTCTGGGGAAGGGATGGTGGAGGTGCTGGGGATAAGCCCCCCTGGCAGCCCTGGCTGACCCCTCCCTGCTGTGCCTCGCAGTGAGCAGCGGCTCCGTCACCGTCAACGCCGACTCCACGGTGCAGGTGCTGGCGGAGGAGGCAGTGACCATGGACATGCTGGACCTGGCTGTGAGTACCCCGAGCCTGTGGGGGCTCCCTGAGGGGCTTTGACCCCCACTTCTCTACTCTGGTTGGCTCAGGAGCTCCCCCTGCCCAGACCAGGGGCTCCAGAAAGAGCTTTTCCCTGCTGATAAGGTGTCTGTGGCCAGCACAGCCATGTGGGCTGCTCCGCAGGGCCCCCAGGTCAGCAGTCTGTGGGGTCAACAACTGCAGTGGAAGGAAGGGGAGGGAGGGGGTGACTCGGGGGCTGTAGGATTGTCCCCTCTCCTGTGGTGTCACCCAGTGACACATCCCTTGTGCCCCTGTGTTCAGACTGCAAAATCCAACCTGGAGAAGGCCGTGTCAGAAATGGCTGCAGCGTCCGATGAAGCTGCTAAAGCAGAAGCTCAGATTAAGGTAGAAGCTAACGAAGCCCTGGTGAAGGCTCTGGAGTGATTCAGGTGAGGGTCACCTGGGGCCTGGCTGAGTGTCCAGACCTGCTTCTGTGGGGCTGCTGGGCTGGGCGAGGGGTGGTGCTCCTGGGGAGCAGGGACACTTCAGCTGTCCCTTGCTGGGGTCAGGCCTCAGCTCTTGGGGTCCTTGGCCCAGAGCTGACTCAGGGCCACCAAATGGAACAGGGCCCATGGCCAGGGTGGGCTGTGCCCGGTTCAGCCCTAATGCCAGGACAGGCCAGGAGCTGCTGTCACTGCCAGGGCCTCGCTGGTGCCCCAGGTCCCCACTGGGACTGGCTGTGCTCAGGGACAGCTCGGGGGTGCCTGGGCAGTAAGTGGCCTCTGCCCTGCGTGGCCTCTGTCATGCACACTCCCTCCCACTAAGACAAGCAGCTTCAGTCTCGGGGGCGGTGAAGCCAAGCTCTTACCTCATGGCCCCTTTTCCCTCTGCCCTGCTCAGACTGTGCCTCATCCCTCCCATTCCCACGTGCTGGCAGTCGGGGACTCTGCAGCAGCGTGTGCTGTGCCGGGGGGTGAGTCACTGAGAGCCTTCTGAGCCTGGAGCACAGCAGGGCACCGGCTCCCACTATCTCCTGATCTCTGCTCTGGGTGCTCTTTGCTCGCAGGGAGACTCTGGCTGTGTTTACTCTCAGCAGTTGAGCAGCTGGAGCAGGGCCAAGCCCCGGGGTTGGGATCCACAGCCCGGCCAAGCCCACCCCTCACTAACCCAGCCCCTCTCTGTGTGTTGCAGGAATCCCACCGTGGGTGCAGAACTCCCAGCCTGTCCCTGTCCTGCTCCCCAGCTGCACAGATGGAGTGGGACGAATGGAGGTGGAGAAAACGTTCTCATCAATTAAAAGGAAATGTAACCCCCTCTCGTGGCACGTTTCCTTCTTCCCACACAGCGATTGCAGCCAGAGCTGGGATCAGCTCCCGGCTCCTGCCCCATGCCGGGGGCTGTGGGGCAGATGCATCCAGGGAAAGTGTCACCAGTGCTGCCCTGGGGATAGCCAGGCATTCCCGGGGCAGATTCCCCCTGCGAGGTGGGGAATCAGACAGGTTTATAACCCTCTCCCAGTGCTCCAGCCACCTCCACCTCCAATAACCACCTGGACAGCAGGATTATGGCAGCACAGGAGGAGTACAGGTCTGTTCCAGAGCTGTCCTGTCCTGACTCCCTGCCCTACCACTGGCTCTGCCTCGGCCTCCCAGCTCGGGCACTGCAGGAATGCCCGTTGGCCAGACTGTTCCAGCGCAGTGCTGCTCACAGCTGGACAGCAGCTGCCAGGCTCTGCCCCATCCCCTGCTGCTGCTGCTGGCACACAGAGCAGGCAGAGCTCCCCCTGCCCCCAGGGATGGGCTCGGTGCAGAGGGAAGCAGAGGCCGTGTGCGGTGGGAATCTTTCCTGCTGCGGTCCTAGCCCTGTGCGAGGAGGCTGCCCAGGACTCATCACAGCCCAGGGAAGGCAGGAGGGGCTCCAGGAAGCAGGAGGGGCCCCAGAGCTGCTGGGAAGGGCGTGTTTGAGTGAGGGGATGGCTCTGGCTGTGCCAGGCACTGGGGATGCATGTCCTGCCCACGGCACGAGATGCTGCCAAGCCCCTTGCTTGGTGCCACCCTCCCCACGCCCTCCCAGAGGGATTTCGGGTTCCCTCTGCTGTGCAGAGCTGCCACGCTGTAATCCCCTTTTCCCCGCCGTGTTCCAGCCTGGGAAGGCTCGTTGGCTGCCTGTGTGGGCAGCAGCTCCAGGGAGGTCACTGCTCCGGCCTCCCGCGGGCCCCGCGCGGCTCCCGCCGCTCCCTCCCGGAGTGGGGCACGGCTATTTTCGGTGCTGCCACCCAGGATGTAATCTTGGCTGCCTCCTCTTCTCACCGCCACCTCCTCCCCCTCCTCTCACTCGCTCTGTCTTTCTCTCCCCCCCTTCACAAGTGATCAAAAATAGAGCCTGTGGTGTTAAATTTCTCACTCTGTGGCTTATTAAAAGCCTCCCGGTGCCTGACGCGGAGCCTATTTGAAGCTCAGCCGACTTCCAGCTCCTGAGCTGCTCCAGTGCCTTTTCCCCTTCCCCTCTCATTCCCTTTCTTCTTTTTCTTCAAAGGTCAGACGTTGTACCGAGCACGAGCGAATCCTCCGAGTCGGGGCTGTGCTAATTAAAACGTCTGGGGAATAACTGGGGCCGGCCGGCCCCGCTCCCTCTCCCGCTGCCCCTCTCTGTCCCCGGCTTCTATTTGGGCTGCGTGAGCCTCCCCCGGCACACGCAGCCGTGCTGACGGAAGGTGGCTGCCTTGGGTTTTTCATCTAATGGAAGAGCGTTGGCGAGGCCGGGAAGCTGGGGAAACGGCCAGCTGCTATTTTTAGGATGGGAAAAAAGTGTCTCCGTCAGCGTCCTCTCACCAGCTCTTCCCACTGCCTTCCGCCAGCGCCGGGGGGGCCGAGGGGGCCGAGGAATCCAGCCCTGCCCCTCTCAGGGTGCCCTTGGCTGGAAGCTCCACGGCCTGACGGCTGCTGGGACTTGTAGGCTGCACTTGGGGGGAGCAGTGAGGGCACCTCCAGTTCTTCCAGGTCCGGAGACCCTGGGGACAGTGCCCCTGCTCTGTCCTGGGATGGGGCCTCTCCTGCCCTCGTGGGTGCAGGGAAAGGGCTTTGTCTTGAGCCAGGAGCGGAGCAGCCCTGGCCAGCAGTGTCACAGCCCTGCTCACCATGAGCTGCACTTTGTGGGTGCAGGGCCACGTGTGGGCGATTCACTGAGCTCCTCCACACTCCTAGCCCAGCCCACTCCCTGCAGGGACCTCCTGCTGTGGCTCTGAGCCCCTCACCTCTGTCTCTGGCCCTTCCCCTCCCTGCTCGTTATCATTATCTGGCTCTGCAGAGCCAGAGCCACGTTCTCCTCCCCCAGCTCCCGCTGCCCACGCTGGAGCCACCAGCAGTTGCGTCCCACTGGGTGCCACGAAAATGGTCTGACTCGGTGCAGGAGACGTGCAGCTGTGGCTGCTCCGGAGGCAAAGCCCTGCCCTGCTCCCGGCTCGCTGTGCTGGCGCTGCGGGGATGGACCCTGCCAGGGGCCAGGGAAGTGGGAGGCAGCTCCACAGTGTAGACCATGGTGTGATTCAGTGGGTGAATCTCCCTCCTCTCTCCCTGAAACCAGCCTGGACTGGGGAGATGGTGGCACTGGCCTGGAACTTGGCAGTCCCTGGAGTGCTGGCACCTGCCCTTGGGCACCACAGCCTCCATTCACAGCTGGGCAAAAGGCCTTTCTCCACCTTTTTTTGGGGTGGTGGGTGCTGGGGTAACTCTGTCTCTGTCTCTGCTGGGGGCATGCAGGGCTGGGAGCATCTGCACAGTGCAGTGGAGTTATTTCCAGGAGCCTGGGGTCTGTCTGTCTCCGACTCAGGGCTAGGCAGTGGGTGTGAGAGGGAAGAGCTCCCCTGACCGTACAGGAGCAGGGAGCCGGCATTGCCCCCCTCCTCCTCCCCTTCCACCCAGGGCTCTTGCCCATGACTCGCATCCTCTGCTGCCAGATGGAGGGTGGGGAGCGGGGCCGGGAGCGCTCGGAAAGTGAAGCATCACGGATTCTGCCGGCGGCGTCGCTTCTCGGGGGATGATTTCCGAGACGGGCCGGGCTCTGCCGGGCCAAATCTCCCAGTGCTGAGGGCCCTCCCTGCGCTTGGCCGCGTGGCATTTCCCCGTCCCACCCAGTCCCGAATGCAGGCGAAAGGTTCCAGCTCTCCTCTCTCTGCAGGAAAAACAACCCCAAACCCCACCGCAGCCCCAGGACGCCCCGCTCCCGCCGGGCTGACTCATCCTGCAGAGCCGCCCCTTTCCCTGCCCAAACCTCGGCACTTGGGATCCTGCCTGGCCCCGCTTGGGATCCTGCCTGACCCTGCTGCTGCCTCACACCCACAGCACCCACTCTGCAACACCAGGCTGGGGGTACAGGGGCTAACCCCCACCCCTCACACTGCCAGGGGGCTGCAGGAGGTGGCAGCAGCTCCCACACAGCCCTCCAGGAGCGTGGGGACCCCCAGGGTGCTGGGCAGTTCCTTGCCTGACCCTGCCGAGGCCGTGCAGTGCCCAGGTGCAGGTCCAGCCCCTCCCTCCGCCATGCCTGTGGGTGCTGCCCACAGCCCTGGCATGAGAAGGTCAGTGGAGGCTCCGCATGCTGCCAGCACAGCCCAGCGTGTCCTTGGGCCACGCTGCCCTTGGGCGGCTCGAAGGCCAAATCCTCGCAGCTTCCTTCGGGTGGGGGGGTTGCTGTAATGATTAACCCGCCCGTGTTAATCGTTCCGGCCGGCAGCCTTTTTCCTCTGGGTTTCCAGCTCTGGAAAACGCTCTTTTTCCGCCACCCTCCCACGCACGTGGCCCCGTGGAGGGAGCATGGCACAGCTCAGGGAAAATCCCCGCGGGCAGGAGCAGGACCCGGCTTGGGGCCCAGCACCAGGATCTGTCCCAGTGGGGCCCCTCGCTCCCAGTCCCAGGAGGGCTTTGCTTTGTTTCCAGGCGGTGGAGCCACGGGGAGCGTCGTCCCACCGGCCTCACTCCCGAAATGCAGGCGCAGGAGCGGGTGCCGCGGGCGCTGAGGAGGGCGGGTGTTGCAGCGCGCACGACGGAGCTTGTCACGCTGCTCCTGGGCCAGCAGCCTCGCAGCAAACTTGGCCCAGGGCAGGTTCTCCTGGCAAACTGAGGCACGGATGGGCAAAGCCTCTTGCACGCTGGGGAGAGCAGGGATGGGACATGGGAATCCCAGACCCTGCTGCTGCGCTCGGGGATGGCACCTCTGTGGGGGAGCCCCCTGGGAAGCCCCCCGGGAGCTGCCAGGGACAGGCGAGGGGTGGTGGGGGTGGCACCTGGGGTCCCAGGTGCCTTGGCAGGGGTTGGGTGGCCCTGGGGGCTGCGGGCACGGCCCTTGCTCAGGGCAGCCTTGGCGGCTGCTGACGCTCAGCTCCACTGGAGCCAGCCCAAGGCCACGGGGGCCAGAGGGGGTGCACGGCCCCGTGCTGGGGGTTCCTGCAAAGCCCCCTCCTGCTGCCCCCAGCCAGGGCCAGGGGGAGGCTGGGGAGGAAGCGGCTGCCAGCTGGGCTGGAGGCCGGCTACAAAGGCGGCCCAGAGAGCCCAGCGGAATGAGGTGGCACCCGTCCAGGTTCCCACGGCGGCCCTGGTGCAGAAAATACACCCGGAGCTGGTGGCGGTTGCCACAGCAATGGGCCGGGTGCCACGCCGCGGGGGGCACGACCCCGGACCCAGGTGTGCCGGCACGGGACCCCAGCTCAGGGCGGTGGGAGCAGCATGGGGCGGCAGAGCCGGGCGCTGGCAGGGACCAAAGGCTCCTGCCCTGGCTCCCGCTGCCCCCGCCCGCCTTTGATGTGCCGGGACTTCGCCCTTGGTAAAGCTGGGAGGTTCCCAAGGAGTTCCCAGCTGGATCCCAGCATCCAGCACCCAGTCGCCCCGTGCGAGCCCCGCAGGCCCTGGGGCTCCATCCGCTGCTCGGTTCCCTTTGCCTCGTCCGCAGCTGGGGCTCAGAGCCCCCGTGGGCTCCCTGGTTCCTGGCAGGGCTGGGCTTGGAGGAAGCGGCTGCAGCTGGTCCCGGCGCTGGGGCTCTTCCGGGCGGGTCTGGCGCCGTGCTGGGGTGCAGGGTGGGGAGGGGAAGCTGGGGGGGCCGAGGCCACTGCCCTTTGGGATGCCCCAGCATGCGGTGGGGAGGAGGAGGCGGCAGCACCTCCATGCCCGTTCCCTCAAAGGCTGCCCCTCCTGTATAAATAGCAGGATTGAGGCCTGGCGTGACATTGGAGTCACTTCTGCCACCGGCACCTTGGGTGTCCCCCCCCACCACACAGGACCTCAATGGGATCATTGTGCACCGTGGCCCCACAGGGCATGTCC